GCGATTTATAGCCTTGAGTCTTCTTGGGTATGACACTACAAGCAATCACAAAGCCCTGACCTTAATCCTATAGAACATTTGTGGGCAGAACTGAAAAAGCGTGTGTGAGCAAGGAGGCCTACAAACCTGACTCCGTTACACTAGCTCTGTCAGGAGGAATGGGCCAAAATTCACCCAACATATTGTGGGAAGCTTGTGGTAGGCTACCCAAAACATTTGACCCAAGTTAAACAATTTAAAGGCAATGCTACCAAATACTAATTGAGTGTATGTAAACTTCTGACCCACTGGGAATGTGATGAAATAAATAAAAGCTGAAATAAATCATTCTCTCTACTATTATTCTGACATTTCACATTCTTAAAATAAGGTGGTGATCCTAATTGACCTAAAACAGGGAATTTATACTAGGATTAAATGTCAGGAATTGTGAAAAACTGAGTTTAAATGTTGTTGGCTAAGGTGTATGTAAACGTCCGACTTAAACTGTGTGTTTACATACATACATACATACAGGTGTTTTTATTTGGCCCCTCAAGTTTACTGAGCAACAAAATTATGAAAATTATGATTTTAATTTTCATAATTTTGTTGCTCAGTAAACTTGAGGGGCCAAATAAAAACACCTCTGTGCCAAATTGGTTGGTGAACCCTGCTATAGGCTATTAGGACCTGGATATAGTACACATTGAATTGACAAACAAGGGCGTGTGTTTGTCTGGGTTTGAGTATCACTTCCCCTTGGCTTGGCCTAACGGCAAATATTGTTCTCGTCAGTAGCATTTCACCTGAACGCTCCATCATATGACCTTCATAAATTCGTAACGTCATCATGATAATGATATTACATAGCATTACTTGACAGAGCTGATTTGTTGTAACAAGACTAACTTTACCCAGTCATGGCAAACACCATTATTTTGGTTAGCTAGTTGGCTTGCATCAAGTCTGTTGTAATAACTTCTTAAATGGCTATTTAGCTATCATGGCTGTTAATTATGCTCTGTTCTCTTATGTTACTGTTATGACAGTGTTATGTACACCTAACCCTTGCAATGTAGGGTATTTTCTGTACATTGATTTAATTTGACTTAGTCTATTGAATTTAGCTAATTTAGTCATTTAGCAGACGCTCTTATCCAGAGCAACTTACAGTTAGTGAATGCATACGTGTGTGTGTGTGTGTGTGTGTGATATATATATATATATATATATATATATATATATATACACACTTTATTTTCATTATTTTTTTCCATACTGGCCCCCAGTGGGAAACTAACCCACATCCCTGCCGGCCAAACCCTCCCCTACCTTGAACGACGCTGGACCAATTGTGCGCCGCCCATGGGTCTCCCGGTCGCGGCCGGCTGCGACAGAGCCTGGACTCGAACCAGGATCTCTAGTGGCCAATGCGCCACTCGGGAGTCAACTGCACTGGTAGGAGTCAGAGTTCTCCATACCAGTGCAGTTGGTTCTAGTTTGCAAACATACTGGGTCCACCACTGCAAACTTGTTTGGCTTCATGCCGAGAAGGAGCCAACGTGACATTATGTGCATTTGGCCAGCACCACCCCATAACAGAACATTTAATGCCCATTATGCTTTGCACTGACTTCACCATGCAACTCTGCACTCCAATGCTGCAGGACATGTGTGGTCAATTATCTATTAGGTAATACAATGGCGATGGTGAGGTAATTTCCCCCCGCCCTGCCCATTCAATGTCCTCTGTGAGAGTGTTCAGATCTTGGGCTATTTTGTCATTTGGCTCCCTCTTTTGCCAATTCCTCCCCCCAACTCCTTCTCATCCAACCCCCTTATTGTAACAGCCTGACCCCCTCGTTGGTTATGTAACAAGAAGCCCAAATTAACTGTTTATTACATACACCTCATAAGGATTCCAGTACTAGAAATACATTGAATCTAATTGGCTATCAGAAAAATAGAGGCATCGTTTCAGGGGGAAAGTTGTGCAGTACTCCATGTTCAACATTTTGCTCAGTCCTTACCAGTTATGGTTAGAGTGCCAATGTAATCTATTCTGTGCCACACACACACACACACACACACACACACACACACAAGAAAGACACGACAGCTGTTGGTCCCACGGCTCTGATTTAAGTGTAACATTCAGTAATACATTAATCTGTGTGACGTGGATGCACTGCGATGAATGTCAAGAACAGCATACTATATAGTACAGGCCTGCTTGATTGTCGTTAATAGTAAGGAGCAGGCTGTTGGACTGCAGGCCTATTGAGGGGGAGAAGGGATAGGCTAAAGGATGTTCAGGGTCCTTTCTGTGACCTTGTCTATCCATTGTTTTCAGTAGGCATTTCCTTTCAACTGCTAACTTCAATATGGCTCTGGTAAGATTTGAGTCGGTAGACACACACACGCACACTCTTATCTCGAAATTCATAACGTACCTGTATAGATATATATTTTATTTATTTATTGAGCATAGGCCTGTTTATTTCTGCAGCAGCACAAATTATAAGCAAGCTACACTATATATACAAAAGTATGTGGACACCCCTTCAAATTAGTGGATTCGGCTATTTCAGCCACGCCCGTTGCTGACAGGTGTATAAAATCGAGCACACACCCATGCAATCTCAATAGACAAACATTGGCAGTAGAATGGCCTTACTAAAGAGCTCAGTGACTTTCAACGTGGCACAGTCATAGGATACCACCTTTCCAACAAGTCAGTTCGTGAAATGTCTGCCCTGCTAGAGCTGCCCCGGTCAACTGTAAGTGCTGTTATTGTGAAGTGGAAAAGTCTAGGAGCAACAATGGCTCAACCGTGAAGTGATAGGTCACACAAGCTCACAGAACTGGACCGCAGAGTGCTGAAGTAAAAATTGTCTGTCCTCAGTTGCAACACCCACTACCGAGTTCCAAACTGCCTCTGGAAGCAACGTCAGCACAAGAACTGTTCGTCAGGAGCTTCATAAAATGGGTTTCCATGGCCGAGCAGCCGCACACATTCCTAAGATCACCATGTGCAATGCCAAGCGTCGGCTGGAGTGGTGTAAAGCTCGCCGCCATTGGACTCCGGAGCAGTGGAAACGCGTTCTCTGGAGTGATGAATCACGCTTCACAATTTGGCAGTCTGACGGACAAATCTGGGTTTGGCGGATGCCAGGAGAACGCTACCTTCCCCAATGCATAGTGCCAACTGTAAAGTTTGGAGAAATAACGGTCTGGGGCTGTTTTTCATGGTTTGGGCTAGGCCCCTTAGTTCCAGTGAAGGGAATTCTTAACGCTACAGCATACAATGACATTCTAGACGATTCTGTGGTTCTAACATTGTACAACAGTTTGGGGAAGGCCCTTTCTTGTTTCAGCATGACAATGCCCCCGTGCAAAAATCAAGGTCCATACAGAAATGGTTTGTCGAGATCAGTGTGGAAGAACTTAACTGGCCTGCACAGAGCCCTGACCTCAACCCCATCGAACACCTTTGGGATGAATTGGAACGCCGACTGCGAGCCCGGTCTAATCTCCCAACATCAGTGCCCGACCTCGCTAATGCTCTTGTGGTCGAATGGAAACAAGTCCCCGCAGCAATGTTCCAACATCTAGTGGAAATCCTTCCCAGAAGAGTGGAGGTTGTTATAGCAGCAAAGGGGGGACCAACTCCATATTAATGCCCATGATTTTGGAATGAGATGTTCGACGAGCAGGTGTCCACATACTTTTGGTCATGAAGTTACAGTGCCTCCTAAAGACATGATTGTTATGAAGTGTTAATCAAATGTTATGCTTCTGTGGCAGTACTGTTGATATTTAAACTAGGTAGCTAGCTACACACACACTCGATCGGTGACCACATCTCAAGCCATGCATGTTTGGATAATGGGTGTGAACAATCCCAGTACAGGGCAGACTTGGAAACAGGTGCAACCGGGCTCGATCAAGCTCCGTACAGGGCAGACCAACAGGCACAACCAACGGACGGGGTGGCGAACTTGACGACGTCACAATTACTTGCGGGCAACGGGTTCAGAACAACAACGGCAAAAACTTTTAATAAAAAAACATAAATAAATGACCACCACCCAAAAGGGCGAGTGGGAGGGGCACAGGTTGACTCCCATCTGTGCACGTGCCTGCTGCTGCGCCTCAGATGTGGCTGGCAGAGCAGGTTATTCTGGATTTGGGTTAACCTGTGCTCAGTGTTCGCGCAGTCCCGTTACCGGTTGCGGGAAGGAAAGGAAATGGCAGACACAGCAGCCAGCTAGCTGTACATGCTGACTCAAACCCCGGGCCTGGAGTCATCATCTTTCATTGCAGCCTGTTTCTCACACCTGTATGTCAGGTGGGAACACCTCTCCTGGCTACCAACACCACCCTTCTAACCTCAACTGACGATGATTTTCCTGATCATATCACTGTTTTCCTTCTAATTTCTGCTGCCTTAATTGTCTCTTTTGTTTTTTAGCCCTTCACTTAGGTCCCAAGGTGCTCAGATCACAACCAAATAGGCTAAGTGGTAGGGGAAAAAACACTAGCTTGACGGGGCATGCATTATCCTGCCTTGTAGCGTTTATGTCCAGGTCTGTTACTAGTGCTGCAGTTAGTGTAAGGCTAAGTGTTCTGGCTGGTCTCATTTCAGACCCCATTTACTCCTCCAACTAGCTCCAGTGCAGCAGGCCTATAGGAAACAGCTGCTCACTGGATGTTAAGGGGTAACTTGGGGAGTACACAGAGACCCAGTGACTGACTGCTGCCTGCAACACTTGTGACCTTTTTCTGGTAACTCTCATTCAAAGAGAGCGAGAGAGCGACACAAGCCATTGCACAATCGGACCCGCGTGTTTACCCCACATGTCGCACCCTATTACCAGAATCAAAACAAAACAATGTGATTTAGTAGTGGTCTAGCCTATTGAAAGACGTGCAAAACATTCTGTGCCACATAACTAGCACAGATGGTGATTTTAATGTGTGTTGGTTGGTTGAACGTCGGCTGCGATGATAACACAATGTGTGACTGGCTAAACCTCATGACCGGAGAGGAGGCTGAATGGAATGGAGAAGACCATGTGACGATGCCCTGTAACCGAAGACACCCAGGTATGTGTGAGTTTCTAGGTCTCATTCCCTGTCATGTTATTCGGAGGGCACCAGGAGTCAAGTGTTACACACACTTTGTAAACACTGAGTGTAACCTTGTCCCATGCCGTCGCTGCCAGCCTTCTCATCTCTTCTTTGGCCACTTAGGTTATAGAACTTTAGAGGGGAACTTGCATAGTAGTTGCCTGTTTGTGTGTACCGGCTGCCTGTGTTATGTAGTGTCTTGGGTAATGGCGGACCGTAGGGAATGGAAACCTCAATGGCGTGTTTTGACTAAGTGCCCTCTGATTGAGCCCCTGTCGTCAGGTGTAATTGACCTCTGGCGTCAGACCTCTTCTACTCCAAGCTTCAGGCAGCACAACATTTGCATAATACATAATACAACCTACATACCTAGCTTCACTGGAACCAAGGAAAAAGCCACGGGGGAGCATGTGAAAGTACATTGCCCGCCGCCATTGAAGCGTTCCAATATGAGTGAGACCAAATGAAGCTATAGCTTAGTTTTCAATGGACAATGGCCTGTTTATAAGGTGGACATTTAGCCATGTAGGCCTAGCCTATACAATGTTTGTTTTGGCTCAAACGTACCAGGAAGGAAGTAAAGGACAGAGGAAGAGCTGTGTTCTCAGAACCGTCACCTTTGTTGTGTACACACATTACCGCTTTCATTCTTTATCCAAGGCCAGATCGTCTTAAGTGAAATTCCAGGACTGGCTTCTCTTGGTTCGGAGACGAGGGACAATGGGGAACAGGAAGAGGAGACTGAGCTGTTGACTTTCTGGGGACTCATTGTAGAGCAGACCTTGAAAATACTGTTCGGTTACCTGCCTTGTTTGTACAGTAATAGTACAGCAACTTAGGAACATTTATGGACACCAACAGACACACTAAAATAGCTTCCATAGAGTCCGCTTTGTCACTTGGCTCTCATGATACTGTTGTGATCAATGGCGAAGGTCTGTACTCGCACTTGAGATCTGTGCTCCAATTTTAACGTCTCCCATTGACATTAATGAGTGATATATGCAAAAGTCCAAGTTTCACAAACTGTAAGTTGAATTAAGAAAAATAAGTACATTCTTGGTAATAACAATCCCTTAACTAGCTAGCCTTTATGACATTGGTTGCGTCTCAATTGTATTTCCTTGACTCATGTCCTCTCCTCCTTGCCGCCTCCTCAAAACACATTGGAAGAGAAGGTCCTAGAGGAGGAATCTGACCTTCTCCTCAATGTGTTTTGAAAAGGAAGTGAGGAGAGAGGACACGAGGAGACAAGGAAACACAAATGAGATTCATCTATTGTAGCCGAGTGGAGCCCAAATCCATCCAAATGATCTCACCCCCAGTGGAGTAGAACTAAGCTCAGTTGGGTTGCACTGCTTTATAGACCTCTCACTTTCCTATTTAAAAACGATATATCGCTTGCCAGTCTGATCCAGATAACAGGCCAACACATGAGTTTGTCCTTAGATAAGCATTACAAAAGATTATTTGAGACTTTTGTCAAGTTGCTGTCTGGGTGTACTCAGTAAGGTGAAGCAGTGTCCACGAGCACAGTCCCAAGGAGTGAGTTGTTGGTAAACACACAGCTGTCACAGAACATGTGGTTGCAATAGGTATGTCCAGGTCTATTAAGACACTTTATGTTGGTGTTTCCTTTATTTTGGTAGTTACCTGTATGTTCCTGCTGTACTTTTTAGTCTTTATTTCAACACCTCCCTGTACTTGTTGGTCATCACATTATATGGCTGTCTTGCTCTTCCACAACCTTGTCGCTGCAGGAGTGCCCAATGTGTTGTCTCCTTGTCGCTCTCCCCTTGTCTTTCCATTGGGCCCTTCTAAGCACATGTCAGCAACTCCTCCCTCTCACGAGTTGAGTTTGTAGTGCCTGCCTGTGTCCTGTTTAGAAGTTTAAAAGCTATTAAAGTAGGAGGACGGACACGAGTGCTCTTCATAGACAAATATTAATTATAGGTCGTTTGAAGGATCCTTCCGCAAGAATAATTCCGTACAGCGTTGCAATTAGAGGATACTGTACTTTGTTTCATAATTGTATGATAGGCTACACGTTTTTATTTTACAAACAGTATACTTTATTTTCTAGCTGCCTATTTTATAATGCCGCGAAGGAGATAGGTCGACATACATACTGTCAAATCTATCGGCTTCGTTGGACTAATCTGTGTTGACCATGGTCGCAGTGGAGTGAGCCATTACGAGGATATTTGGCGCCGCCGGTCTCATCAGCTATCGGTCTGCTGTTCCGTGGTCCAGTCATGACGCTCGGAAGTGTGTCCACCACTGGGAGCTCGGCAGAGGGCTGCTTCTGCTCCTACTGCGGAGCGAAGATGATGCGCTACTTCTCCGACAACGGAGTTGTGTCTCAGAACCAGATCAACCAACTGTGAGTTGTACATTTTTGCGACAAACATTTTTGTGGTTAAAATTTAAGAAAACATTTCCCCACTTAATAATTTCCCCACAGGATTAATTTTCCATGAAGTGGAAATGCGATGTTGAAGTATGTATGGCTACATTTCAGATGTATTTACTTTAGCTCAGTTGTCACTTGTCTCAGACGTTGCAACATTATTGTGAAGGAATCTGACACAATGTGACAGTCCATCCTGACTGCATGTATTTCCCAACAGTGATGTAACAGGATGTAAGTAATCTTGACAGGGCTTCCTCTCCTGGTTGAGAAATAATAGCACAGATGGCACAATGGGTTATCCTTAATTGCATGGCGCGAGATCTGAATCATCTACCTGGCTGTCTCCAAACTGGTCTGATGAATCCTGTCAGTCAGATATCCATATAAAGCAACAGTGTCTGCTCTATGAACTAAAGCCAGAGAATCAGCCTGCCAGTCTCACTTGACCCCCCATCAGGTGTATGGCTCTCCTCTGTGTCCTCTAAGCCTCTAAACTGCCTTCTCCAGGTGTATGGCTCTCCTCCTGTGTCCTCTAAGCCTCTAAACTGACTTATCCAGGTGTATGGCTCTCCTCCTGTGTCCTCTAAGCCTCTAAACTGCCTTCTCCAGGTGTATGGCTCTCCTCCTGTGTCCTCTAAGCCTCTAAACTGACTTATCCAGGTGTATGGCTCTCCTCTGTGTCCTCTAAGCCTCTAAACTGACTTATCCAGGTGTATGGCTCTCCTCCTGTGTCCTCTAAGCCTCTAAACTGACTTATCCAGGTGTATGGCTCTCCTCTGTGTCCTCTAAGCCTCTAAACTGACTTATCCAGGTGTATGGCAGTCCCTTAGATTTTCCGCTTCTTCAATATAAACAAAGAAAATATTACATCAAAATGAGTTATAGCTTATTATAAATTATATTTTGGCTGATTGTTGTATTACGTGACCTGAGAAAATATTCTATAGCGTATCCATCCATGTTTTTGAGTTGAAGCTCTTTGTTCTGAAGTTTGCAGCCATTCTAACTAGGCTAATTGGCTGAGGTGTTCTTGGCCCTCTGTTTTATACAGCGTGAGACCAGTCGTCAGGTCCAGGTGGCCGGCCAGAGACTGATTTGATAGCTGGCTTGTAGTACAGGTGTGAACATAATACAGGAATGATTAGAACTCACCCATTTAAAGGGAGTGCTTTGAATACTGAGAAATAACCTACCTGATGAAGGGTAGTTAGTGGGTTGTATTTGTCTGTGTTTTGATTGTTGGGTAGGAAGGCACTCAAGTAAGGGCACCTGTATTTCCAGGTGTAAGTTTAGTCAAGTTGTTAGTGTTAATATGTTGGAACTAACCTTGCTCCAGAGTTTTAGTCTAGGTCTACTGCGTGTTTCAGGGCTGTAGCAGTCCATCGGACTTGATCAGTGTTTTGGATGAACCAATGCGATATGCTTGAATCAAAAAGCCCATATCCTCGTTGCAAATACTCTACCATCAAAGCTGCAATGAAAACTTGTGTTATTTTTGATCACATAATCACATTCCCCTGTGACAAGAACTGGCTGTCCAGACCATGTTGGATGTTGCGCAACCCTGATGTTGCTCCCGACTGATTTTTGCGTTGATTTACCATTTTGCTCTGACGCGTGCTAAATGAAGACATGCAAATGTGTTGTCTGCTGTCCATGTACTCACTTTGCACTGGTTTCTATGACTACATGCGTAGTAGTACTACTTATTTGCTTATGGGGAGATTAGATATCATTGCTGATAGTGCGGGCCCTATGTGTAACATGGGTACTCCAGGAGTGGGTATCTTGTATTTCCTCACTCACAAGTTCACTGTGTGTGTGTGTGACAAGGGCTGTTATCCTTATTATATGGCCTAGACTAGTTAGTCATTTGAATAGCCTAGACTTTGTCTTCATTTGAAACTCACCTACACGCACACACTCTCTCTCTCTCTCTCTCTCGCTGACGCGCACAGGCACTTGTATGCCATAAACAGCACCAGATGTAAGAAAGCCAACTTCCTTGTTTTGGAGGAAAAATTTGGCCAGGTTTTAGTATGTTTTCTCTTAACCTTTTCAGGGTGGGGAAGCAACCACCTATAGGCTATATGATGGCGTCATGGCCTCCTTTTGTTGACATCTCTGTCAAACCAACCGATCCAGAAAATCTATGGGTTTTGACAGTATTTTCATTTACAAACCGATTTTGTTGTTAGTGTGTAACCATTCTATAAATAGACAGAAGAATGCCTGTATGTCAGAAAAACTTTAATGTTTAACCATGGGCTGGGCTAATTGCAGGTTTACGGTGTTTGGCTACCAGCTGGAAACCTGAAATCTAAAGAGGCGTTGTCCCACTAATAATTTAGAACACTACCCCCCTTCAATGTACACCAAACACACGTGTGCTGCATTACTGTGATTCTGGGGGAAATCATTTGAATCTGACTCGCATTAAGGGTGTGTGTAAAGATTGGCAGCCGTACAAGGAAGTCAGATTTAGGTTGTGTGTGTGTATGTGATGTGATTGTCTGTCATTAGTAATATCCATAAAATCGGAAAAACACTAAACAGAACGGGAGACATTGATGTTGGTAAGAGATGTTACATGTCTGGTTCATCAGCAGTCTAGTGAGACGTTACCATGACGGTGCTAATAATAGTGAATGAGGATGTGACAAATGTAAAAATTTTCAATCCTTTAAACAATAAGAAAAATCATAAGTGACGTGAATTCACAATTCAGATATGATCCTGCGTATGACCACTAGGGGGCAATGCAGTTCAATCTACCGCAGTCCTGGCTACTTACCAAACGGCGCGCACCTTACTGCTGTCCCCCACCCACTCAGAAACGATGGTAGCTAATGCCGTTTTAGGTTCTCTGCTGTGTGCCTCTCCTCCATGTTCACAGTTGCCAGTACATGGGACTTCATGTCCTACTTCTCATTAATGTGATGGCTCGTTGCAGTGATGTATGACAGCAATCCTACAATCTGTTGTTAACGCCACATATGGTGTTTGAAAGCTCGCGCTTTATACTTGCATAACAATCATTGTACAATTTCTCCATCCAGGCCGTTTTTCGACATGGCATCTTGTAGTCTTTGTTCTAGATATGCTATCAGGGCAGTGAAGACGACATCCTCTACCATTGACAATGGCTGCATATCAACTGCAATAATTTCTGGGATTTTTCTCACTGCTGCCAGAAACGAGTTGGGTCTCACGGTGACTCCCTTTCAGATGGTTAAGCATTGCACCTGTACTGCCACTGTAGCTCAATTCCGCCTTGCAAAGTTTGCATTTATTTCATCACCTTTTCATTTAACTTTATCAAAGTATTGCCATACAGAACTTCGCTGCTGTCACTTCCCTGTCTCACTCTCTGCCATTTTTCCAACTGCTAACGACGATGACGTGCGGAGCGCTTTATAACCATGGCAAATCATTTGAAAGATGCATATCTCGTCCTAGGAACGTTACATCATTGTTGCATTAGGTATTTGTTGAATTTTTCCCTTTTTATGATGATGATCGCGACCTGTTAGTGGTAATTTTGTGATAAATGCACAGTTTTTCGGTTTGGGATTTTTTGTAAATGGTAACGATCCCAATGTTTTAAATGTTCACACCCCTAGTAGGGAATAGGGTGCCATTTGGGACGCACACTTAGTTTTGATTTGATCGCAGGCTGCTTTCTAACATCTCAGCGTTGATGGAACTCCACCTTAATTCCGACGGATTAGAGTTTGATGTAGGCGGTGGTAGATGGGGAATTTCCCCCTCTCCTCTCAGAATAGTCCTGAGGCCTTTAACTGAATGCCTCTGACCCTGTGATGCAGCCCTATGAGGAAGTTAGGTCTGTTTTACCAGAATTAGTCCCGAGCCTGACTGCACTTACTAGGAAACTGGGACTCGACTCCAACTCCAATCCAGCTCTAGAAACACTAACAGGTTCAGTCAGTTTATCTTTAATAATAATAATAATAATAATAATAATATGCCATTTAGCAGACGCTTTTATCCAAAGCGACTTACAGTCATGCGTGCATACATTTTTTTGTGTATGGGTGGTCCCGGGGATCGAACCCACTACCTTGGCGTTACAAGCGCCGTGCTCTACCAGCTGAGCTACAGAGGACCACACTTTAGCCTTACCCTTTGTCTCTTTCCCTCTCTGTCTGCTTCTGGGTCTCTGTCTCTCTCTTGCTCTGTCTCTCTCTTGCTCTGTCTCTCTCTTGCTCTGTCTCTCTCTTGCTCTGTCTCTCTCTCTCTCTCTCTCTCTCTCCTCTCTCTCTCTCCTCTCTCTCTCTCTCTCTCTCTCTCTCTCTCTCTCTCTCTCTCTCTCTCTCTCTCTCTCTCTCTCTCTCTCTCCTCTGTCTCTCTCTCTCTTGCTCTGCTCAGTCTCTCTCTCTCTCCTCTCTCTCTCCTCTGTCTCTCTCTCTCTCGCATAATTATCTCCCCTCGTCCGTTAGGCTACTCTTGCTCTGTATTTAAACATAGCTCGCTAATTCAAATCTCTGTGTGAATGCGTGCACCGGTCTCATTGCCTAATCTGTACCTCAGGAAGTGCTAGAATGCAGCCCTCTCTTTCCCACCCTATCTTTCTGGCCTGAACTCAGAGCCTTCAGCAGCGCCTGCCACGGCAGCCAGGCCTCTACAGCCTTGGCCTATATTTACCTCTCTCCTAGTTAGTGGGACTAATATGGGCAGGAACAGGGAGGGGAGGGGGGGGGGGGGATCTCAGTCCCACACACACGTCTTTCTGGGAGGAGGAGAGTGGGGCGCTAGGCTGTCAGAGAAGGGCCCCTTACATAGTGATGATTGTGTCTGCACCCTAACCAGTACTGCCCTGTGCTGCATGCCAAAAGATGCCCACCTCTCCGCCTGTGGGAAGAGGTGCCCTTACATGTCTGTACAGTAAAATGTCAGCCAGGGCAAAATTCTGGAATTTCGCCTCGGCCTCGATGCCCTCTCCTGCTGCCCATAGACATGAATCATGGCCAAAGTGGCTCTAGTCTAGAGTGGCTGTCTTTCTACCATCATACAGCCACACTTGTTATTTCCACTGTTAGGGGCTGCACTTATAGGGCTCTGTTCAAAAGTAGTGCACTATGTAGGGAATAGGGTGTCATTTGGACGGACACATAGTGGTGATTCAGAACACTCTAGCATAGTCAGAATAGTTCTGAAATATTTACCACGGACCGTGTATGAGTTTCAGACTATATTGGGGAAATGATCAGCAGCCTTATCAGTTGTTGAGGTGTGGATAATATTTCACATTAGAACCAGTTACGCAGAGTGTTCTAGCTAGCTTGTGGACAACAATACCCCCTTTTGTCTACTGATCCGACTGTTGGGGTTATCTTACACAGTAAAGATACACCTGAAGGAGAGCCATTTCATGTGCTTCATTTGAATGTGAATTACAGTGGCTGATCAAGGCCGTCTAGTCTATAGTTATTTGTAGTCATTTATAAAAGTACAATATATTTGTAGCAACAGTAAAGAGCCACTTGACAGTGATGTATGTCTGGCTACCTAGTTTTGGATTCCTACGCTGGCGGGAGGTGCAAAGCAAAGCTCTTCGCTAAGGGGTCAGTGTTGTATTACACTTGACATTGTGTGCTGCAGCTGCCTGCTGGAGCTCTGCACTGTCTGCTGCCTGCGGTGTTGTCTGATTCTGATAGCTACTCTTTGTTTTCAAGTGTCTCGTAGTGGAAAACACTAAGTGAATCCTTTCTCTCTCCCTCACACACACACACACACACACACACACTGTACACACCATGTGAGGTGCTGCTCACCTCCTCCTTCCTGCCCATGTGCTACACCCCATGCTTCAGACATGATTAGATACAGCTGTACAGGAGGGTAGAGAAGTTAGGATTGAAACACAGAGCGAGAGAGAGCGGTATGAAGAAAAGGCAAGGGAGAGGTATGAAGAAGGCGAGAGAGAGCTGGTGAAGTAGGAGGAAACAGCTGGGTCAGGGGTGAGTGGGTCAGGATGGGAAATGAGCTCAACCCGGCCGAGTGTTTTCGCTCGCTCGCTCTGTTTGTTTTCTTTCTGCTTCTGGTCCAGGCGTGTCCCTCACTCCTCAGATTGCACAGCCTCTCTCAAGCACGTCACCCCCATGCTTCTGCTATTCGGCTCATCGTTGCACAGTTCCCCATCCTGTGTCTGTTTGTGAGGAAGGACAGGAGGACAAAGACAGACAGGCAGTACAGACTCTGTGCCTCCCAGTAAATCCACGGTGATTGGGGTTGTGTGGTGGAAATGAGGCTGACTGTGTGGATGTGGAGCAGTACTTAGGGCAGGGTTGTTACAGAAGGTTTAGCCTAGTAGCAGCTCTTCATCAAGACACACTTCACATGAGGGCCAATGAGGCACATTGTGTGTTTTGGTAGCCTAGGCCTATATCCTAGGTCAGTGTGCCACCGTGTGAGATTCTGTAGAGAACATGTTCTGTGCTGTGGAGATATAGGCTACACACTCGTGTGTACACACACACACACACACACACCATCTCCATCAGCTAGTAACTCCTGTAGATCGCGTGACCTCACCACTTGTTCTAGTGTGATGATGGTGTGCTGTGTACTATAGTTAATGTGATTATATGGAACCACAGAGAGGGGAGTGATCCCCTACATGAACTCCCACAGCGGGAGCTCTGCTCTGTCTGAGCCAGCTGTGCAGGGGAGGAGTGTGGGGGGCTCTAACCGACCCTCTGCTCTACCCCTAGCCTCCAGAGGGGAACATTGTGTTCTGTGTTGGAGTGCACGTGGCTCTGTCTGTGTTTATTACATATAGCTACACTGACTGAGTAGTAGCTGCTGCCTGGACCACATGCTGTTGTTGTCCTTCAGACTGACTTATGAAGATAGAGGTGTGTGTGTGTGTGTGTGTGTGTGTGTGTGTTGTGGGGTGTGTGAACCCCTAGCCCGGAACGTTCTGTTAGCGTCTCTCTGGCCCCTCTGTGACCCTGTGTTTTCTCTCTCCAATCAGCATCAGCGAGAGCTTCCTGACGGTGAAGGGCGCCGCCGTCTTCCTGCCTCGGGGAAATGGCTCCTCCCCTTCCTCGGCACCCGGCATCAGCCAGCGGTGGAACAAACACACAGGTATGCCCTCCCACTGACTGACAATGAACCAACCAACAAACTGACAACCATAGGACAGGGGTGAGTTCAGTAAGCAAATGTTGCAAATAGAAATGCCACAAATGGAGCCAACATGATAGCTTACTTTACATGTCAGTGAGGCCTGTCTGTTCAGCTCTTTATAACATAGAAATGTTCCACAATGTTGTCCTGCTGAACGTGCCCCAATACTCAACACAGACTCATGGGAAACTGACACTGCCCCAACATGAGGCCAAACCACAGTGCTGCTTATCATTGGAATGCAGCAGGCATTTTAAAGTGTTGAGGGAACCGACACTTGCACTGTTGTATAAGTCACCAGAGCAGAGCTGTCCAGTTCAGTTGATCCCATAGCTGTTACAATATGACACAGGTGGTCCACTGACTGCATGTTGTCTTGCCATAGAGTTGCTATTTAGGCGTGTGTTTTTCCATACCAGTGTCCTCGTGCTCAAGGGCAGAGATAATTGTTGTAAGTGTGTGTGCCTGTACTTGTGGGAAGGCTACTCTCTGCTCTGCTGGGTTTGCTAAGAGTTTTTCCCAGCTCTGTTAGTGGGATGTACCAGCCTAGATGTCTTTATTTTACTTTTTCAGTGACAAATAGTAATTGTGGGAAAACGTTCTCAAGTGAAGGACACTTTCTGTTACTTCGGCTGCGTTTGATAAAAAAAAAAAAAAATATATATATATATATATATATATATATATATATATATTTTTTACCCCTTTTTCTCCCCAATTTCGTGATATCCAATTGGTAGTTACAGTCTTGTCCCATCGCTGCAACTCCCCTACGGACTCGGGAGAGGCGATGGTCGAGAGCCACGCGTCCTCCGAAACACGACCCTGCCAAGCCGCACTTGACACACGGCTCGCTTAACTGGGAAGCCAGCCGCACCAATGTGTTGGAGGAAACACTGTCCAGCTGGCGACCGAAGTCAACTTGCAGGCGCCCGGCCCGCCACAAGGAGTCGCTAGAGCGCGATGGGACAAGGACATCCCGGCCGGTCAAACTGTCTCCTAACCCGGACGACGCTGGGCTAATTATGGGCGCTTCATGGGTCTCCCGGTCACGGCCGGCTGTGGCACAGCCTGGGATCGAACCCGGGTCTGTAGTGACGCCTCAAGCACTGCGATACAGTGCCTTAGACCGCTACGCCACTCGGGAGACCCTGCATTTGAATGTAAATGTTTATCCGAGCTGTATTTGGATTTTCTAGAGGTGTTTAATCAGACACACTGTGTTTTGTATGCCCGCATAATGTGGACTAACTTCACCCAAAGGAGTAATGAGTAAGAGCAGATGGCATCTCTCTCTCCTTCCTCAGGTGACCTCCAGCAGCACCTGCAGACCATGTTCACTGTGCTGCGGCCAGAAGACAACATCCGCCTGGTACGTCATCTCACACACTCGCATCGCACTCCCATACATCAAGTTCAAATGTCAAATTCATTATGTTTCATTCACGTAGCAGACAAATGAGTCTAGACCTATTCTGATGAATACTTCCAAATGCAGAGATTGACCAGTGGTTATTATTCTCCATCCCTCTTTTCTCTCCCTCCCCCTCCCTCTCGTCTTCCCTAAGGCTGTGCGCCTGGAGAGCGCGTTCGCTCAGCCTCACTGCACGCGCTACATGGTGGTGGTGTCCACCAATGGGAGACAGGACACAGAGGAGAGTGTGGTGCTGGGCATGGACTTTGGCTCCTCGGACAGGTTAGTACCACTGCATGCAGTGTGTGTGTGTGTGTGTGTGTGTGTGTGTGTGTAGCATCTTTAACAGCTGTCTATTCTTCTTCTACAGCTCATGCACAGTGGGGCTAGTTCTACCCCTGTGGAGCGACACACTGATCCACTTGGATGGAGATGGGTAAGTAGAGCGATACTACACCAGTTTCTTCCTTCCTGCATTTACTGTAGTTCTTCTGCCCAGTGGGACTGTCACATAACCTGTCTGTTTGCCTCTGTAGGGGCTTCAGTGTGTCCACGGTCAACAGGGTCCATGTCTTCAAACCAGTCTCTGTCCAGGCCATGTGGTGAGCACTCCTCCTTTCTCTCCTGTGTTCTCATCCCCCTCTGACTTTGACCCCCCCCCGCTGTCTTCCTCAGACTTGTCCCCTGTTTTACCTGTTTATCCTGTTATCAATCTTTCTCCCCTCTCCCCCTGTGTCCCCCAGGTCCGCCCTGCAGTCGCTCCACAAGGCGTGCGAGGTGGCCCGCTGTCACAACTACTACCCTGGCAGCCTGTTCCTGACCTGGGTCAGCTACTACCAGAGCCAGGTCTCCTCTGACCAGGTCTGCATTAACGAGTGGAACGTCATGCAGGACGTCCAGTCCCACCGGGCCGACTCGCCCGTCCTCTTCACCGACGTGTGAGTGTACCAGTCAGTCAAACGCGCGCGCACACACACACACACTTCCATATTAACCAACTGTGGTGAGGTCTTGTGAGGGGCAGGTCCCCTGGACTCACACCAACTTCTCTTCCAAAGAAAACAACATTGCCCAATTCCCCACCCAGAAGCGATCACGTGTGCCTGCTCGTTTAGGGGGGGGCTATCTGTAACGGCAGAACTCAGCTTGCGTGCCAGCAGCGTCTAAAATAGCCCCCTCTCCGTGTCCGCTTTATTTATGCATGGAAAAAGTTTCTAGACAGATAGGTAGACAAGCGGACGGAAGCAGGTGGCCGAGTATTTAAAGTAAAGGAATGGACTGAGTGACACCGAGGCAGGGGAAAGAGGTCAAAACCAAACTGGTTTAAATGTATTTTACTTGAGAGATGAGAAGAGTAAGCCTCTCCCTAAGCCTCCGCATTGACATCAAATGTCCCAGCTAGCCTTAAGCCTAGCCATGCATGCACAGTGGAAAGACGTGCACACGCACGCACACACACACACACACACACACACCCTGGTTAAGCTTGAGTACTTTGCACACACACACTTAAGGCAGACAATGCAAGTGTTAGTCAATCCTGTTGGGGTCACTGCCAAAGCCAAGATACCTGTTGATGACTGACAGACATCATATTTTCCTTTGTTCTTTGCACATTCATTTTATTCAGTATTGAGGGCTTGCTCTGACGTGGAGAATTTGACCCACATTTGTCCCTGCAAATAAACTCAGCAAAAAAAGAAACGTCCCTTTTTCAGGACCCTGTCTTTCAAAGATAATTTGTAAAAATCCAAATAACTTCACAGATCTTCATTGTGAAGGGTTTAAACACTGTTTCCCATGCTTGTTCAATGAACCGTAAACAATGAATGAACATGCACCTGTGGAACGGTCGTTAAGACACTAACAGCTTACAGACGGTAGGCAATTAAGGTCACAGTTATGAAAACTTAGGACACTAAAGAGGTCTTTCTACTGACCAAAAAAATACCAAAAGAAAGATGCCCAGGGTCCCTGTTCATCTGGGTGAATGTGCTTTAGGCATGCTGCAAGGAGGCATGAGGACAGCAGATGTGGCCGGGGCAATAAATTGCAATGTCCGTACTGTGAGACGCCCAAGACAGCGCTACAGGGAGACAGGACGGACAGCTGATCGTCCTCACAGTGGCAGACCGTGTAACAACACCTGCACAGGATCGGTACATCCGAACATCACACCTGCGGGACAGGTACAGGATGGCAACAACAACTGCCCAAGTTACACCAGGAATGCACAATCTCTCCATCAGTGCTCAGACTGTCCGCAATAGGCTGAGAGAGGCTGGACTGAGGGCTTGTAGGCCTGTTGTAAGGCAGGTCCTCAACAGACATCACCGACAACAACGTCGCCTATGGGCACAAACCCACCATCGCTGGACCAGACAGGACTGGCAAAAAGTGCTCTTCACTGACGAGTCGCAGTTTTGTCTCACCAGGGGTGATGGTCGAATTTGCGTTTATCGTCGAAGGAATGAGCGTTACACCGAGGCCTGTACTCTGGAGCGGGATCGATTTGGTAGAGGGTCCGTCATGGTCTGGGCGGTGTGTCACAGCATCATCGGACTGAGCTTGTTGTCATTGCAGGCAATCTCAAACCTGTGCGTTACAGGGCAGACATCCTCCTCCCTCATGTGGTACCCTTCCTGCAGGCTCATCCTGACATGACCCTCCAGCATGACAATGTCACCAGCCATACTGCTCGTTCTGTGCGTGATTTCCTTCAAGACAGGAATGTCAGTGTTCTGCCATGGCCAGCGAAGAGCCCGGATCTCAATCCCATTGAGCACGTCTGGGACCTGTTGGATAGGAGGGTGAGGGCTAGGGCCATTCCCCCCAGAAATGTCCTGGAACTTGCAGGTGCCTTGGTGGGAGACTGGGGTAACATCTCACAGCAGGAACTGGCGAAGCTGGTGCAGTCCATGAGGAGGAGATGCACTGCAGTACTTTATGCAGCTGGTGGCCACAGCAGATACTGTCTGTTACTTTAGATTTTGACCCCCCCCCCCCCCCCTTTGTTCAGGAACACATTATTCAATTTCTGTTAGTCACATGTCTGTGGAACATGTGTTTATGTCTCAGTTGTTGAATCTTATGTTCATACAAGTATTTACACATGTTAAGTTTGCTGAAAATAAAAGCAGTTGACAGTGAGAGGACGTTTCTTTTTTTTGAGTTTATGTGCGTGTATAGGTTGTATGTGTGCAATTGCAGAGTGTGTTGGGGTCAATTTCATTTTAAATTCAGGTGGTCAACTTAAATTCCAATTCCAATGGATTCCAATTCCGAGTTTACTTCCTGAATTGACTGAGTTAAAATTAAATTGACCCCTACCCTTGTGTTCATTGGCGTGTGTGTGTGTGTTATTCAGAGAGGTCAGGCTCTCTTGGCATAGCCAGTAACCCAACCCTGGCAGTAGCTCGGTCTCTTCTTGGAATGTGCAACAAGTTTCAAGTGTCTTAAGTCCCCGAACCCGTTCCTCAAGAGGTCAATCAAGTATGTGTTTGTATAAACAAGCTGCCCCTGGCTCTTTCTGATGTTCCAATAAGGACATGTCGTAATAATAAGCGTGACGGGTCATCAGACTGGGACAACAACACAAAGGCCCAACACACACCTGCTGCTGCTGCACAATCATGTTGACTGTTGTGGGAGCATAGCCACTGACCTACATTGTGGTGTGAATTGTGAAGAGAGGTGATTTGGTAGGAGAGGGAGCGAGAGCGAGAGGGAGAGAGAGGGGGAACAGATAAGGATAGAGGGAGGGGAGAGCGAAAGAGTGAGCGAACAGATCTAGAGGGGGGAGAACAGAAGGGGGTCTCATGGGACCTAATCAGGGCATGTTGCCCTTAGCGCTGCGCAAGTGGCTAAATGTGTCCTCAAATGCAGTTAGAGAGAGAGGGCAGGGACTCTTCATTATAACAAGAACATGAAATCTGGACTTAAACTGAGTGCTGTGGTTTTGTATGATGTGGAGATAGTGCCTCTGGTTTGATAAGAGCAAAGACTAAGTGGCTTTAGTGAGTTCCTCTAAGTCATATTCAGTGTGTTCTGGGTGAGAGGTAAATTGAGCCCCCATAACCCTCCGAGGTTGACTGAGGTGTGTCCTGAGAGGTGTACTGAGGATGTGTGTTTTTTTGTGTGTCCACAGGCCCACAGAAAGGGAGCGCACGGAGAGGTTGATCAAGACTCGCCTCAGAGAGATCATGATGCAGAAAGACCTGGAGAATGTCACCTCCAAAGAGGTTGGTTAAAGACGTTGGCACGCACACACGCTCTACTGGTTCTAACAGGTTATATACTGGTTCTTACTGGTTGTTACAGGTTCTCTAATGGGTTCTCTACTGGTTCTTCTTCAGATTCGCACAGAGCTGGAGATGCAGATGGTGTGCAACCTTCGGGAGTTCAAGGAGTTTATTGACAACGAGATGATAGTCATCCTGGGCCAGATGGACAGTCCCACAGAGATCTTTGACCATGTTTACCTGGTAAGAACATGGTCAAGGACTGCATTGCACCCTATTCCCTATATAATGCACTACCTTTAAGTGGTCTTCCTCTTTTTGTCCCTTTTTCTGCCTGTTTGTCTGTCTGCTGATATCCATAAGATGATATATCGAGTTTGACTTAATTCTGTTGTTTTGTGTCCAGGGCTCTGAGTGGAATGCTTCTAACTTGGAGGAGCTGCAGAACAGCGGGTAAGAGACCATTCTGAGTTGTCTATGATCATGTCAAAGACTGTTGGTTACTGTGACAGTTTACAGCACAGTTTCAGTACTGAGTAGAAGTTACAACGAGTAACGTTCTCCGTTTCACTCCTTCAGTGTGAGGTACATCCTCAACGTGACGCGGGAGATCGACAACTTCTTCCCAGGCATGTTTGAGTACCACAACATCCGCGTGTACGACGAGGAGGCCACCAACCTGCTGGAGTACTGGAACGACACCTACAAGTTCATCACCAAGGCCAAGTAAGCACTCTGATTTGTTGCACTTTATTAGGTGTTCTTGAGTGTCTTGAAAGCCCTCTGCCAAAAAAAAAAGTTTTATTATTAATTAGATTATAAGAGGATTCTCATTAATTGTATAATTTTTTATTTTTTTATGTCATTTTTTGCATGTCTTTGCATATTTGGTTTTAGCATTGTTCTTTTTAGCAAGTTCTGAATGGTCTATAGTGACCATAACCATAAGACACTATATCAAGATACAATACTGTACTGTGCCTTCGGAAAGTATTCCGACCCCTTCCCTTTTTCCACATTTTGTTATGTTACCCCCTTATTCTAAAATGGAAAAAATAATAATCCTCATCGATCTACACACAATACCCCATAATGACAAAGTGAAAACAGGTTTTTAGATTTTTCTGCACATTTATTACAAATAGAAAACAGATACCTTATTTACATAAGTATTCAGAGCCTTTGCTATGAGACTCGAAATTGAAGTGCATCCTGTTGCCATTGATCATCCTTAAGATGTTTCTAGAACTTGATTGGAGTCCACCTGTGGTAAATTCAATTGATTGGACATGATTTGGAAAGGCACACACCTGTCTAAATAAGGTCCCACAGTTGACAGTGCATGTCAGAGCAAAAACCAAGCCATGAGGTCGAAGGAATTGTCCATAGAGCTCCGAGACAGGATTGGGAGACTAGTCAGGATCGAGGCAAAGATGAACGGATCAAAGTACAGAGAGATTCTTGATGAAAACCTGCTCCAGAGCACTCAGGACCTCAGACTGGGGCGAAGGTTCACCTTCCAACAGGACAACGACCCTAAGCACACAGCCAAGACAACGCAGGAGTGGCTTCGGGACAAGTCTCTGAATGTCCTTGAGTGGCCCAGCCAGAGCCCGGACTTGAACCCGATCGAACATCTCTGGAGAGACCTGAAAATAGCTGTGCAGCGACGCTCCCCATCCAACCTGACAGAGCCTGAGCGGATCTGCAGAGAAGAATGGGAGAAACTCCCCAAATACAGGTGTGCCAAGCTTGTAGCGCCATACCCAAGAAGACTCAATGCTGTAATCACTGCCAAAGGTGCCTCAACAAAGTACTGAGTAAAGGGTCTGAATACTTATGTAAATGTCATATTTCCGTTTTTCTTTTTAATAAATTAGCAAAAGTTTCTAAAAACCTGTTTTGCTTTGTCATTATGGGATATTGTGTGTAGATTGATGAGGGGAAAAACAATAATCAATTTTAGAATAGAGTAAGGCTGCAACGTAACAAAATGTGGAAAATGTCAAGGGGTCTGAATACTTTCCGAATGCACTGTATGTCATAATCAGTTTGTCCTCTGCATGCCTGTCTTTGACCTCCTCTGTACTCCATCTCCTCTAACCCATGCCCTGTGTTCCCCTATAAGGAAAGCAGGGGCTAAATGCCTGGTCCACTGTAAGATGGGTGTGAGTCGCTCTGCCTCCACGGTGATAGCCTACGCCATGAAGGAGTACGGCTGGGACCTAGAGAAGGCCTTCGACTACGTCAAGGAGCGTCGCACCGTCACCAAGCCCAACCCCTCTTTCATGAAGCAGCTGGAGGAGTACCAGGGTATCCTGCTGGCCAGGTAGGCACAGGAGAGCACAGACGCTCTCACACAGACACCTGGCTCTGCATTGACTCTTTCTCAGTGTACATGATGGAATGAAGAAAAATGACGATTGTATTTGTTCCTTTCCTCCTCCTTTCTCTGCAGTAAACAGAGACACAACAAGTTGTGGCGCTCCCACTCGGACAGCGACCTCTCAGAGCGCCATGAATCTCTGCTGTGTAAGACGGGCCCTCACAGCCACACCTTGGGCCTCTCGGACCCCCACAACAACAACAATGGCCCCTCACCCTCCCTGCAACACTTCCTGCTCCAGGCACTTGGCGCTGCCAATGACCCCGACAACAAGACCTCGGGCTCCCACATTTCAGACACGCACTCGGAGCCCGTCCGACTCACCCGCTCCCACTCCCACTCCCCTGGCCCATCAGCCTCCAACGGTCTGTGTGACTCCCGGGAGAACCGCCAGGACCCCTTCCTACCGCCGCGGGCGGCCAAGGTGGTGCCCGAGGAGAGAATGGACAACTCAGCTCTGGTGGTTGTGGCCGTGACGGTGCCAATCACCACCGTCCCCCATCCTCCCCCCTCACTGCATATCATCCTCCCTTCTCCCTTCCCCCAGCCACTGGCCAAATCCCTCCATCTGGGTTTGAGCACACAGCTGTCCAGTCTTGTGCCTAAACAGAAAGCCCAGTGTGTAGAGCTGACCCTGGATCTGCCTGACCTCAGCAGCTCCGAAGTCGTATCTCAGGCCATCCTGGAGTCCAGCGATGACTCGGACACATTGGGACGCTCCCTGTCAGACCCGCTGAGCGAGAGGGGGGACAGTGTCAGTATGGCGTCCCCAGGGATCCCCATGGCCGTGAGCCCTCTCACCCCAACAACGGCACTGTCTTTAGGACCCTACGCCAACGATGACAACAACAACCCCAGTGGCGGTGCTAACCCCGTCGACACCACCTGCGTTACCGCATCCTCCAACCTCAGCACGGACAGCATCGACTTCTTCAGCGCCCGCGAGAAATTCCTGGGCCTGTCCCAAGACGGAAGGACTCTGATCCTTTCCGAGCAGACGGCTCAGCGGACGCCTCAGTCGCGGTGCCCCATCCAGGAGCTGCAGCCGCTGTCCCCCGAGAACCCTTCTGGAGCACTGCCAGCACTGCCGGGCACCGAGGAAGAGGAACAGGGAAAGGTGAGGCGGCCATTTTTATTTTATTTACACTGAAATGACTTTGAATGTTGAACGCCAGCCTCCTGCAGTGCCATTTATCTATGGCCTTCAGAGTGCCACAGCCCTGCTGAGAGTTACTGAGTGATTTAACAAGATTACAGTACTCAATGGAGACAGTCAATTGAATGGATTGTGATCTAATTCACTAATCCATTAGATAGGGAGGGAGCAAGCAACACAATGATGTCTTTGGGGATGGTTTGTACAATACTGCCACCTATTGGAAGGACCTTTTACATATGATCGGTTTCCATTGCTAATATGTTAAGGATGTTTATCAGGGGCCATATGTATCAAGCGTCTCAGACTAGGAGGGCTGATTTTAGGATCAGTTCTGCCTTTTAGATCACAATGAATAAGATTATTTTGACGGGGGACCTGATCCTGGATCAGCAGTCTGAGGCGCTTGATACAGTACATACGGACCCAGACCTTTTAGACAGCTGTTGTCTCCAGCATTAATACCAAGGTAACTCTGCTTAGATATCATACAAAGCAGACATTCAAACTATTCTCTCTGTTCTGTCTCTTATCTCAGAATTCCCCCCATACGGAGGACGGTAGCGACCGATCCAGCCATGACAAAGCTTCGCTGCCTCCCCATCACGACAATGGTGTGTCAGTCCGTCATATCGTCACGGAGATAGAGTCCATATCCCACCCACCGGCTGCGCCGCCCCTGTCCTCCACCCAGCCGGCCTCCCGCAGCCCCCAGCAACTGCTCCCTGAGGACCGGGCCGAGGACACCCCACTGACCTCGCCCTCCTACCCACAATCCCCCTCCACACCTCCCTCGGATTGGCCGGCCGGCTCGGTGCGCAGGGCCACCAAACAGCTGGAGCAGAGGCTGAGGCAGGAGCTGGACTTACCGCTCAGCAACACGTCTACCCAGCGCTCCCCTCTCCACTCCCCCAGTGCAGAGTTCCACCCCACGCACTCCCCTCTCCATACGACAAGCACGGACTGCCCATCCCTCCTCGCTCCTACCACAGACTGCCCCGAGCAGCATAGGCCTACCCCTGCTCCTGAGCAAGGAAGAACTCTGAATGAGGCTTTCACTGTGTCTGCAGAGCCCAACGGAGACCTAGAGTTAACCAGAGAGACAGAGCAGGGAGGGTTTGTCGTCTCAGACATGGACATTGCCCCAGCCCCAGACCCTTCCTTCTCTAACTACCCAGACGCCCGCCACACCCCTGAGCCCATCCCAATCATTGTGTGCCCTTCTCTGGAGCCATCTAGGGCCGAGCCCCAGGCCTCCCCCTCCCCTGCACTGCTGTGGCTGGAGGGGGTGACAGCCCTGGATTCAGACACGGATGGCCCCTCCCCTCCCCCGCCCCACCACAGAAGGCTGGCCCTGGCACGCAGCAGTGAGGAGCTGGAGAAGATCCAGGAGACCTTGAGGGAGCTGCAGGCCTTCCTGTACGAGGCGGGGGGTTTGGGATTGGGGGCTGGAGAAAGACCTGGTCAGGGGCAGCATCACAGGAAGACGCCCGTGTGGCAGAGGGCCATGGAGATCGAGGCGCGGATCCGCCAGGCGGGCCTCACGCCCCCTTCCCTGATGAAGCGCTCAGCCTCGCTGGCCAAGCTGGACTGCTTGGAGCTGTCAGCCAGCGACCTGAGTGACTGGGACATACGGCCCACCACCGCCAGCCCTCACGGACCCCCATTGGTGGCCACCCCTCACCCCTGCTCCCCCCATCACCCCAGCCCAGACGACGTCTCCAAGAAGCAGCGGGTGTTGTGCCGGAGCCCCCCCCCCACCCACAGGGCCCCCCTAGGAGGGGTGTACCCACTGGACCCAGACAGGACTGATAGGGGCTCCCAGAGTGCAGGGAGTGATCCACCCTCTCCCTCCTCACCTCCATTTATTGTTCTTCAAGGGGAGGAGGAGCTAGAGACAGACCTCTCCCCCTGGCTCACCCGCCGCACCCTGTCCCCGAAGAGCGCTCCCGATGTCACTATGACAACAGCGCAGCAGCAGCCCCGCGGGAAGAGTCACCCGCTGCGGCGGCTCCGCAAGGCTGCCGACAAGAAACGGACTGCCCCTGTGCTCTACAACACCATGTGACCTCACTGCACTCGGCTCTAGGTCGAGGGTGTCTGAGGGTGTCTGAGGGTGTCTGAGGGTGTCTGAGGGTGTATGCGTGCGAAAGTGTTTGTGTGGTGGCCTAGGCCCTACATGTGCACTATGGTCCAGACTGTCTCCCTTGGGCCCTTGTCTGTAGTGTGTGTGTGTGTGTGTGTGCGCTCACTAGCTGTGTTGGACCCTATGTAATCTCTTAGTGTGGACTTGTGGTCCGTGTATGTTCAGGTGAATGCTGAGTCTGTGGAGGTATGTGTGTTACTGTGGATGTGTCTGTGGGTCCCCCCCCCCCACCCATTTATGGTTTCTAAAACAGTTGTTATTTCTACAACTAAAATGAGGGGGCTGTTTCTCAAAAAACATGCACTTTACTCTCTTTTAATCTTTTTTTAAAGTTGTTTTTACCTGGGGAGTATTTTTGCACTGATTTATATGGTAGCCTGTCTGTGTGTATCTGTTGTATGTGAAGAGAAGTGTAAGTCACATTCTTTATTCTTATTTTAAACAAGACAAAGTTGATATTCTTTTTTTATCCTGTTCTTAGCTGTGACTATTAAAGAAACAAAAGTACATACATCATGACTCCTGTGATTCCTTATTGAAATCAAGAGGAGGGTATTTTAGAAGAGATCCTCTGGGGTGCACTGCGTTCAGTTGTAAACGTTGTGGATCGTTGCAGATAGAAATGTCCTGAATAGAGATGACATGGTTCCTTATTCTACATGTCAGAGAGGCATGTTTGTTCTACATGACATATTTATATATGAACATTCCTCAACATTGTGCCCTGCTGAACTCAGCCCTGGTTTCAACGGCCCCGCCTTATATTGAGGATCTATGTCTTGAAATCCCCCATGTGGACAGGACAGGAAGTACAAGTTAAGTTGGAGAGGAGACACTGGCTGGCTCTACCTCTTTTTGGCTTTCTGTGATTCCTCGCATCCCATCTCCTCACCTTCCTCTCAAACGTATTGGAGAAGGTCCAAGGTCCCACTCCTCTTAACTTTTTTTCCCCAATATGTTCTGAGGAGGTGAGGAAATAGGAATTGAAAAAGCACCACTAACTGGAAAATATCCAGCCTCTACATGTAAGTAATGTTTCCCTAAGGAAGTGAAGTCTACACATATTTAACACTGACAATTTTACTCCCCGGTTCATCGGTTTAATTAAAATAGTCTGAGATTTAGGTTGCCAGCCTCCCAGATGACATAGTGTCTGATATACACAGGGTGCTGTCATATTGGAAAGCTTCAGAGAAAGAAAGGGGGATACCTAGTCAGTTGTACAACTGAATGCATTCAACTGAAATGTGTATTCCGCATTAATGTGTCTTCCCCTCTGAATCAGAGAGGTGAGGGGTGCTACCTTGATCGACATCCACGTCATCGGCGCCCGGAATCTGCTTCATATTAATGAAATGTAACGCCTGCCCCTAAAACTCAGTAGTTTAACTAACATTTAGAAATATTTGTGAAATAGTACACCAAAACATTTTAATGGGTTTATTAAAAAGTTCAATATTTGCCCTCCCCAATGTCAATAACGGAGAGGAGAGTGTTGAAATGAAGTGTCTCATCATTGGTGCAGATGTTTGGCTTAGCGCCCTCCTGCACACTGAAGATGTTTGTCCCAAATGGCACCCTATACACTACACAGTGCACAGCTTTTGGCCAGAGATATATGTGCCATTTCACATTTGGGACGCATATGTTATTTATCCTCTGTCTTTTTAAAGATTCTCCACACATTTCCCCAGCACTGAGCTCTAAGGGGTTTTGTTATTTGTTAGCAGATTAGTTTTTAAAGATGAAAGCGGATGTGAACGCTGCTCAAAACAGCCTCTGTCTGTCTGGTTCCTAGGCTGTACTTTCACTTCTCAGGCAGTTGGTGAGCTGGCTAGTAGACACTGAACTACATAGGAAGGTTATGACCCAATGACATGTATAAACCCCGGATTGCTGATGCTATGTAATGGCCAATGAGAGGCTTTGAAGCCATCGGTCGCCATCTTGGTACTCCTCAGAAGGAGCAGTCCTCCATAGGAATGAGTGGAATTCTACAGTGTTTCAATAAATGTTTCATGGACAAAATTACATGAATTTAAGTATTTATTTGTTGTAGTCGGGATAGTAACAGAACTCTATAAAAGTACTTTAAAATGTTCAGTTCAAGGCCCCAGAGTCTGCAACACCACTAAGCAAGGGGCACCACCAAGCAAGTGGCACCATGAAGACCAAGGAGCTCTCCAAACAGGTCAGGGACAAAGTTGTGGAGAACTACTGATCAGGATTGTGTTATAAAAAAATATCTGACACTTTGAACATCCCACGGCGCACCATTAAATCATTATAAAAAAATTGAAACTGCCAAGAGAGGGCCGCCCACCAAAACCCACGGACCAGGCAAGGAGGGCATTAATCAGAGAGGCAACAAAGAGACCAAAGATAACCTTGAAGGAGCTGCAAAGCTCCAAAGTGGAGATTGGAGTATCTGTCCATAGGACCACTTTAAGCCGTACACTTAAAGAAAAAAATGCATGTGGGAGACTCCCCAAACATATGGAAGAAGGTACTCTGGTCAGATGAGACTAAAATTGAGCTTTATGGCCATCAAGGAAAATGCTATGTCTGGCGCAAACTCAACACCTCTTATCACCCCGAGAACACAATCCCCACGGTGAAGCATGGTGGTGGCAGCATCATCCTGTGGGGATGTTTTTCATCGGCAGGGACTGGGAAACTGGTCAGAATTGAAGGAATGATGGATGGCCCTAAATACAGGGAAATTCTTCAGGGAAACCTGTTTCAGTCTTCCAGAGATTTGAGACTGGGACGGAGGTTCACCTTCCAGCAGGACAATGACCCTAAGCATACTGCTAAAGCAACACTCAAGTGGGTTAAGGGGAAACATTTAAATGTATTGGAATGGCCTAGTCAAAGCCCAGACCTCAATCCAATTGAGAATCTGTGGTATGACTTAAAGATTGCTGTACACCAGCGGAACCCATCCAACTTGAAGGAGCTGGAGCAGTTTTGCCTTGAAGAATGGGCAAAAATCCCAGTGGCTAGATGTGCCAAGCTTGTAGAGACATACCCATAGAGATTTGCAGCTGTAATTGCTGCAAAAGGTGGCTCTACACAGTATTGACTTTGGGGGGGTGAATAGTTATGCACGCTCAATTTTTTTTTTGTTTGTCTTATTTTGTCTTATTTTATTTTGCATCTTCAAAGTGGTAGGCATGTTGTGTAAATCAAATGATACACCCCCCCCAAAACATCAATTTTAATTCCAGGTTGTAAGGCAACAAAATAGGAAAAATGCCAAGGGGGGTGAATACTTTCGCAAGCCACTGTATATATACTGAGATCATGTGACAGATCATGTGACACTTAGATTGCACACAGGTGGACTTTATTTAATTAATTATGTGACTTCTGAAGGTAATTGGTTGCACCAGAACCTATTTAGGGGCTTCATAGCAAAGGGGGTGAATACATATGCACGCACCACTTTTCCGTTATTTATTTTTTAGAATTTTTTGAAACAAGTTATTTTTTAAATTTCACTTCACAAATGTGTACTATTTTGTGTATGTCCATTACATGAAATCCAAAAAAAATCCATTTAAATTACAGGTTGTAATGCAACTAAATAGGAAAAACGCCAAGGGGGATGAATACTTTTGCAAGGCACTGTAGGTGGCCAGATTGGGAATTTAGCCAGGACACCAGGATTAACACCCCTACGATTAGTGCCATGGGATCTTTAGTGACCGCAGGTAGTCAGGACACCCGTTTAACATCCCATCCGAAAGATGGCACCATATACAGGGCAATGTCCCCAATCACTGCCCTGGGGCATTGGGATATTTTTTTTAGACCAGAGGAAAGAGTTCCACCTACTGGCCCTCCAACACCACTTCCAGCAGCGTCTGGTCTCCCATCCAGGACCAACCCTGCTTATCTTCAAAAGCAAGGCAGCAGTGGGATGCAGGGTGGTATGCTGCTGGCACAGAATACAGTATATTCAGAGATCAGCAATGGTACTGGGTTGTCATAAACTGCAGTGAAGATTATGCTGGTTTATACAGGTTATTGTATTTCCTGTTCTGTGATAACATCCGGAGACATTCTTAGGACTTTTTGTTATCGTATAATTTTAACAGAATGTAGAACATCACTGTTAGACACTGGTTTGATGCTGGAGATAAGTAATCTGATGTTAAAAAGCTGTGAATTGCTCCTTTAATGAAATAAACAGAAATACCACAGATGTTTTTTTTTTACTCTCTTACATATGCCACAAAATGTTTCATTGCCTCTAGCTCCTACTTTGTGAAAACCAACCACTTACAATAATAATAATAATAATAATAATAATAATCATCTGGCAAGATAAACAATTTATAGGAGTATGAACCAGACTCCTAACTTGTGCTATTTTTATAATACTATTTTTTGTATTGTTTTCTTTTTAAGTACTAAAAACCAAGCAACTTATGACACCTGCCCATATACAGCTGCGGAAAAAATTAAGAGAACACTGCAAAATGATCAGTTTCTCTGGTTTTACTATTTATAGGTATGTGTTTGGGTAAAAATAACATTTCTGTTTTATTCTATAATCTACTGACAACATTTCTCCCAAATTCCAAATAAAAATATTGTCATTTAGAGCATTTATTTGCAGAAAATGTCAACTGGTCAAAATAACAAAAAAGATGCAGTGTTGTCAGACCTCGAATAATGCAAAGAAAATAAGTTCATGTTAATTTTTAAACAACACAATAGTAATGTTTTAACTTAGGAAGAGTTCAGAAATCAATATTTGGTGGAATAACCCTGATTTTCAATCACAGCTTTCATGCGTCTTGGCATGCTCTCCACCAGTCTTTCACATTGATGTTGGGTGACTTTATGCCACTCCTGGCGCAAAAATTCTAGCAGCTCTGCTTTGTTTGATGGCTTGTGACCATCCATCTTCCTCTTGATCACATTCCAGAAGTTTTCAATGGGGTTCAGGTCTGGAGATTGGGCTGGCCATGACAGGGTCTTGATCTGGTGGTCCTCCATCCACACCTTGATTGACCTGGCTGTGTGGCATGGCGCATTGTCCTGCTGGAAAAACCAATCCTCAGAGTTGGGGAACAATGTCAGAGCAAAAGGAAGCAAGTTTTCTTCCAGGACAACCTTGTACGTGGCTTGATTCATGCATCCTTCACAAAGACAAATCTGCCCGATTCCAGCCTTGCTGAAGCACCCCCAGATCATCACCGATCCTCCACCAAATTTCACAGTGGGTGCGAGACACTGTGGCTTGTAGGCCTCTCCAGGTCTCCGTCTAACCATTAGACGACCAGGTGTTGGGCAAAGCTGAAAATTGGACTCATCAGAGGAGATGACCTTACTCCAGTCCTCTACGGTCCAATCCTTATGGTCTTTTGCAAACCTCAGCCTGGCTCTTCTTTGCTTCTCATTGATGAAGGGCTTTTATTTAGCTTTGCACGACTTCAGCCCTGCCCCTAGGAGCCTATTTCGAACCGTCCTCGCCATGCACTTCACTCCAGCTGCCGTTTGCCATTCTTTTGTAGGTCACTAGGTCAAGTCGTTTTCGCCCTCTGCCGGTCTGTAGCTTTGTTGTCCCCAATGTCTGCTGCTTGACCTTGTTCTTATGAACCGCCGTCTTTGAAATTTTAAGGATGGAAGCAACCTGACGCTCACTGTATCCTTCTGCCAGTAAAGCCAGAATTGACCCCTTCTTTTCCTCACTCAAAACTTTCCTTTTCAACTCTTTTGGCATGGTCAATAGTTATTTTTGGATTAATATTACTTTTGAGGTACTATTAGCACTGTTTTTGCCATCCAGCTGGTCCTATTGCAAGAGGATATTGATGACCACAGCAGTGGTTTTTATACATTTCCTCGTTAAATAAGATTTGGTTCATGTGATCACCTAATCAGTACCTAATTCAGTAGAATGAGGTGTGCCTGTGTTGGAATTCAACAGACACTGGAATGTAATGGCTGTCATACATGTAGAGATGCTGATTTAAGAAAAATTTGCAGTGGTCTCTTAATATTATCCACAGCTGTATATCCCCCCACCCCTCCCTCAAGAGTTTGACTCAGGTCAGAAATGAAAACCCACACAAGTGGAGACCATGCTGAAATGTCACACACATACAAACACATCACAACATTCATATCAGGTGCAGATGCCTTTTCAGTAGAATATCAAACTCAAAAAGTTCACCATGAAACGTGTCTCCACCAGTCCCCATTTCTGTCATCTCTGTTCTCTCTATGTCTCACCTCTCCCTTGATAACAGAAACCTACAATATATGTGCTCCCTGTAATAACCTCCATGAAAAAGATGGATCTACACTGAACAAAAATATAAATGCAACATGTAAAGCGTTGGTCCCATGTTTCATGAGTTGAAATAAAAGATCCCAGAAATGTTCCATACACACAAAAAGCATATTTCGCTCAAATTGTGCACAAATTTGTTTACATCCCTGTTAGTGAGCATTTCTCCAAGATAATCCATCCACCTGACAGGTGTGGCATATCAAGAAGCTGATTAAACAGCATGAGCATTGCACAGGTGCACCTTGTGCTGGGGACAATAAAAGGCCACTCTAAAATGTGCAGTTTTGTCACCCAACACAATGCCACAGATGTCTCAAGTTTTGAGGGAGCATGCTGCCTGCAGGAATGTCCACCAGATAACTTGCCAGAGAATTGAATGTTAATTTCTCTACCATATGCCTCCTCCAACGTCATTTTTGAAAATTCGCAGTATGTCCAACCGGCCTCACAACCTCTGACCACGTGTAACCACGCCAGTCCAGGACCTCCACATCCGGCTTCTTCACCTGCGGGATCGTCTGAGACCAACCACCCAGACAGCTGATGAAACTGTGGGTTTGCACAACCGAAGAATTTCTGCACAAACTGTCAGAAACCATCTCAGAGAAGCTCATCTGCATACTTGGCGTCCTCACAAGGGTCTTGACCTGACTGCAGTTCGGCGTCGTAACTGACTTCAGTGGGCAAATGCTCACCTTCGATGGCTACTGGCATGCTGGAGAAGTGTGCTCTTCACGGATGAATCCCGGTTTCAACTGTACTGGGCAGATGGCAGACAGTGTGTATGGCGTCGTGTAGGCGAGCGGTTTGCTGATGTCAACGTTGTGAACAGAGTGCCCCATGGTGGCGGTGGGGTTATGGTATGGGCAGGCATAAGCTACAGACAACGGACACAATTGCATTTTATCGATGGCAATTTGAATACACAGAGATACCATGACGAGATCCTGAGGCCCATTGTAGTGCCATTCATCTGCTGCCATCACCTCATGTTTCAGCATGATAATGCACAGCCCCATGTCGCAAGGATCTGTACACTTCCTAGAAGCTGAAAATGTCCCTTCCATGGCCTGCATACTCACCAGACATGTAACCCATTGAGTATGTTTGGGATGCTCTGGATCGACTTGTATGATATCCAGCAACTTCGCACAGCCATTGAAGAGGAGTGGGACAACATTCCACAGGCCCCAATCAACAGCCTGATCAACTATATGCAAAGGAGATGTGTCACGCTGCATGAGGCAAATGGTGGTCACACCAGATACTAACTGGTTTTCTGATCCACGCCCCTACTTTTATTTTAAGGTATCTGTGACCAACAGATGCATATCTGTATTCCCAGTCATGTGAAATCCATAGATTAGGGCCTCATTTATTTATTTCAATTGACTAATTTCCTCATATGAACTGTAAATCAGTAAAATCTTTGAAATTGTTGCATGTTGCATTTATATTTTTGTTCAGTGTATGTTCATTTATGTGTAGCCATATAGTGTTGGTCATAGTTATATTAGCCCCTATGGAGTTATATTAGCCCCTATGGAGTTATATTAGCCCCTATGGAGTCCAAAGGGTGAGCAACAGCAGCTGTATGGTGGCAGTACACATTGAAAGGTATAGGATGCTGCACCTGTTGTAGTGAACAGACTAGCTGCCTACGGACCAGTCTCCTGTCATAGTGTTATCATATTAACATGAACTCCTGTCATACGGTTATCATATTAACATGAACTCCTGTCATAGGGTTAACATATTAACATTAACTCTATAGGGTTATTATTCTATCTACTTATTAGAAGCATTAACAGTCAACAAGAGTCCATCCACAGTCTAAGTACAGTATGTCTCGATTTTGTGCAACTCAAAGAGGGGGGGGGGAATGTAGCAATCTAGTAAAAATGAGGAAGTAACAGGGTACGTCAACATCCCACCCCACTTGACCCACCTGACACTCACACAGAGGGCAGTATTCATTAGGGCACACTTTAGCAGAATGATTTGCAACGGTAAACAAAAACAAGTGTTTCTTATTGGACAATTTCAGGTAGTCCGTCCATGTGTCATTACATTTTCTTTCGTTTGGTGCCTAATGAATAAGACCCAGGTCTGTGAAGTGGACACAAACACTATCCCCCAATCACAGGACCGTTTTTTAAAGCATGGCCTTCACACACAAATACAAACACAATTTGTATTAACCTAGCACCACTGATGTGGTCGGTCAATGTAGCATTCCATTAAAAGTGTTTCTTCTTGTTTCTTGTTGTAAACTTGCACTGACTGCGAGTGCAGAGTGGCACCAGAGAGTAGTGACTCTGTACTGTAGCTGTATCAGCACTGTAGAGCCCTGTTGTGCCACACAGACAGGCTCTTATTGAAGGAGCGCAGTGGGAAAGGGGATATGGGACGGTCGGAGGAGGCAAGGCTGTCACAGCCAGGAGTAGAGTGAACCTATTGACTACCCTCTCTGGACCTCCACCTTCCTCCTCCTCCTCTCCCATACCTCCTAGAGCCCATCTGACCAATCAGGCTCTCATTTCTCCAAGAGTGACAGCTGGATGATCCGCTGCAGCTCCTCCTCCTCTTGTCGTCGCCGTAGCTCGGCCTCTGCCTGCTCCCGCGCCGACAGCTCCATGGCCAGGCGGAGCTGCTGGTCGTAGCTGCAGGCTGTGGGGGGCTTCTTGGTGGGCGTGCTACAGAGGCTGGCTGGAGGGCAAGGCTTGTGCTGGGGAGTCCTGGAGGAGGAGGAGGGTGGGTGGGAGGAGACAATGGGGTTGGAAACCTTTTTATTGTGCGAGGAGAATAGAGGAATTGACAGTGACAGTGGAAATGGTTGAACAATTTTGACAGGACATCATTTGAGTACGAAAGAGGGGTTGTCATGTACATGCAAACACACACACACACACACCAACACCGACACTGACACAGACACAGACAGACACACACACACGTTTGTTTTACTATCCTTGTGGGGACCAAACAATTGATTCCCATTCAAATCCCCAAACCCCTAACCCTACACCTAACCCCTAATTCTAACCCTACTTGTAACCCTAAACCTAACCCAAGCCTAAAATAGCATTTTTCCTTGTGGGGGCAGGCGAAATGTCCCCACTAGTCCCAATGTTCCTTGTTTTACTATCACAAGGACTTCTAGTAAAAACAAAAACAAACACACACAGGCACAGGCACACTAAATTGTTCTAGTTTGAGTTTATGTAGCATGCTGTGTATTGTTTCCAGAGGGGCATACAGGAGAGAGGCAGAGATACTGTATATCAGTGGGGGCCAGTCACTCAGAGTGTATATACTATATGAGTTGCAGGCAAAGACAACAGTGTGTGCATGAATGGGAGTGAGTCAACAGTGACATTGTGTGCTGTGAATGCAGCCAGGAAGCGCTCTGGCCTCCAATGTGCTGGAGAAGGGCAAGCCAAGGCTTTAGCAAACAAAGGCTGAGTAGAATAGCGAGTCGAGTGCAGAGAAAGTGCAGACCTTTGCAGGCGACTGGGGTCACAGGGAAGAGTATGTGTGCTGGGCTTGCTGTTGCTCAGGGCCTCCCAGATGGTCACCTATACACACACCAGAAAGTAGACAGACAGAGTAAGAGAGAAGACTAACCAAAGGCTCTTGTCATTTTAATGTTTCAATCTGTGTTGACACTGGATTATGCCCATACTGAGTCAACTGTTTGTCAAGCTAGCAGATAGGATAGACTTATACAATTTTTTTGTTTTTTTGTATCTAGCATGTATCTAGCATGTGTTGCTCTTTGCACAACTGTACACACTACTAATGCAATGTGCCTGTAGTTGATTAACATCCTGAATGAGCCCCCAAAATATGGTATTACTTTAGAGTTAAGGTTACAAAACAACCATATCATGCCTAATGTTCCACTTAGGAATGAAGAGGACTACCATCATACCATACTTCGTGTTCATTAGGCACCAAATGGCAGGAAACAAACTAAAACATGTAGGCACTACCTGGACCTTCATTTTCCGTTGCAAAATGTTTTCCAACGTTTTCCTTTGTGTTATTTAATGAACACGAGCCAGGATTTGAGATGGCAGTAAGCCCTATGAGGGGCCAGAGTGAGTCTGACCTGGTCGTACTCGGAGCCAGCCTCCAGCAGACTCTGTTGGATGGCAAACTGCAGCAGGTCCTCCTCCTCATCACCACGCATGTTGTTGTCCCTTTGGTTGCCTCCCAGCACAGTGTAACCCTGAGGGGGCTCGAACACACACGGGGGGATCTCCCCTCCACGACACGACGCTGCATGGGGGTGAGAGACACAGGACAGGAGGGATGGGATGTTATGGGTCATTCTTGAATTGCTGTGGCATTTGCGTCCCTTGCCTTAGCAACAATTAAACACACTTTAAAATGCCAAATAGTTACACATCATACATGTTTTGTTTATATGTATATCAATGATACAACATAATGCCAGTCCTTTATACTGCAACACTTTATGATTATGCATTGTTTAAAGTACTTAGAACAATCAAATTGGCTTGTCCAAATAGCGATGATTAGAGTTGTAGTGACATGTTTTTGGGATAGAAGTATCTATCTATTATTCTGAATGCTAAAAAGTAAACAAAAGTATTTAATATATTGTAAAGGCCAATAAAAACAAAGAAGGCTATTAAAATAGGCTATTAAAATACCTTATTTTAAAAATATTATGTGTCACTAAGTTTTATGTCATTGGTGTTACAGCCATTAAATTCACTCATTACAAAGATACACAAGGACTCCTCTCCTCCTCTCTTCATGTTAACAGCCATTGTTTGAACCCGATCGAACATCTCTGGAGAGACCTGAAAATAGCTGTGCGACGCTCTCCATCCAACCTGACAGAGCTTGAGAGGATCTGCAGAGAAGAATGGGAGAAACTCCCCAAATACAGGTGTGCCAAGCCTGTAGCGTCATACCCAAGAAGAATCGCTGCCAAAGGTGCTTCAACAAAGTACCTAGGAAAGGGTCTGAGTACTTATGTGTAACTCAGTTGGTAGAGCATGGCGCTTGCAACGCCAGGGTTGTGGGTTCGATTCCCACGGGGGCCAGTATGAAAATGTATGCACTCACTAACTGTAAGTCGCTCTGGATAAGAGCGTCTGCTAAATGACTAAAATGTAATATTTCCTGTTTTTTTTTAAATAAATTTGCAAACATTTATAAAACCCTGTTTTTGCTTTGTCATTATGGAGTATTGTGTGTAGATTGATGAGGGAAATAACAATTTAATCAATTTTAGAACAAGGCGTAACAAAATGTGGAAAAGGTGAAGGGGTCTGAATACTTTCCGAATGCACTGCATGTGATTTTGTTCCTATTCAACAAAAGTGGGGCAATAGAGCTTGAAATGACTGAAATGTTTTCTAAATATAGCTCCGCTGAGGGAGTGGAAACGGAGAGCAGACAGATGGGCCTTTTTGGTACTATAAGGTACTTTTTGGTACTACGGCGTTCACAGAGTACTTTTTACACCAAAATGTCAGTTGGAACCAGTCCAGAACCATATGAGGAACTTAACATCTAAGAGTTAGAGTTGAGCTGTGGTCTCAATTTTATAAAATCCTCAATTACCTAAAATGTGTCATTGGTCGCGTTACCGTCATTGGTGTTACTACTCCTACTGGTGGCAAAATGTTATCATAATTTATCAAACATAATTTATAATCATTAAGCTGCCATATTAGATGTATTTAGAATGGGAAAATGTATCCAAATATATTTAAATAAAAATGAAGTTCATATTTTATTTAAATGTCATGCCCAAATCCCACCTCAAGAACGACCCTTATGTTATGTTATTAGGAGTCAAAGTTTTTCCTGTCCAACCAGGTAAAACTCTGACTTTGTCCTGGTCAAGTCATGAGATTGGGAAACACTCTTGGCCCTATTTGTAGAGTAAAGATGGAGTGTGTGTGTGTGTGTGTGTGTGTGTCCATGTGTGTGTTTCTCACTCGTGGAGCTGGAGCTGGAGACACTAGAAGAGTCGCTGCCTGGGGAGGGGGTGTCTGTTTCAGTCCTGGGGCTGCTGTCCTTCTGTCCATCCACCTCCCCATCCACCCGGCCCGGCCCCGTCACCGACCCCTCCTCACACCCGTTCAGGTTCCCAAAGGTGATCCGGGCATTCAGTATGTGATAGATGGGAATTTCTGAGAAGATAAAGAGAAGTGACAGAGATGTTTAGGATTTACATTTATCACTGGATTCATAATTAATGTGCAATAGATGTACATATTCCAAACATGTTAAGAGCTCAAAATACCACATTTTGGGCAAATCCCATTTAACCATATTTGAGGCAGCATCTGAATGAATGTAAGGAGTAGCCAGAATGTCCCCCCTGAAATAAGTGGCGGAAAAAAGTACTCAATTGTCATAAAAGTAAAGATACCTTAATAGAAAATGCTTTAAGTAAAAGTAAAAGTCATCCAGTAAAATTCTGCTTGCGTAAAAGTCTAAAAGTATTTGGTTTTAAATATACTTAAGAATCAAAAGTAAATGTAATTCCTAAAATATCCTTAAGTGTCAAAAGTAAAAGTATAAATAATTTCAAATTCCTTACATTAAGCAAACCAGACGGCACAATTTTCTAGTTTTTTTATTTATTTACTGATAGCCAGGGGCACACTCCAACACTCAGACATAATTTAGAAATGAAGCATTTGTGTTTAGCGAGTCTGCCAGAACAGAGGCAGTAGGGATAACCAGGGATGTCCTTTTGATAAGCGTGTGAATTGGACTACTTTCCTGTCCTGCTAAACATTCAAAATGTAACGAGTACTTTTGGGTGTCAGGGAAAATGAATGGAGTAAAAAGTACATTATTTTCTTTAGAAATGTAGTGAAGTAAAAGCAAAAGTTGTAAAAAACATAAATAGTAAAGTACAGATACCCCAAAAAACTACTTAAGTAGTACTTTAAAGTATTTTTACTAAAGTACTTTACACCACTGGTCTACTTTTGATAATCTCCCACTCTCGCTTTCGCTCCACTCTCACTACCATGATGTGCTATGTCTCTAGGATGCAGAGCAAACTATCTGGTTACAAGAGTGTACTCTACTCCCTCACCGATCTTGACAGGGAAGCCAGGGGGCAGTCGCAGGGTAATGAAGTCCCTGAGCTTGGCGAAGAGGGCATTGGAGATGGCCATGAGGTCAATGATGGGCGCAACCTGCTCCGCCAGGGACAGAGGATGGGACTCACACAGCCACAGCTTAGCCTTGAACCTGAGGAAACATGTATCTATGTATATTATACAATACACCTGACTCTTGTTCAGTAGGGCTCACCGTAGCAAAATGTTTGGAAACGTAAAATGAAGAATAGTCCCTCCCTGTTTCATTTTTATTCTATTAGATGCCTAATGAACACCACCCTGTATACACAAGTACTACACACAGTGCAATGCTGTAATATGTCCAGCAGAAAGCATTTGGTCATGCAGGCATATTCAGAAACTGTGAGAGACTGGAACTCTAGTTCTATCTCATCCTATTACATTGATGAAATCCTGAGAGAATATTTTGAGTCTTGTAATTTGTTGCAAAAGAGCAGCATCACCATTGACTCTGCAATCAACTGTTGTCAATCACTGTGTGTGTAGGGTGTGTAGGGTTTCTGTTCAGGCCAATCAATGTTTATGTTCAACTGATGAGATAATGCACTAGTAGCCTAGTGATCGGGCTGGGACACCATCTCACTGTTGTCTTGTTACAATCAATCCAATAACCAGCAGAATTCTAAATGGCTATTGATGTGATATCCAGGTTCATAGTCATTTACCAGATCACACATCATACATACTGTAGATTGGACAGAAGGAAAACATGTACATGCATGGAACAGAGCCAAAGCACTTGACAGGGCCAGAGATACTGTAGAGTGCATCCAAAATGGCATCCTTTTCCCTATATAATGCACTACTTGGGTCCTGGTCAAAAGTAATGCACTTTAAAGGGAATAGGGTGCCATTTGGGATGCACACATATTGTATGGTTCTGGATAGGGCTATTATAGCCAAGGGCCCCAGGCATAGAGGTTGTTATAAGGGCTGTGATGGCTGTCGCTGTCACCTCTGAGTCTTGGTGGTGAGTTGACAGGGGTGGCCAATATCCCGGGTGCCCAGGGGCAGGTTGGGATTGAAGTACTCTTCAGCTGTCAGGGCTGTGGGGTTGGTCACGGCAGGACATGACATCTGAGTCACTAGGGCCTGTTGAGAGAAGGGGAGGGAGGAGGGACGGGGAGAGAGGAGAGAGAGAGGGAGGGAGCGATATAGAGTAAGAGAGTCAGAGTGAGAGAGAGAGAGAGAGAGAGAGAGAGAGAGAGAGAGAGAGAGAGAGAGAGGGGGATAACGATTGTCAGCAGGTTTGTCAGCAGAAGCCAATATTTGAGAGAGAAGAGAAGCCCAGGGAACTCTTTACTCATATCAATATTGATAGCCATGTTGGCTTGTGATTCACTGTCACTATAAGGTAAAATCCCTATACAATGAGGAGGATGAGGATGATGATTTGGATAAATGATGATGACGATGATAATGATGAGGATAATGATGACTATGACCACTAACCCCAATGTTGGGCCCCATGTGTTGCTCGGCGATCCCTAGGAAGTTCTGCAGGGGCGTCTTACCGCCTGAGGAAAAGGTCACATCAGTGGAACATTCGAGAGAGGAACTCAGAACAAGTCTATGACCATAGAAATAGGGTTAATAGAACAGTAGAAAAAAAAGGAAAGTTGACCTGGTAGTGGGAGTGGGAATGTCTATTCTAATAATACTATTTCTATGTCTGCAACACTAACCTAAGAATGCTGTCTCTCATCAATATTGGAGGGATGGAAATGGGGTAAGGGACTGGGGGAGTTGGGGAGTTGGGTTCTTGGAGAGAGGGCTTTGAGAGGGACGGGGCCGGTGATCAGAGCAGAGCAAGAACAATAGTCTTCTCTGGCCAAGGAAATTACTGTGGAAAATGCTTTAGGGCCACTTGTTGGGGCTTCTGTGCAATTATCAACATCAGAGCTTCTCTATTAGTGCAAACCATAGCTGTTTTGCAACCAAAACAAGCGTTTCTTATTGGACAAGTTCAGGTTAGTCCTTCCCCGTTTCAGCCCGTTTTCTTCCGTTTGATTCCTAGTGAATATACTCCAGTTTATTTAGGGTTGCATCCTGACTTGAGATCAGCGCGCTCAACTCAAATCTTTGCACCATTCTCCCATTGATGTCACTGAATGACTTACACCAAAGTCTGTGTTGCGCACGCTTATCTCAGCTCTAAATTGGGCCCTTTACTGCATCTAAGCCAAGATGTGGAAGTGACGTGGAAGATTACCAGTAATGATGCAAGGGCATTTTTAAAGAAATATGTAGAACTTCAGCAAAAAGAGACACCTTTGGGCTTAGCCTTGAGTGGCTCACTGAGATGGTCTGTTCGGGTTCGAGTGATCAGTTCCACATTGGAGGCGCCGTACACCTAACAGAGAAAACAAGAGTGTCATTGTTATGAGACTCTGGTTAAGTAGTGCACTATATAGGAAAGAAGGTACCAATTGGGACGCACATTCTGTGACTGCTTTAGATTAGTGATGTAGTAGGGATGTGGGCTCACTGCTGAGTCTATGTATATCTGTATATTGATAGTGCCTTACTCTAGAACCAGCACTCAGGAAACAGATGACATTACAGTGCCTTCGGAAAGTATTCAGACCCTTTGACTTTTTCCACACTTTGTTACGTTACAGCCTTATTCTAAAATTGATCCTCAGCTATCTACACACAATACCCCATAATGACAAAGCAAATTGCTATGAAACAGGTGCATCCTGTTTCCATTGATCATCCTTGAGATGTTTCCACAACTTGATTGGAGTCCACCTGTGGTAAATTCAATTGATTGGACATGATTTGGAAAGGCACACGCCTGTCTATATAAGGTCCCACAGTTGACAGTGCGTGTCAGAGCAAAAACCAAGCCATGAGGTTGAAGAAATTGTCCGTAGAGCTTCGAGACAGGATTGTGTCGAGGCACAGATCTGGGGAAGGGTACCAAAACATTCCTGCAGCATTGAAGGTCCCCAAGAACACAGTGGCCTCCATCATTCTTAAATGGAAGAAGTTTGGAACCACCAAGACTCTTTCTAGAGCTGGCCGCCCAGCCAAACTGAGCAATCGGGGTAGAAGGGCCTTGGCCAAGAACCTGATGGTCACTCTGACAGAGCTCTAGAGTTCCTCTGTGGAGATGGGAGAACCTTCCAGAAGGACAACCATCTCTGCAGCTCTCCACCAATCAGGCCTTTATGGTAGAGTGGCCAGAGGGAAGCCACTCCTCAGTAAAAGGCACATGACAGCCCGCTTGGAGTTTGGCAAAAGGCGCACCTAAAGACTCTCAGACCATGAGAAACAAGATTCTCTGGTCTGATGAAACCAAGATTGAACTCTTTGGCCTGAATGCCAAGCATCACGTCTGGAGGAAACCTGGCACCATCCCTACGGTGAAGGGCTTTGGTGGTGGCAGCATCATGCTGTGGGGATGTTTTTCAGAGGCAGGGACTGGGAGACTAGTCAGGATCGAGGCAAAGATGAACGGATCAAAGTACAGAGAGATTCTTGATGAAAACCTGCTCCAGAGCGCTCAGGACCTCAGACTGGGGCGAAGGTTCACTATCCAACAGGACAATAACCCTAAGCACACAGCCAAGACAACACAGGAGTGGCTTCGGGACAAGTCTCTGAATGTCCTTGAGTGGCCCAGCCAGAGCCCGGACTTGAAACCAATCGAACATCTCTGGAGAGACCTGAAAATAGCTGTGCAGCGACGCTCCCCATCCAACCTGACAGAGCCTGAGCGGATCTACAGAGAAGAATGGGATACTCCCCAAATACAGTTGTGCCTTGCTTGTAGCGCCATACCCAAGAAGACTCGATGCTGTAATTGCTGCCTAAGGTGCCTCAACAAAGTACTGAGTAAAGGGTCTGTGATATTTCAATTTTTTCCTTTTAATAAATTAGCAAAAGTTTCTAAAAACCTGTTTTGCTTTGTCATTATGGGGTATTGTGTGTAGATTGATGAGGGAAAAAACAATTTAATCAATTTTAGAATAAGGCTGTAACGTAACAAAATATGGAAAAAGTCAAGGGGTCTGAATACTTTCCGAAGGCACTGTATATACTGTACATCTTGAACTTCAGAGTGTTTTATTTCATTCGAGCAAAACCATATTGAAAGCCAGGGATATAAGGATAACGACTACATGTCTGTACCTTAGCCTCATACCCGTTCACCATCTCTGTCTTCTCACTGCGCCAGCCTAGGATGCCAGTCTTATTCCTGCCAGACAGACAGACAGATCCAGACACAAAACAACATGTCTGACTTAGAGGTTGTGTTCTCCCTCCCTTCAGTTCATATTCATATGTGGATTATTGGCATGTCGAGCATCCCCCTGACGCTGCCAAAACGACAGAGGTGACACTTAGCAAGCAATAAATGATGATTACACTCTCCCTCCTTCTCACCTCCCCCTCTGTCTCTCACTCTCCCTCCTTCTCACCTCCCCCTCTCTCTCTCACTCTCCCTCCTTCTCACCTACCCCTCTCTCTCACTCTCCCTCCTTCTCACCTCCCCCTCTCTCTCTCACTCTCCCTCCTTCTCACCTCCCCCTCTCTCTCTCACGCTCCCTCCTTCTCAACTCCCCCTCTCTCTCACTCTCCCTCCTTCTCATCTCCCCTCTCTCTCTCTCTCTCCCTCCTTCTCACCTCCCCCTCTGTCTCTCACTCTCCCTCCTTCTCACCTCCCCCTCTCTCTCTCACACTCCCTCCTTCTCAACTCCCCCTCTCTCTCACTCTCCCTCCTTCTCACCTCCCCTCTCTCTCTCTCACTCTCCCTCCTTCTCACCTCCCCCTCTCTCTCTCACTCTCCCTCCTTCTCACCTCTCCCTCTCTCTCACTCTCCCTCCTTCTCACCTCCCCCCCCTCTCTCACTCTCCCTCCTTCTCCTCCCTTTCTTTTTCATACAATCTGACCTGCATGAGAGATGTGTCTGGTCTTGCCCTTAGTGACCCCCTCCCTGCCTCTCCTCTTCCTCTCTTCCGCTTCTACTCCCTTTCTTTTTCATACCTATCTCTGCTCCTGCTCAATGCTAACACTCCTTCTCTCGTTCCCTCTGTCTCTCACCTCTCGAAGGTGATGTTTTTGGTGTCTAGCTGGGTGGTGACCACGGGGGCGGAAAGGCGGGCTGCCACCTGCTCCTCGCTGGGCTGTAGTGCCCCCAGGAGGCCCAGGCCTGTAGTGCCCCGCCGCGGGGAGGGAGACGTCAGAGAGGACACACACAGGGTCTCACAGAACACCAGCTGTCTGTCATGGTCCACCTCCATCACCACCGCACTGGAGTCTGACGGATAGACAGAGAGGAGGAGGAGTTAGAGAGAGAGAGAATGTGAGAGTAAGAATGAGAGTGAGAGAGAGAAGAGAGGGGGGGGGGGGTTAGAGAGAAAGATAGACATAGAGAAAGATGGGTTAGATAGAGAGAGAGAGTGGGTTAGAGAGACAGAGGAAGAGTAGGATGGGTTAGAGACACTGATAAACAGACAGAAATGGATTTAGACAGGGATAGAAAGAGAGAAATAAGGGTTAGAGGGAGGAGAGGGGGTGGGTTGCGAGGAGGGAGAGGAGGAGGGTGGTTAGATGAGAGGGTAGAGGAGGATTGGTGGGGTTAGTGAGAGAGGGAGAGGGGAGGGTGGGTTAGTGAGAGAGGGAGAGGAGGATGGTGGGTTAGAGAGAGGGAGGAGAGGAGGAGGGTGGGTTGTGAGAGAGGGAGAGGGGAGGTGGTTTGTGAGAGAGGGAGAGGAGGAGGGTGGGTTAGTGAGAGAGGGAGAGGAGGAGGGTGGGTTAGTGAGAGAGGGAGAGGAGGAGGGTGGGTTAGAGAGAGGGAGAGGAGGAGGGTGGGTTTAGAGAGGGGAGGGGAGGGTGGGTTTAGTAGAGAGGGATCGGGAGGGGGTGGGTTGTGAGCGAGGGGGGGCGAGGAGGGTGGGTTCAGTGAGCAGGGGGGGGGGGTGGGTTGTGCGCGCGGGGAGGGAGGCGGGGTGGGTTGTGAGAGAGGGGAGGACGGGGGTGGGTTATGGCCGAGGGAGAGGGAGCGGTGGGTTAGTGAGAGAGGGAGAGGAGGAGGGTGGGTTAGTGGAGGAGCGGAGAGGGAGGGTGGTGTTAGAGGGGAGCGAGTGGGTTATGGAGAGGGGGGGTGGGTTAGTGGAGCAGGAGCGAGTGGTGGGTTGTGAGAGAGCGAGAGAGAGGTGGGTTAGTGAGAGAGAGAGAGGAGGAGGGTGGGTTAGTGAGAGCAACAGACAGAGGAAGAAATATGGATTTAGATGGACAAAAAGAAGGATGGGTTAGAGAGAGACAAACAGAAAGAAGGATGGGATAGAGAGAGACAAACAGAAAGATAGGAATGGAGAGAAAAACAGGTTAGAGAGAGATATACAGAAAGGAGGAGGAACAGTTAAACTAAAGAGAGAGCGATATAGGTAGGGAAGAGGAGGTTTAGACTGACATACGTAGGAGGAGAGTCGAGAGAGATTGAAGAGAAAGGCCACATAGACAGAGGTGGAGTGAAACAGAAAGACGGAGGAGGAGGAGGAGGATTTAAAAAGCTGGAGGAGTCAATAAAAGACAGTGAGAGGAAGTAATATCAAAACAGGATGGAGAGATCTGACAGACAGTGACTAACATAATGATGACAGCGAGAGGGGGAAAGAAGGAAGGAAGGAAGTCCTGTGACAATAGAAAAGAGGACTCGACCACACATACACACACACTATCACACACACACTATCGCACACACAAACACATACACACGCACACACACACACTATCACACACACAAACACACACACACATGCACACACACACACACACACACATAAACACACACGGACATGCACACACACACACCGGACCCTGACCCCTGACCTTGACCCCGGAAGATGAAGCTTCGGTTTCCTCTCTGCCAGGTCATCTGATCAAAGCCCATGAGAGTGGTGTCTACGCGCAGACACTGGCCACTCTTCCACACGCGGTACGTGTCACTGGGGCAGATACGAGACACTAGCGGCACTAGGAAAGAGAGAGAGAGAGATAGACAATCATAGAAATAGAATTCCTACAACGGGGTCACCCCTATTTTAGTCAATGGCCCTGTGATGGTTGGGACTGGCGGCCATTTTGAGTGTCATTTTTTTATTGCGGTGATCTGGGGGTCTTGACCCATTCAAATTATTATATTTCTATGGAGACAATGCAGACCCACAGAGAAAGGAAGTCTGTCACCAAGCTCATATACAGTCAAGCAGGAAGCCATCATCCCATGCAGATAAAAAGCTGAGCGCCAGATAACATGACTTATTATGTCTTACCCCAGCTTGTAAACTCCCATTTCATCTCCACGTAAAAGTCCTGAGCCTTGGGAGAGAGAGAGAGAGAGAGAGAGAGAGAGAGAGAGAGAGAGAGAGAGAGAGAGAGAGAGAGAGAGAGAGAGACAGAGAGACAGAGAGGAAGGGGGGAGACACCCACACACAACACAACACACACACACAGAACAGGGACAAGAGAGAGAGAAAGGAAGACACCACACGAAAAAAGAGAGAAAGAGAGTAATTTTGTTGGGGTGGCCATGAACAAAGGACTGTAGCTGTTCCAATCCCATCCCAGGGCTGGTGGTGAGACAGAGACAGATATGGAGGAGGTGGGATTAATAATAGAACTAGTGGGGGGATTGCAGCGTTCTGGACTTGGGAGAGAGAGAGAAAGAGAGAGTGATGAAGAAAGGGGTGCACATCAATCATCAACTGTATCCGTACCCATTGGATATCCATTTTATAGTTGTATCGTACACATTGGCTGCAGTGATCACAATATAGTGACTATATCCAGGAAAGCCAAAGTTCCAAAAGCTGGGCCTAAAATAGTTTATAAGAGATGATACAAAAGATTTAGCTGTGACTCTTATGTGGACGATGTTAAAAAATATTTGTTGGTCTGATGTGATTAATAAGGAGCATCCAAATGCTGCATTTGATGAATTTATGAAATTGCTTCTTCCAATTATTGATAAACATGCACCTGTTAAGAAACTGACTGTTAGAATTGTTACAGCTCAATGGATTGATGAGGAATTGAAAAGCTGTATGGTTGAAAGAGATGGGGCAGAAGGAGTGGCTAATTAGTCTGGCTGCACATCTGACTGGCTGACTTACTGCAAATTGAGAAATGATGTGACTAAACTCAACAAAAAGAAGAAGAAACTGTATTATGAAGCCAAGTTCAATGATATAAAGAAAGATTGAAAAAAAACTTTGGAGTACTTTAAATGAAATTATGGGCAGAAAGACAAAAATATTATCAAATGGCTTATTCATCACAAAACCATTTGATGTTGCCAATTATTTTAATGATTACTTAATTGGCAAAGTGGGCAAACTTAGGCAGGAAATGCCAACAACGAAGAGTGAGCCATCGTATTCATGCATAAAAAAACAAATAATTAAATTAAATAATTGTAAGTTTGAATTTTGTAAAGTTAGTGTGGGAAAGGTGGATTAAATGTTTTAACAAACCTCCTGGCATGACAATAGATGGAAAGCTACTGAAGATGGTAGCTGACTCAATGGCCACTCCTATCTGTCATATCTTTAATATGAGTCTAGAGGAAGGTGCTTGTCCTCAGGCCTGGAGGGAAACCAAAGTCATTCATAAAGCGGCCTTTACTGGTTCTAACAGCAGAGGTATCAGCTTGCTGCCAGCTCTTAGCAAACTGTTGGAGAAAATTGTGTTTGACCAAATACAATGCTATTTCTCTGTAAACAAACAGACTTTCAGCATGCTTATAGAGAAGGGCACTCAACATGTACTGCAATGACACAAATTACCGATGATTGGTTGAAAGAAATTGATAATACGAAGATTGTGGGAGCTGTACCATTAGATTTCAGTGCAGCCTTTGATATTATTGAACATTACCTGCCATATCATGGATTCAGAGCTATCTATCTAATAGAACTCAGAGGGCTTTCTTTAATGGAAGCATCTCTAATGTCAAACATGTAGCGTGTGGTGTACCGCAGGGCAGCTCTCTAGGCCCTCTACTCTTTTCTATTTTTAGCAATAACCTGCCACTGGCATTAAACAAAGCCTGTGTGTCCATGTATGCTGATGATTCAACCATATACAGTGGGGAAAAAAAGTATTTAGTCAGCCACCAATTGTGCAAGTTCTCCCACTTAAAAAGATGAGAGAGGCCTGTCATTTTCATCATAGGTACACGTCAACTATGACAGACAAATTGAGGAAAAAAAATCCAGAAAATCACATTGTAGGATTTTTAATGAATTAATTTGCAAATTATGGTGGAAAATAAGTACAGGATGCACCTGAGCTCAATTTCGAGTCTCATAGCAAAGGGTCTGAATACTTATGTAAATAAGGTATTTCTGTTTTTTATTTTTAATACACTTGCTAAAATTTAAAAACAAATATTATTATGGGGTATTGTGTGTAGATTGATGAGGAAAACATTTGTTTTAATCCATTTTAGAATAAGGCTGTAAAGTAACAAAATGTGGAAAAGGTGAAGGGGTCTGAATACTTTCTGAATGCACTGTATATACACCCACAAATCTAGATTGTTTCAACTAATTATTAAGTAAGCCTTTTTTTATTTGTTTACTCAACTTTTCTGTTATCTGAAAAATAAAAAATGTTGGCCCAAACATGAGAATTATTTTTATTTAAAATGATGTGTTCGCTCAACTTGTCTCATATGTTCATTAAACTATGAATTATTTTTGAGCATCTTAACTAAAACAGGCTGTGCAACTTGTTACACACAGTGCTTTTAACGTACAATGTTTTCAATGTACATATATGACATACATGATTACATTGTGTATGTTCATTTATACAGTAATTATTATTTAACATGTCCTCACCTGGGATTTGAACTCACAACCTCTTGGTTCATGGCATTCCGATCTTCCTGCTACGCCACCATGTCTGTTTCAAGTATCAGTTAATCTGACTATTCTCTCATCATTGATTTGATTGACTTTTTAAGCAAAAAATAAATCTGTATAGTTGTCTAATGTTGGTGGGGCATATTACTCTGTTTTAATGTTACTCCATAATCATTATGATAAATAAAATAGTTTTTCTTGAGTGTACTTTTAATAGAGCTGAGATGTACTTTGCTCTGTAGCAATACAGGTGAAATCAGTTATTGACACAGACATGGTGGCGTAGCAGGAATGTTGTGAATCAAGAGGCTGTGAGTTCAAATCCCAGGTGAGGAAATATTGAATATGAATTACTGTATAAATGAACATGCACAATGTCAATGTGTGTCAAATATGTAAATTGAAAATAATGTATGTTGAAAGCACTGTAACTAGTTCCACAGCCTTTTTTTAGGTAAGATGCCCAAATAATAATTTCTAGTTGAATGAACATATGAGACAACTTGAGCAAACACATCATTTAAAAAATGTTGGCCTACATTTTCTCATGTTGGAGCTAAGTTTGGGCCAACTAAAAATATTAACGTCTGGGTATGACTTTAACCGAAATGTTGAGTAAACAAAAAAAAAAAGCTGTTACTTAATAATATTTAGTTCAAACAACTACTTTTTTTTTTACAGTGTGGTTCAATAAGATAAGTGCTAACACAAAATATATCTACAAGTGTTTCCTAAATGTCTGTAGTCTGAAGTTGCTGTTGTGCTCTGTACTTGTGTTCGGTGTCAGTGCCTCTCACCTGGTGCAGTCTCTCCAGGAGGACAGGGATTCCCGCCAGTCTCTTACTGGTCCGCTGGTAGTCACGGTAATGCAGAACTAGGCGCACCAGCTCTGGGTCTCGTGTGCTGACTGCCTCCTGGAGCACTATGGGAGACGGAAAGACAATCTTCACCTTACATATAGACACACACTCAGAGGCCAGTTAATGGTTCGCAACTACAGACAGTGAGTCACGTGGCCGTGGCTTGCAGACAGCCAGTTACTGTTCGATTGAACATTAGAATGGGCAAAACTAGTGAGCTAAGAGACTTTGAGCGTGGTAGACTCGTCGGTGCCAGGCACGCCGGTTCCAGTATCTCAGAAACGGCTGGCCTCCTGGGCTTTTCACGCACAACAGTGTCTAGGGTTTACCAAGAATGGTGCGACAAACAAAAAACATCCAGTCAGAGGCAGTCCTGTGAGCGAAAATAGCTTGTTGATGAGAGGTCAAAGGAGAATGGAAAGAATCGTGCAAGCTAACAGGCGGGCCACAGACAGGCAAATAATGGTGCAGTACAACAGTGGTGTGCAGAACGGCATCTCGGAACGCACAACTCGTCGGTCACGGATAGGCTACTGCAGCAGACGACCACACCAGGTTCCACTCCTATCAGTTAAAAACAAGAAGAAGCGGCTCCAGTTGCCATGCGATCACCAACACTGGACAACTGAGGACTGGAAAAACATTGCCTGGTCCGACGAATCCCAGTTCCTGTTGCGTCATGCTGATGGCAGAGTCTGGATTTGGCATAAGCAGCATGAGTCCATGGCCCCATCCTGCCTGGTATCAACGGTACATGCTGGTGGCGGTGGTGTAATGGTGTGGGAAATGTTTCATACCCTTGATACCAATTGAGCAATGTTTCCATGCCCTGAAGAATTTAGGCTGTCCTGGAGGCAAAGGGGGGTCTGACCCGGGACTAGATGGGTGTACCTAATAAACTGGCGAGTGTATATTGTACTGTACTGTGCTGCTCTGAACTGTGCTATGCTGTGCTATGCTATTCACTATACTGCACTACACTATCCTATAGTATATTATACTATACAGGTCCCTTCCAGTGCCACAGTCCTCAATCAACTCTTTGAGGAAATTCTGACTAACCTACCCAATCAATTTCAATTTCATTTTAAATTAACAATAACTGCATTGAAAAGCAAGTGTGCCTAATTACTTGATTAGATCCATCCACAAAAGCCATTTGGCTCATCATCAATCCACAAACAAATGGTTCCTATTCGTAGAATCCAATCCCCTTAATCTATTTCTATAGAGATTCTATACAGTACATCCTTCCTGCCTTTAATGGTGAGTCACTATTAGACTCCTCCTAGCCAATTTATATATGCTTTCACAGTACTGTTGTGTTTTATGGATGATTCTGCTGAAAAAACAATTTCCCCTTGAGGGATGATAAAGTTTTCTACCGCTACTGCTACCAATACTGCTACTAGTACTACTCCTACTAATAATACTGCTACTACTCCTACTACTATTAATACTACTCCTACTACTATTCCTCCCCCTCCTCCTCCTCCTCCTACTAAACTACCTACTCATACTACTACTACTACTACTACTACTACTATTATCCTACTACTACTATTATTACTACTCCTACTACTACTGCTACTACTACTACTACTATTACTACTCCTATTACTACTACTCCTACTACTACTATTATTACTACTCCTACTACTCCTACTATTATTACTACTACTACTCCTACTACTATTACTACTACTACTCCTACTACTACTCCTCGCTCTACTACTCCTACGACTCTTACTATTATTACTACTACTACATATACGACTCCTACTACTACTCGCTACTCCTACGCCTACTCCTACTACTATTATTACTACTACTACTACTACTACTACTACAACTACTACTACTACTACTACTACTACTCCTACTACTCCTACTATTATTACTACTACTACTACTACTATTACTACTACTCCTACTCCTACTCCTACTATTACTACTACTCCTACTACTACTAGTATTACTGCTACTACTACTCCTACTACTACTACTACTCCTACTACTACTATTACTACTACTCCTACTACTACTATTATTAATCCTACTACTCCAACTATTACTACTACTACTACTACTCCTACTACTACTACTACTCCTACTACTCCTACTATTATTACTACTATTACTACTACTCCTACTACTGCTCCTACTACTACTATTACTACTACTACTACTACTCCTACTACTCCTACTATTATTACTACTCCTACTACTACTCCTATTATTACTACTACTCCTACTACTACTCCTACTCCTACTACTCCTACTGTTACTACTCCTACTCCTACTACTCCTACTACTCCTACTACTCTCCTACTGCTACTACTCCTACTACTACTACTACTACTCCTACTCCTCCTACTGCTACTACTCCTACTCCTACTACTCCTACTACTACTACTATTATTACTACTACTACTCCTACTACTCCTACTGCTACTACACCACTGTACTATTACTACCCCTCCCTGTCTCACCCGTCCATCCGTTGCGGTTCTCCTTGCTGACGTCAGCACCATGTTGGAGGAGCAGGCGGGCACAGTCCAGGTGACCCAGAGTGACAGCCAGGTGGAGGGGGGTCCGACCCCGGGGGTCCAGGGTCTCCACATCCACCTGAGGGAGGGGGGGGTAGGGAAGAGAAGAGGAGAGAATTGGGGTCATTGTATGGCATGGCGTGCAGGGCTCATCTGGCAAGGAGAGAGAGAAAAATAGAGAGAGAGAGGGTGGAGGAAGTGTGGAGGAGAGAGTGATGTAAGGAGAAGAGACAGGTGATAATTGAGCTATCACATCCTCACATGACCGGAGTGCCAGTGTTCTAGATGGGTCGGCTTTATATAGTGAGTTACACTATAAGTGTCTAGATGTAACGTCTCTGTCATTCTCTAGAGTTGATCTCTCTCTCTCTCTCTCTGTCTCTCTCTCTCTGTCTCAGCCTCTTCCTGCCTCAGTTTTGATACAGTAGCTATATCAGTCTAGTAGCCTACTGCAGTGTGTTTGATGTAGTCTCTCTGCTCTGCAGTCTAGTTGGTCTAAATCCGCAAGTGTCTATGTCTATAAATCGGGTCTCTGGCTTGTGATTAAACAAAGTTCATTAGAGCACCTGGCAGGATCCAAGGTCAAGAATAAACCAACCACATGCTGCCATCCTAATGAGGGAGGCTGGGGTTGCGTCCCAAATGGCACATTATTCCCTCTATAGTGCTCTACTTTAGACCCCCTGTGGGGGCCCTGGTCAAAAGTAGTGCAATATAAAGGGAATAGGGTGACATTTTGGAATCAGAATCTGCCTTACTGGTGGATGTGGAAAATGTATTGACGAAATGACAACGCATGGAAATGGATGGATGGAGCTTGCTGTTGTGAGGGGAGGAGCGGTTGTAACAGTGAATAAGCGCAATTGCTTTATGGTACACTTCCATTCGAGCTTTGTGTCTATTCATATTTGCATTGGAAATGTTTCAACACACAGTGTTGTGTTGTGTTGTGTGAGGGCTTGTGCCCCAGTGCAGGTCAGTGCAGCCCCGACGGTTGGTGTTGGTGTGTTGAGTGTACTTTGGAGTGTGTTATTGTGGAGTGTGTTGTACAGTACATCAGAGGGATGATGCTGGGTTGTTTTTCACCAGGAGCAGCCTCCCTCCTCCCACGTGGAGCCTCCTCACCTCCCCTGCTGCTCTCCCTCTCTCTCCAGGGGCCTCCCTGGGGGCCACGCCCTGCTCTGTAATTAGCAAGCCCAGTGTTAGAGTTAGTGACGCCACCGCTTGATCGCAAGTAACAACTGGGGCTCCTAATTCCAAAGAGAGGGTATGGGGACGCCGGAGAGGAGAGGAGGAATGGAACGGCGGAAAAACGGGAGGAGGAATCCACACAGGCACTGTCGGAGGTGAAGGACGGGGTGTGGAGGGAATAGAGGTGTATCGCTATAGCAACCAAGGCATGACAAGAAGAGGCGGGAGAGAGGGAGAAGGAGGAGGAAGGTGTGCTATGCGTTGGAGCTGACAGGGCTGGTTGAGTGGCGGCAGCTGCTCTGTGAGATAGAGAGGGTGGTGGTGGAGTAGGCTGTGGATAGTGAATAATGGGTAGTGAGTGATTGATTGATGTCAGAGTGGCTTTGTAGGGCCCTCCAAGTGGCCCTGGGGATGACACTGAGGAAAGAGAAAGAGAGAGAGAGAAAACAAAAAGAGAGAGAGAGAGAGAGAGACAGAGACAGAGAAGAGAGAGAGAGAGAGATGAGAGGGAGAGAGAGAGAGAGAGAGAGAGAGAGAGGAGGAGGAGGCGGGAGGCGGATGGATGGAGGTGGATGGAAGGAAGGAAGGAAGGAAGGAAGGAGGAAGGAAGGAAGGAGGAAGGAATGAAGGAAGGAAGGAAGGAAGGAAGGAGGAAGGAAGGAAGAAGGGCAAAAGGATTAAGAAGGAGTGAAACTGGCAGATACAGTGAAACGCTACATCAAACAGTAAGAGCAGCAGCACCAAGTTGTGGTAGTATTATGATGATTGAGGGGGATTTTTTTTTACAATTGTTGACTAATTACAACTTATCCAATTGTGTTAGAACAGTGGTTAGCAAGATTGCCTACTGGCTGGGAGGAACGGGTTCAAAAGCCACAAGGGGCGTTGCACTGTCATCATTCGCTACAATATTTAAGTGATAATGCCCGAGAAGCCGGTGTTTCTTCTCGAGCCGGAAAACCATCAATCAATCAATCAATTTTATTTTATATAGCCCTTCTTACATCAGCTAATATCTCGAAAGTGCTGTACAGAAACCCAGCCTAAAACCCCAAACAGCTAGTAATGCAGGTGTAGAAGCACGGTGGCTAGGAAAAACTCCCTAGAAAGGCGAAAACCTAGGAAGAAACCTAGAGAGGAACCAGGCTATGAGGGGTGGCCAGTCCTCTTCTGGCTGTGCCGGGTGAAGATTATAACAGAACCATGCCAAGATGTTCAAAAATGTTCATAAGTGACAAGCATGGTCAAATAATAATCAGGAATAAATCTCAGTTGGCTTTTCATAGCCGATCATTAAGAGTTGAAAACAGCAGGTCTGGGACAGGTAGGGGTTCCATAACCGCAGGCAGAACAGTTGAAACTGGAATAGCAGCAAGGCCAGGCGGACTGGGGACAGCAAGGAGTCACCACGGCCGGTAGTCCCGACGTATGGTCCTAGGGCTCAGGTCTCTCAGTTGGCTTTTCATAGCCGATCATTAAGAGTTGAAAACAGCAGGTCTGGGACAGGTAGGGGTTTCGTAACCGCAGGCAGAACAGTTGAAACTGGAATAGCAGCAAGGCCAGGCGGACTGGGGACAGCAAGGTGTCATCATGCCCGGTAGTCCTGACGTATGGTCCTAGGGCTCAGGTTCTCAGAGAGAAAGAGAGAACGAGAGAATTAGAGAGAGCATACTTAAATTCACACAGGACACTGGATAAGACAGGAGAAGTACTCCAGGTATAACCAACTAACCCCAGCCCCCCGACACATAAACTACTGCAGCATAAATACTGGAGGCTGAGACAGGAGCGGTCCGGAGACACTGTGGCCCCATCCGAAGAAACCCCCGGACAGGGCCAAACAGGAAGGATATAACCCCACCCACTCTGCCAAAGCACAGCCCCCGCACCACTAGAGGGATATCCTCAACCACCAACTTACAATCCTGAGACAAGGCCGAGTATAGCCCACAGAGGTCTCCACCACAGCACAAACCAAGGGGGGGCGCCAACCCAGACAGGAAGATCACGTCAGTAACTCAACCCACTCAAGTGACGCACCCCTCCCAGGGACAGCATGAAAGAGCACCAGCAAGCCAGTGACTCAGCCCCTGCAACAGGGTTAGAGGCAGAGAACCCCAGTGGAGAGGGGAACCGGCCTGGCAGAGACAGCAAGGGCTGTTCGTTGCTCCAGAGCCTTTCCGTTCACCTTCACACTCCTGGGCCAGACTACACTCAATCATATGACCTACTGAAGAGATAAGTCTTCAGTAAAGACTTAAAGGTTGAGACCGAGTCTGCGTCTCTCACATGGGTAGGCAGACTGTTCCATAAAAATGTGCCAATATATCCTCCAAACACCGGATTCAAGGGCATTACCACTTTTATACAACGGGTTACCAACATATTCAAATAATGATTTACATATTTTCATTAAAAACGTTATTTTGATTAATTTATCCATACTATTTCATCCTTCCACAAGATATCGTCCCGACACAAATCTAGGGTTGCTACCCAAGCCGGCTGGTCGTTCGTTATATCGGTTCAGTTGCCAGAGACGCGACCCAGTTGTTAAGTCTTACTTACATACCCTGACTTGCTAGCTAGCCAACTACGGCTAACTTACAGTCACATCAAACAGTGCAGCCAGAATAACAACAAAGTAGCCGCATTTGCATTTGTTTAAGCTGTTTTCTAGTGACATTTATTTGGATACATCCATAACAATGAGCTAATGATGCGCGATTTCACCTGGCTAGGAGGACATTTTCCGGATTGACTGACCTTCATGTCTTAAAGTAATGATGGACTGCCGTTTCTCTTTGCTTATTTGAGCTTTTCTTGCCATAATATGGACTTGGTCTTTTACCAAATAGGGCTATCTTTTGTATACCACCCCTACCTTGTCACAACACAACTGATTGGCTCAAACGCATTAAGAAGGAAAGAAATTCCACAAATTAACATTTAACATTGAAACGCATACTATGTGAAAGCTGGATCGAATTTGAATATTTAAACAATGTTGCAAATGTCTGAGATTTTAGGACTTTTAGTCCTCATTTGGACTAATCTTCCAAGAGTCCTTAAACATTCAAATATAATTTTAAAACATTTTCACATATAACACACTGTTACGAAACAACAGACATAATACACTGACATATTAACCAGATAAATACTCTAACAGTCTGAAAAGATAGATTGATTCCTTCATCTACCATAGTCCTGCATCACCTTCAAATGTTTTATGTTTAAATGGTTCTAAAGTATTGTTTGCATTTACAGTGCATTTGGAAAGTATTCAGACCCCTTCCCTTTTTCCACATTTTGTTGCGTTACAGCCTTATTCTAAAATTGATTAAATTACTTTTTTCCCTCATCAATCTACACACAGTACCCCGTAATGACAAAGCGAAAACAGGTTTTTAGAAATGTAAAAAACGGAAATACTTTATTTACATAAGTATTCAGACCCTTTGCTATGAGACTAGAAATTGAGCTCAGGTGCATCCTGTTTCCATTGATCATCCTTAAGATGTTTCTACAACTTGATTGGAGACCACCTGTGGTAAATTCAATTGATTGGACATGATTTGGAAAGGCACACACCTGTCTATATAAGGTCCCACAGTTGACAGTGCATGTCAGAGCAAAAACCAAGCCATGAGGTCGAAGGAATTGTCCGTAGAGGTCCGAGACAGGATTGTGTTGAGGGACAGATCTGGGGAAGGGTACCAAAACATTCCTGCAGCATTTAAGGTCCCCAAGAACACAGTGGCCTCCATCATTCTTAAATGGAAGACGTTTGGAACCACCAAGACTCTTCCTAGAGCTGGCCGCCCGGCCAAACTGAGCAATCGGGGGAGAAGGGCCTTGGTCAGGGAGGTGACCAAGAACCCGATGGTCACTCTGACAGAGCTCCAGAGTTCCTCTGTGGAGATAGGAGAACCTTCCAGAAGGACAACCATCTCCGCAGCACTCCACCAATCAGGCCTTTATGGTAGAGTGGCCAGACGGAAGCCACTCCTCAGTAAAAGGCACATGACAGCCCGCTTGGAGTTTGCCAAAAGGCACCTAAAGGACTCTCAGACCATGAGAAACAAGATTGTCTGGTCTGATTAAATAAAAGATTGAACTCTTTGGCCTGAATGCCAAGCGTCACGTCTGGAGGAAACCTGGCACCATCCCTACGGTGAAGCATGGTGGTGGCAGCATCATGCTGTGTGGTCCTCTGTAGCTCAGCTGGTAGAGCACGGCGCTTGTAACGCCAAGGTTGTGGGTTCGATCCCCGGGACCACCCATACACAAAAATGTATGCACGCATGACTGTAAGTCGCTTTGGATAAAAGCGTCTGCTAAATGGCATATTATTATTATTTATGTTTTTCAGTGGCAGGGACTGGGACACTAGTCAGGATCGAGGGAAAGATGAACAGAGTAAAGTACAGAGAGATCCTTGATGAAAACCTGCTCCAGAGCGCTCAGGACCTCAGACTGGGGCGAAGGTTCAACATCCAACAGGACAACGACCCTAAGCACACAGCCAAGACAAAGCAGGAGTGGCTTCGAATGTCCTTGAGTGGCCCAGCCAGAGCCCGGACTTGAACATGATCGAACATCTCTGGAGAGACCTGAAAATAGCTGTGCAGCGACTCTCCATCCAACCTGAGAGGACCTGCAGAGAAGAATGGGAGAAACTCCCCAAATACAGGTGTGTCAAGCTTGTAGCGTCATACCCAAGAAAACTCAAGGCTGTAATCACTGCCAAAAGTGCTTCAACAAAGTACTGAGTAAAGGGTCTGAATCCTTATGGGGTGTTGTGTGTAGATTGATGAGGGGGAAAACGATTTAATCCATTTTAGAATAAGGCTCTAAAGTAACAAAATGTGGAAAAGGTCAAGGTGTCTGAATGCACTGAAAAAACGGAAAGGTTTTCGGTTTGCTCAGATAAATTATTCAATTTCTTTATTACTCTGAATCTAAATCTTATTTTGCCTATTTCTCTTTACACATAGATGGTGAACAGTATATTCCTACTGTAGTATTGACTAAATGTCTGAGACAGACAGACAGCAAGGTTTATACAAGTCTCCGCTGTTGAAAACTAAATGTTAGTCTAAAAGAAATGTGAGATAATGTCTAGATGCTTTTTATAGTGGAGATCAAGTTGATAAATTGCCAGGCTGGGCTGATGAGACAGTGGATTGCGCAGTCACATTTTACATTTTAGTCATTTAGCAGACGCTCTTATCCAGAGCGACTTAGACACACACTTAGTGAGTGCATACATTTTCATACTGTCATAGATTTAGTCGGTGGTAACCTGTGGAATAGACACTGACTGGAATGCGGTTTTAACCAATCAGCATTCAGGATTAGACCCACCTGTTGTATAAAGCTAATTAAGTATGAGAGCATAGAGCCTTCTAAGAAGGCTTGACTGAGGTGGAGAGGCCTCATAGTCAATATTGTTTAAGACAACTGGCCCCCATTGACCCAGTCTGATGTTATTTTTACACCATTGAGACACTCAAATAGAAACACGACAGCAGCCACTTTCTCACACAAACAAACATGCAATCACGCACAGACACAAGTCCTCTCTCTCTATCTGTTCAGTAAAATTAGAATTAAAAAAATATATATATTAAAAAAGGAAACCACTCTTGACAATAACACTCTTATAACATTATTGGTCAGTTACAGTATAGAACTGACACGCTAAACCGATACACTCAAATGTAACACTTTTCTGCTGTGGTACACAGACACACGTCACCTCCTAGTCCACACCTCCTCATCCTTACGTCTTTACACTAGTGCACACATTAACCCTGAAACACAGTGGCACCCTTACTCATCCACATGTGAACAATGAGTTTCTGACCAACAAGCAGCTCACAAATAGAGCCCCACTATCTAGCACACAAACACATACAGACCCACACACCCACACTCACAGTGTCAGTATAGATGCTGATTTAATGTAGGATCAGTTTTGCCTTTTAGCTCATAATGAATAAGATGAAATACACCTAGGGGGACCTTATCCCAGATCAGTCTCCCGAGTGGCGCAGTGGTCTAAGGCACTGCATCGCAGTGCTAGCTGTGCCACTAGAGATCCTGGTTCAAATCCAGGCTCTGTCGTAGCCGGCCGCGACCGGGAGACCCATGGGGCGGCGCACAAGTCGTCCAGGGTAGGGGAGGGAATGGCCGGCAGGGATGTAGCTCAGTTTGTAGAGCATGGTGTTTGCAACGCCAGGGTTGTGGGTTTGATTCCCATGGGGGGCCAGTATAAAAAATTATGTAAGCCGCTCTGGATAAGAGCGTCTGCTAAATGACGTAAATGTAATCAGCACTCCTACTCTGAGGCACTTACAGAATCAACTGGCTCAGGTGGTTACAGTAAGGATATTATGTCAGAATGGGTCTCCCCATTCTCTCTGCTCATCCTCATCACCCTCTGACTGCCTCGTAGTCCCTGCTCTCTCTCTTTCTCTTCCTCCTTGGGTCCATCCTTGGCTCCATCCATCCATAATTATTGTGTCCCTCCCTTGGTTCTCCCCTCTCTCCCTCTCAGTGGAAACTGCATAATTGATAGACATCTCTGTCTACTCCTGCACTCTCTCTGCTTGCCATAATGTTCTCTGGCAGCTACTTAAACCAACATCAATCTTTCATTGCGAGACCAAAATATGTTTGTAGTGGGTGGAGGGTGCATGCATGGGAATCATATGTGTGCACATTGGGAGGGGGTAAGAAAATAAACTTCTCCCCCTTATTTTCAGTGTTACCCTTTTTCATTTCGGAGGTTACTATGTACAACTGTGATTGATCCATTTTCAATTTGTGTTGGAAAGTTATAGCCTAGTTATAGCCAAATGTTGTATATGACATGACAGCACTTGGGATAATGTATCTTTATGCAGTCATTCTCTATGCGAGTCTATGGTGCAAGTGGGGCGTAAACAAATGAGACCACACCATCAGATGCATGTGTGTGATCGACCTATAGAAATCTCAAAATAACTAATATTATTACCATCCCTCTATCACCAAATGCAGGGCAGAGAGAGAAAAGGAGGCCAGGAGGAGTGAGTCGTTTGTGCCTGAGAGTCTGAGCCCAGTGAATTTGAGCGAGAGGGACGGCTGGGCGGAGACAAGGTGAGAGCAGCAGAGGGACTGGAGGAGGATGGAGGAGGATGGAGCTGGGTGAAATAACTCTGCCATGGTCTGTGAACCTGTCACAGGCAGGGTGGGGAGAGATATGTGGGTCTCTCCCTCCTCCTCGATAACAGATGTGACAGCACTAGTCTCTGATACATGTCCAACTGAAGAGACGCTAAGCTCTCTCATACTAACGGATGGGGGTGAAAATGATCACCTATATATTTTATACTTGGGATAACATTCAAACCAATGGCAAACCATTAGGCTACAGCCTTTAGTGTTTAACCTGAATCACATTAAACCTCACAATCATCTATAGATGTTTTCACACTTGTGTTAGCGTTTTAAACCAATGTCAAACCTTCATTCTGCTACAAGTTTTACTGTTAAATCACTAAAACTTTTAAGATGCATTATATTGGCAACATGTCTTGTAACCATTGTTGTCACTTGTCAACCACCATAAGACGAATGTAATAACATGTATTACTTTGCTCAATGATAGGAGACAACAGATTATATTCTTTGTGAAGGGAGGAGGAAGTTGTGAATAGAGAAATAGTGGATAGAGGGAAGTCCACCACAATGCAAAGAGAGTAGGAACCTACTCCTATCTCTAAGGTAGGAACTTGACATTTGCTCTCATGCATGTAATAGAATATGAAAATACCTTGGATTTGCATAATCAAATGACAACAAGGTAACGTGGTTAAGTAAATATCAATACATAATGTTGGAATGAAAACTTGAAATGCTTATGGGCGGTGTGTTTCAGGAAATAATAACATGACTATTGTGGAACATCTCTTCCCATGTCTGATGGTTGATATAGATTAGGATATTGGAGAATTGGAGGTTGAATTCAGTACTGACCTCAGAGAGTTTTATGCAAGGCTATTTACAACAGGTGTGTGCGTGTGCGCGTGTGCATGCGTAGTGTGTGCATGCGCATGCAAATATACAGTAAGCGTGTCCCTACATTATGGTTTGCAATGGCAGTAATGAAATCAGATATGATCCTTGAAGTATCATTCATTTCCTCCTTTCCATTTCAGGCACACAATGCAACACAATATTAGCAGGGACATCTTTTCAATCTTTATGGAGTACTGCTGTCTGTTTCTGTCCTCTCTCTCAGTTAAAAGCTTTCTACAATTTATCTAAATCTAGACCAATCACATCCCTATCCCTAGTGACACTGCACTGCTGCAATTAGTGTAGAGTTCCACTGCACTGTAGAGGTAAGAAGAGGGGAGATGAGATGGAGGGATGGAGCACCATAGAGGGGAGTTAGGGGAAAACTAAGGTACATTGGGTGCGGGAGTGAGAAACAGACAGGATGGATGGGCAGTATACCGTGTCAGGGGAATTTACTGTAGATTGCAGGCAGGGATAGACAGATGGTATAGCAGAGACAAACGAGGAAGGAAGACAATGTAATTTGTGAGGCCTGTCTCCACCCAGTATGATATCATCAGACTTTAAGACTGCTGAGTTAACATGAGCGCCCAGCTGAGCCTGTGAGCGTCGTACACATTAGAGTGAGGGGAGGGGAGGGGGGCGGCTGGCGGTGGGGGTGGCTCCTCCTCGCCTCTCTTTGGAGGAAGGATGGGGCAGTTATTTTTAGAAAAGGACCCTGTTCCATTTCAATCATATCTGGGATGCATTTTTAGTGGATGGATCAGGATATAGTGATATGCTGCTGCACACTGCTGTTATTCATCCCTCCCTCCATCCTTTCTTCTCTTCACTATCCCACTTGCATCCTCATGTTACTTTACAACCTCTGGCTATCTCTCTTTGTCTCTACCTTGTTGACAGCTCTCTCTCTCTCTCTCTCTCTCTCTCTCTCTCTCTCTATTCACAGACTCCCTCTGCTTTGTTTTATGACACTGCTGAAAGAAGCTGCAATTTGACCTTCCCCTCTTCCCTCTCCTCCCTTCTCAATGTATCTTTTTTACTTTTGCTCTTTTATGTGCTTCTTCTTCTCCTTCCCGGCTTCCTTTGTCGCCGCACTGTCGTTACATTGATACCCAATACCAATAACATTTTCTCTCTCTGCTGGTGCAGCACTTCTCTGTTCTTTCATCAGTGAGGCGCCAGCCTTGCTTACCCTGTGCACTTTTTGTGTCCTGCACTCCTTTAGAGACCATTGATCATTGACATACACTACCAGTCAAAAGTTTGGACACACCTACTCATTCAAGGGTTTTTCTTTATTTTTACTATTTTCTACATTGTAGAATAATAGTGAAGACATCAAAACTATGAAAAAACACATATAGAATCATGTATTAACCAAAAAAGTGTTAAACAAATCTAGATATATATTAAATGTGAGATTCTTCAAATAGCCACCCTTTGCCTTGATGACAGCTTTGCAAACTCTTGGCATTCTCATGCTGGTTAAGTGTGCCTTGAATTCTAAATAAATCACAGACAGTGTCACAAGCAAAGCACCCCCACACCATAACACCTCCTCCTCCATGCTTTACGGTGGGAACTACACATGCGGAGATTATCGGTTCACCCACACCGCGTCTCACAAAGACACGGCAGTTGGAACCAAAAATCTCTAATTTGGACTCCAGACCAAAGGACAAATTTCCACCGGTCTAATGTCCATTGCTTGTGTTTGTTGGCCCAAGCAGGTCTCTTCTTCTTATTGGTGTCCTTTAGTAGTGGTTCTCTTTGCAGCAATTTGACCATGAAGGCCTGATTCACACAGTCCCCTCTGAACAGTTGATATTGAGAAGTGTCTGTGACTTGAACTCTGTGAAGCATTTATTTGTGCTGCAATTTCTGAGGTTGGTAACTCTAATGAACTTATCCTCTGCAGCAAAGGTAACTCTGGGTCTTCCATTCCTGTGGGGGTCCTCACGAGAGCCAGTTTCATCATAGCGCTTGATGGTTTTACGACTGCACTTGAAGAAACGTTCAAAGTTCTTGAAATTGTCTGTATTGACTGAACTTCATGTCTTAAAGTAATGATGGACTGTCGTTTCTCTTTGCTTATTTGAGCTGTTCTTGCCATAATATGGACTTGGTCTTTTACCAAATAGGGCTATCTTCTGTATACCCCCCTGACCTTGTCACAACACAACTGATTGGCTCAAACACATTAAGAAGGAAAGAAACTCCACAAATTAACTTTTAACAAGGCACACCTGTTAATTGAAATGCATTCCAGGTGACTACCTCATGAATCTGGTTGAGAGAATGCCAAGAGTGTGCAAAGCTGTCATCAAGGCAAAGGGTGGCTACTTGAAGAATCTCAAATATAAAATATATTTTGATTTGTTTAACACTTTTTTGGTTACTACATGATTCCATTTGTGTTATTTCATAGTTCTGATGTCTTCACTATTATTCTACAATGTAAAAAATTGTAAAAATAAAGAAAAACCCTTGAATGAGTAGGTGTGTCCAAACTTTTGACTGGTAGTGTATATGCAACCACAGTCAGCCATATCCAATCCACTCATGTACACACTCGACCGTCCATACATCCAGCCAGTCAGTCAGTGAGTTCCTGACAGACAGTTGGCCAGCCAGTGTAACTCTTCCCCTGATGGAGCCATAAACACACCTCTATAAGCCTGCATTCTTTGCCAAGAGAGACCAGGATTTATCTATAAGTGCCCTGTAAATTACATAAACTGGGGGTGCGTTATATAGTCATAATCAATGGGGCTCAGGCTTGAATCATCACCAGCATCACAGTGCTCTGCACAGCATTGCATCCGAGCCAAGAGATGCTAGGCCTGAGCGTTTACCATACGTTTTAACGGTGTGTACCGTCAAATAAAGTTATTTGAATGGAATTGAATAGGATTTGTATATAAATATGACTGAGAGTGTAAGGCATTCATTTACATTTACATTTTAGTCATTTAGCAGTCAGGTACGGAGATGTGTGAGAGTAAACTAGTCTTATAAATGTCCTATAAATGTTTCTAAATTTAAATAAGGCGTCAATCACAGTGACCGGACATATGAAGGGCATGCAAATATTCCCCTTTAAACAGTTTATTTAGCTCACATTCAGAGTGAAAAACAACCACAGCCCTTCTGTTGACGTGACAGTGTTACAGCAGGGAAGCCAGTACTGCACATCAACCTGGTGCATTATACGCACCAGAACAGGGAACTGGCCTTTCAGTCTACTGTCATTTAAAACCTGCACTCTCACCATTGCTTACCATTTCTTGTCAATATTAAATTCATAGCATTATATGCTTTGTATTATAAACACATGTGACTAGTCCTGCTGGAAATAATAAGGCACTGAAATAATGCAGATCCTCATGAGAAATTGGAATTCAATCTGTGCATAGTGTGCAGGTTTTTAGTTCTGTCTTATTCATCCCTACTGAATTGTCTGTGTGGCTGGGAAACTGCAGGAAACCTCTTATGTAACGTGTTAGATATTCCATATTCTTGCAGAGGTGCACTGACTGTTAATTTAAGACAGTATTTTTCAGGTGTCTGTCTGTCATGCCTTATGTCCATCAGTCTGTCCTGTAGTACCTATTTCCATTGTATGCATGCATCATGCAATTTTATTCTGTAGGAATGGACATATCATAGAAATAGTAAACATGGCATAGCCACACATCCTCTTCTGACAGCCGAGGCAAGACTGGTATTATTTCCATCACTATGCTTGTGCATCAATTCGCCCACATTATATCTGCATTGTCTCCCACGGTTTCCTCCTCTTCATTTAGGTGGTGGGGAGGTACAGTATTGGACACAACACGAAATAGTATTACTAGCAGCTTTACACACGCACAGCCACAGCTTGCTCTATAGTAAAAAATAGCAAGGAAATGGTAATGGAATTGAGTAGGCTAGAGATGATTTCAAGAATGATACAATGTTGCAAGTTCATGATGTGCTCGCCAAATGCAATGACATCATTGTATGAAATTGTAGCAAAGCCTAGACACATTTTCTGATTCCCACTGAACGACAACGTTGGAAACACATTTCAAACGAGGTTTAACGTGACGGTATTTCATGGCATGGGCTAATTTGCAATATCGAGGTAAACTCATGGCAGGTAGCCACCTATTGAAACACATGTAACTTCCACCACCTCCTACCGTTCAATTCATTCAACGAGCCCACGGTTCGTGAACTGTGGTCACACTAGATGAAACACCTAACCTAAACCTATTCAAATGGTATTGGCACGGCCCACGCTTTTTTATCAGATAGACGAGAACGTGTCGTCCGAAGACTCCTCACCTGCTCGTTCGCGGATAGCGCTTTCTCCAGTTGCCGATGTTTGTTGTGCCACACCATATAGTGAATAGGATAACGACTCTTTTCCGGAGTTTTCTTAGCAGAAATCATCTTCGGTTCATAGTTCGCCTTCTCTCCTCTGTTTTTTTTTTTGTTCCGTATAAGCCTATCGCTTAATACTTCGCTTTTGACTGACTATTTGCTCATATTCTCGCTCTGTCGTGACATGTCACTTTACAAGACATGCCTTCCGCATTATAATATGAAAGTATGAATAAAAAATTACAACGATTTCCCTTGCAGTCCGTTGGTTATGATAAAGACTAGACAATAAACAGCCCTCGATCTAAGAAGAATCTGCAAGAGACCCCTTACTTGTATTTAATCTAGCCTACCTCTGTTCTCCATGCCCTGCCCCTCTCATACCTTTCTCTTCCTCCTTGAATAAACTAGCGAGGCAGACGCCCATCTATTCTCCGTTCCCTCCCATCACAGCGAATGGTGACTGAGAAATGTACTCTGCACTGTTGCGAGACAGTGATGACAGCCCGCAATAAAATGTAAGCAGCCAATCAAATAGAAGGGATGCTGATGAGAGTGATGTATAAATGCACGCGCGTTGAGTGGCTTGTGTGGCTACATACGCCACCAACCAGTCATAATGAGTTAGTAATTAACTTTTCACTTCATATGAATTAAATAAACTAAAGAATCAGCCTATATAGCTTAGCCTATACCAAAATCACATCCAAATAGCCTAAGGCCTACACATTTGATGATGTCTATTGGCTCATTGGCTAGGCTATAACACGGCTATGTTTTTGCAACATGAAACTCTCAACATTTATTTAGGATTTGTAATCCTGCTTTTATCCCCATATTATTACAGATTAGTCAATGTCTAAAACATCAGAATAGCATTGCCAGCCACCACTATTTTCCTTCGACAGCCTCTCCTGTGATATATGATAGCCTAAGCCACTATAAAGCTTTACACAACATAATCAAATAAATAATATCCAGAGACCTAGCTAAATATGAACATTTAGAATAAGAGAGGTGTAGGCCTACATGCAAGGGTATTGATTAGATTTCACGCTTTGACGAATACGATATGATTTTAGAGCTACCTCTATTCCCATGGGTATTGGTGAGAGAGAGTGGCGATCAGAGCAAGTAGGGGTAGAGTGCGAGTCGAGTGACAGGTAGGAAGGAGCGCAGTTAGCCGACTTAGGTCTTGATATTGGCAATGCACTGTGTGCTAGTGTTTTATATCCCTCTAGATATGAGCTAGCCAGTGATAATCATCCCACTGCATCCGGAGTTTAGGACTGATACCGGTTAGGAAGAAAAGGGAAAGGGGTAGCTTCGGTCCGGGAGTGCCGAAGACCACATCGCCGGCTTCCGGGGATTCAGGGCAGCTTCGAGAAACAGCAGACGGCGGTCTTCGGAAGGGCGAGCATCCATTAGATATCATTTGGATAGACAACCACTGCTGTAGTGGAACCCGAAACATGTCAAGAAAGGTCCACAGAACCGAAGTATGCGCCGACTGCAGTGCACCAGGTGCGATGAAAACTGAAACAATGCGTTGTTTTAGTCTTTGAGATGTGCTAGCTGGCGACATTTAGGTGGGACGGCGGAGGCCTGTGCCCGCTGTCAGACAGTTGTACAAGAAAACGGCGCAGGTTCCCTGGCAGTTAGTTAGTCAGGCCTTTAAACGGAGTGAAATTTGAATTTTCAGTGCATGTGGATAAATGAAGTGACTAGAAAGTTATTTTGGTTTATTTGATAAGAATCATATTCTGTGGATGAGTGTGGCAGATTTGTTTCGCCTGCTTGACTAGCTCGCTAGCCAGCCAAGTAACGTTAGACGTTTGTTTTTATTTCTCTTGATAGCTAACGTTAGCTAGCTAACGTTAGTTGGGTTAACCGCCACATCTAGCTGGTAGCTAACTACCTAGCTTGCTAACAAATGAGAAAGTGTCTGTCTTGTCTAGCTTGAATAACTTGCTATCACAGCTTTTTGTCTGTAAAGTTCGCTCTGTAGCTAGAACTGAGCTGGCCACACGGGCTAACTAGCTAGCTGGCTATGTAGGTAGGTAGCTAGTTACATTTGAAGACGCCAGGCTAACTAGCGGTGTAGTATGTGTAGATAGCTAGCTAGTGTGCTAACGTTCAGAGACAATAACATTAGCTGAACGTTGTTACTGAGTTAGCTAGCTAGCTAAATTATCATAAAATAGTAGTTGAAGCTAGTTGGTTAGCTAACTAGCTAGCTGCCTGCAACTAGCCAATGCCAATGGGTTAGCAAGCAGTGCGGCGCAGAGTAGGGGCGTTGATAGTAGAAATTGAGAATAGTGATTGAGTGAGTGCCTGTAATCTGGACCCCTGACCTGTCTAGACTGCTCCATCTGTAGGCAAAAAAACAAACACTTTTAGCTTAATTCTTCATGGCATTTTTTTAGTATGAGTTGCTCATAAAATCCTAAATTGACTTGCAAATTGCAAATCATGAAGACTACATTCTCCAACTCAGTGTTTTTCTACAACATTATTGTGCCCCCACAACTCTGATGTGATGCCAACCTTGGCATCCTGGCCCTCCCTGCAGGCATAGCCTTGGCCTTGCACATTTAGCCCCACCTGCCCCAATGTTTTGGGGAAGAGGAGAGTTTGGAATGGGGGTTGGGTGGGGTGCATGGCAGCTGCTCTCTCCCTCACAGCTGCTCTTCCTTCAGGAATGTGTTTCTGCTCTGTGAGCCTCTTCTGCACTATCCCAGCTGATTTATGACACTCCTGACCATCACTCATCTGCAGTTACCTGCGTTAGCCTGGCCTGCTTGTATACCTACTCTGTGTGTGTACTGTGCTGTTTCTTACTTACAGTCTACCATCAGCTTTCCGCAGCCTCGGCTGCCCCTCCCCTTCTCGGCAGTGTGTGACTCCTTGCAACCCTCCACACTGGAATAGCTACTGGACTCATAAACAACCTCCATATTTTGGAAGAATCAAATAGCCACAATAGGCTATTAAATATTGTTCCTGCCAGTATGCTCGTAAGGCATATTTGTTTTTCTGTCATAATATGGTTAGAGTTTTATGGGGTTGTCATGGGCAGCACAGCATGTGGTAGAACGCTAGACTGAAGAGAGGGCTATAGCCTTAAGTAGTGTTGACTGTAGATATAGTGGTAAAAGAGACTAGAGTTGCCCCATATGCGCTGTGTCTGCCTGTGTGTGTGTAGCCTAGGTCAGTGTCTGTGTGAGTGCATGCATATGAAATCGCATTAAGCGCTGCACACACTAAGTGGAAGTAAGTGTGGAAATGGAGAGGAAGAGCGATGGGGCTGTTCTGTGAAGCATGAATTATGACGAGATTTAACTTTTAGTGTCAATGAATGGAATCTATACCAATGAAGAGTCCTGCTCCCCGCTCTTAACATTTGGTTTAGCGCTCTGCTTTGTCCTGCTCAGCCATGGGTACAATCCCAACAATGAATTGCTGCTTTTCATAGATCATAATATTTGAAAACAGCAGGCGTGCTTTGTTGAGTATTGCCAATAGCTAATTGTTTCAGAATTGTCCCTCAAGAACAGATCTCTCTCTCTGCATGTATTTGCTCTGCCCCAGCCCAATCTCTTAGGCTTGGCTCTTAGGCCTACCATTTGAGAAAAAAACTAATGCTCCATTTAGTTCCTCGGATAGAATAGGCCGTTTGCACGTCTTACACAGTTAGCTTAGCCTAATTGTAGCAGAATCCTGAGGGTGTAGGCTAACCTTGCCCCAGCCAGACTTAATTACTAGACTCTGTGGCGCATGGTTCTCTCTGTGCCGACTGAACTCTGGACTTGTATAGTATGATGATCTCATTACCACCTAAAGGCACAATTGGGTGGTACTGGACTTTTAAAGGTCAGACTTGTATTTAGGCTATACAGTATGACGCTAATAATAATGGCGTTTTGTTGCGTTTTGTTGCTTTTTATGGTCCCGAGAACTCCTTTTTAGAGTGTCATTGTAAACTCCACATGTCAGGCAAACTGTCAGCCTGTTTATCACTCTCACAGCTATTTGATTATTTTAAATGTGTGCAGTAAACAATAATGTCAAATATTAGGCCTAACTTTATTACCAGTGAAACAAAGCTATAGGCCTAATGATGAACCTGAGATAACCTAGACCTACCTAGTAGCCAGTTTTCAGAGGTGGGACTTTGCTAAATAGCCTAAGTTGTACACACCTGACCCCCCCCCCCCCCGCCTCCTCCTCCTCTTTCTCAGTTGATCTCTTTCTCTGTGTTTTCAGATCCGGGCTGGACCAGCATCAACAGGGGCGTTTTGATCTGTGACGAGTGCTGCTCGGTGCACCGCAGCCTGGGACGCCACATCTCCATCGTCAAGCACCTGCGTCACAGCGGCTGGCCCCCTGCACTGCTGCAGGTACCTGGGGGGGCTGGGGAGGGACGAGATAGGGGGCTGGTCTGGAGGGGGAGTGAGCACTGGGGATCATTACTGATGGGTGTACAAGTAGCCTAGTAGCCCAGTATTTGGCAAGTGGCTAAATTAAGAAGTAACCAAATTCAACCAATGTATTAGGCCTATACCTGTTTATTACAGATTTATAACATGTAAATCCATAAACTAATAATTAACAGTTTATATTATCGAATCGCAATACATATAGAATCATATTGGCGCCTAAATATTGTATCATGAGGTCAATGGCAATTCCCAGCCCTAATTTATATATGTATATATGTGTGTATTGCGATTCTCACGATTCTATATGTATTGCGATTCGATAATACGATTTTATTGCGAATTGATGTTCCAAACATATTGCTCACTATATGTCTACTGCAGAGAGACGAGCGAGCATGGAAATAAAAGTGCTGAAAACATGTTGGCTCACTATTTAAAAAGAAGATGGCGATCAAGCTATAGGATGAAAAATACCGGCGTTTTAGCGCATGCACAGCCAACTTGCGTTAGCTAACGCTACCTAGAAAAACAATTAAATACATTTATTGTCCAAAATAATATTGCATTATGTAACTATCAATTCCCCCCCCCCCCCCCCCCCCCCCATCACTAATATAAAGTAAGTGTTACCTTACTGCTGGACAGATAAGATTTGAGAATACTTTTGTTAGGAACTGTTTTTTTATAATTTTATTTTTTAGTATTTTCACTTTATTCAGACAGGAAGGAAATGAGTGGGGAGGGAGATGCAGAGAGTGGCGCTGGGGTCGGGATTCACACCCACACTTGGTGGTGTATAAGTGCTGCAGGCGGTGCCGTTACCCACTACACCAGCCTCAGGCACAGGAGGAGGCTTTGATTTGCTCTAAGAGGACGTTCCAAGCAAACATTAGATACTTTCATGTTGGGGCTGTGTTGTCGTGTGTCTCACCAGTGTGTGTGTGTGTTTTAGATGGTGCAGACCCTGGCCAGTAATGGGGCTAACTCGATTTGGGAGCACTCCCTGCTTGACCCAGCGCAGGTGCAGAGTGGCCGCAGGAAACCCAACCCACAGGACAAAGTCCAGTAAGTTTATTTTTATTTCACGTTTCACAACATATTTCACAATACTTCAGATGAGATCCAATTCTCATTTACAATGATGACCTGGGTAGGAACATTCCCTGCTTACCTATAGTCTCTGTTTGTGTAACTCACTCTCCCCCACTAAGATCTCAAGAGATTCCTTTTCACTCGGTCAACTGTTATAGTCCGATCAGGCTAATAAGCTTATGTGTTAGATGCAGCTCAGCCTTGGGTCATTAGCTAGTATCAGACTGTTATGGGATCAGAGAGGATTTGTCCCTTGGCGTCTCCTGCTGCAATGATTCATACATACAGCTGATGTCTTACCCAGTTTGTCCCTACCCTCGCCTCTCTCTGTGTGTGTGTGTTTGTGTGTGTGTGTGTGTACGTGTGTGCACAGCCCCACCAAGTCCGAGTTCATCCGTGCCAAGTACCAGATGCTATCCTTTGTCCACAAGCTGCCGTGCCGAGATGACGACGGTGTTACCACCAAGGACCTCAGTAAGGTGAGGCCTCGCCCCTTCAGGTCAGGGGTCAGAGGGTGACGTCCTTCACAGGCTGTGCTCGTCCACTCTGGGCCATGGCTGGTGGGCCGGGCTGCCTCCCTCTGAGGCTCTACACACACACACACACACACACACACACACACACACACACACACACACACCACACACACACACAGAGCCTGCCTTTCTTCTTCTCTCCCCTGTAGACAGGAGGAAGCACTTAATGGGCACCAACAGGCATACTAATGGAAGCCGCTGGTGGGGACCGTATTAAACACCACTAATGAGGGAGGTCAACGGGTCTCTCTCTCTCTCTCTCTCTCTCTCTAGCTCTCCTCTCTCTCTCTCTCCTCTCTCTCTCTCTCCTCTCTCTCTCTCTCTCTCTCTCTCTCTCTATCTCTCTCTCTCCTCTTCTCTCTCTCTCTCTCTCTCTCCTCTCTCTATCTCTCCTCTCTCTCTCTATCTCTCTCTCTCTCTCTCTCTCTCTCTCTCTCTCTCTCTCTCTCTCTCTCTCTCTCTCAGCAACTGCACTCCAGTGTGAGGACGGGGAGTCTGGAGACATGTCTACGGCTGCTGTCCCTGGGAGCACAGGCCAACTTCTTCCACCCGGTGAGACCCATACCACCCCTACCCTCCCACCCCCTGTTACTGCAAATTACCCACTTTCTCACCACTCACACTCCCAACCCCCTATAGAGCATCGGTCCATTCGGTCTATGCTGTGTCCATGCTCCCTAATTCCCTATTTGAAGTAATGATGTGTGTGTCTGTGTGTGTGTATATGTTTGGTTGTCCTCTCAGGAGAAGGGCACCACTCCACTCCACGTGGCAGCCAAGGCAGGCCAGGTTCTGCAGGCAGAGCTGCTGGTCGTGTACGGAGCTGACCCCGGAGCCCCTGACATCAATGGACGCACACCCATGGACTACGCCAGGTAGGCTACACCAGGGGTCTATTAGTGTACACTGTTGCAAAACATTTTGCAATGGAAAATGTTTTGCAAAGAAAACAAGGGTTTCTTATTGGAAAATTTCAGGTAGTCCCTTCCCGTTTTTGCCTGTTTGCTTTTGTTACTTGTGAATATACCCCTGGCTCATTCTTGAGTATACATAAACACACAGTTTTGTGTGTGACTCTTTCATAAGGTAGTCAGTGTGTTTTTTGTTGTTGCTGTATTGTGTCAGTAAGCTATGTCATATACAGTTATAGGATCTGATCGTTGTACTGTGTGTGTGTGTGTGTGTGTGTGTGTGTGTGGCAGGCAAGCGGGCCAGGTGGAGCTGGCAGAGCGTCTGGTGGAGTGTCAGTACGAGCTCACAGACAGGCTGGCCTTCTACCTGTGTGGCCGACGCCCTGGTAGGTGACCTTTTACCCCTGCCAAGGACCTTACAGAGGGCTCAGAGTTTAAGCGATAATCAGCAATCAAGTCGTTGAGATCTCGCTTGGTGGGTGTATCCTTCAAACAGCTAGCATGACGGCAGTTTTGTTGTTAGCCAATGTCAGAGCTTGCTAACAAGAGCTGCCCTCTCCCTAAATCTGCATAATATTGGGACATTTTCAATTCTGGTCACTAGTTCTCTCGTCGCTGTGTGTCTCCTCCTTCCATTGAACATGACTGATTGGTGGTTGCTAGGTCGCTGATTATCGCTCCAAGAATGGACCCACTGTTAGGCCTAACTAATAAGGCGTCTTTCACTCATTTAATGTTTTACACAATACAATGATTTCACTCCATTGTACTCTGTCCTGCAGATCACAAGAATGGGCATTATATCATTCCTCAGATGGCTGACAGGTAAGGGTCAAAGGGTCATGTGTTCAGGGTCAACATAGGATGGGTGGGAGAATGTGGGGAATATATTTATACATCTGCATGGTGGTTGATATTTAGTATACATAGGGGCAGTTTTTCAGACACAGATTAAGGCTAATCCTGGACTAAAAAGTGTTTTCAAATTAGATTCTCTATTGAGCATTATTGTCTTTGACGTGACATGATATTCTGGCAATGCCTTTGATTTTCTGGAATCTCCAATGAAATGTTATGAATACCATGTAATATTCTGGCACAAGTGAAGTAGCTAGGTGTATTGCAGTGTTTTGACCAGTAGGTTGTGCCCTGCCGTTAGTCAGTCTGTACTGCTAGAGAGGAGAGGAAAGCCCCTGTTACATTAGATGTTGACTGCATGTCTGTCTGCTCAGCTACAACAGACTTCTACAACACTGTTATTACTGTACTGTACTATACTCTGTACTATACTGTACCATACTCTGGGAGTCTACTCTTGTGAGCTGTGGAGAACTAGTGGGCGGTATTCACAAAGCGTCTGAGTAGCTGATCTAGGATCAGTTTGACCTTAGATAATAATGAATATGATTATATAGACAGAGGGGGACCTGATCCTACATCAGCACTCCTACTCTGAGACGCTTTGTGAATATGGGCCCTGGTGTTGATATGGGGTTTATCCCCCTCCCTCTCTCTCTCTTTTGCTTTCTACCTGTCTCTTTCTTGTCTCGCTCACTCGTTTTCTGTTCTCTCCAACTTTGCTGCGCTTGTGGAGGCAGAGCTCGCCCTAAGTGCCCGACACAGAGGTATCTCTCTCTTTCTCTCTCACTCCCTCCACATCCCCCCTTCTTCCACTTTTATCCCATGCGCTCATCATCTTCTCGCTGGTGTTAGGAAAGGAGGGAGGGATTCCTGTAATATTCTGTCTACCTTTTTATATAGTAGTATTACCTTTATGATATCTTGATTCAGTAGACAGTGATGAGAGCCCTTTGCTTTTAAATAGGAGGCTGGTATTTTATCCCATTATCAGGTTGGCTACTGTATCTAGACCACCAGGACTAATTTTAGATAATACAAGTACTTAGGCCTATCGTTTTGAATGTTGTCAAACTGAAATGGAAGGAGCTACAGGTAACTGCCAAAATAAAGGAAACACCAACATAAAGTGTCTTAATAGGGCGTTGGGCCACCACGAGCCAGAACAGCTTCAGTGCACCTTGGCATAGATCAGGGGTAGGCAACCCTGGTTCTGTTTTTCATTTAACTGACCTGGAAGACCAGGTGTGTTGAATTTAGGCAATCACTGAACTGATCAATTAGCTTAATTGGTTAGGTGTGGTGCGTAGTTGGAACAAACTCCAGCAGTACCTGCGGCACTCCAGGAACAGGGTTGCCTACCCCTGGCATAGATTCTACAAGTGTCTGGAACTCTATTGGAGGAATGCGACACCATTCTGCCCCAAGAAATTCCCCAAATGTTGGTGTTTTGTTGAGGGAGGTGGAAAACGCTGTCTCATGCCCCACTCCAGAATCTCCCATAAGTGTTCAAATTGGGTTGAGATCTGGTGACTGAGACGGCCATGGCATATGGTTTGCAGCGTTTTCATGCTCATCAAACCATTCAGTGACCACTAGTGCCCTGTGGATGGGGCCATTGTCATCCTATGGGGGCATAGCCATGGTTGCCAATATAATAGCTGCCCAGTATTTTTATACATGACCCTAAGCATGATGGGATGTTAATTGTTTCATTAACTCAGGAATCACACCTGTGTGGAAGCACCTGCTTTCAATATACTTTGTATCCCTAATTTACACAAGTGTTTCTATTATTTTGGCAGTTACCTATATATTTCACCTGATTATCTACCATGGCCCTCGTTCCATGACCTAACACCCCTCCTGTCTCACCCCTCCCACCCACCACCCTGAGAAAACCCCCGTTCCATCTCCTCCACCTCCTCACCGTTCTCTCCTCACCCCTCTCTCTCTCTGTTCGTGTCTGTGGTTGTTTTATTGTGGCATTTTGTCTGTCTGTGTCTCTGCGTAGCCTGGACCTCTCAGAACTGGCCAAGGCAGCTAAGAAGAAGCTCCAAGCGGTGAGTAGTGCTGGGTGGTCAAAGGGTAGGGGCCTTGGGTTAGAGTTAAGGCTCTATCCGTCTGGTAGACTTCCTGGGTTGTGTTCATTAGAACACACAAAGGAAAACATTTTGAAACGTTTTCAATTGAAAAGTCCCCTGGAGCTCAGTTGGTAGAGCATGGCGCTTGCAACACCAGGGTTGTGGGTTCGTTTCCCACGGTGGGGCAGTATGAAAAATGTATGCACTCACTAACTGTAAGTCGCTCTGGATAAGAGCGTCTGCTAAATGACTAAAATGTCAAACAAAAATGAGGATTTCATATTGGACAAGTCCAGGTATCCCTCTCTTTTTGTCTGTTTTCTTCCATTTGATGCCTAATGCACACGGCCCAGATAATAACCTGAAGCAGTGGGCCATGTCTGTATCAGTGACTCTAATTGTCTATGACTTTCTCCATTTCCTGTGTATGGTAAATCAATTCTCCTTTGGCTCAGGCAGCAAAAGGACGGAGCCTTTTAGTGTAGTGCTGCTGTTTGTGTTGACAGTATTGCTGTACATGATTGTCCTGCAGGTTGCACTATTATTCTAACCGTGTGTGTTGTATATATTTTTTTCCCTCTCTGGTATTTGCTCTTTTGATGTGTTTGTCTTGGTCTGTCTGCGTCCCATAAATGTCCTGTGTGTGTGTGTGTGTGTGTGTGTGTGTGTGACAGCTGAACAATCGATTGTTTGAAGAGCTGGCCATGGACGTGTATGATGAAGTGGACCGCAGGGAGAACGATGCAGGTGAGAAACCCCCCTCCTCCTCTTCTTCTCCTCTCCTGTGGAACCCATCCCCTGCTTCTCCCTCTCCTCCACCTCTCTCTAGATCTCTCTATCCCGCACCTCTTTCTGTCTTTGCCTTTTTGAGTCATGGAATCGGTTTGGGCCACTCTGGGTGCGTGTCCCAAATAGCATCCTATTCCCTATAAAGTGCACACCTTTCCACCAAGCCCTGGTCAAAAGTAGTGCACTATAAAAGGAATAGGGTGCCATTTGGGACGTAGCCCCAGTGTAGGCTGTTCCCCGGGAGAAGGAGTCACTGTTTAGAAAGGAAACATAAAAAAACGCATATACAAAGTCTGTAAAAGGGCACTGGGTGAGGTCTAAAACTAGAGAGGGAGAGAGAGAGAGAAAAAGGAAGGCAATTTAGAGGGAAGGAGCGAGTTGGAAGGAGAGAGCGAGTTGGTGTGCCTCAGGAATTCTGGAGTCTCTCTCTCTTTCACTCTCCTCCCTCCCTCGCTCTCTCTCAGAAGCAGGAGCAGTCGCAGACTGCGTTGTCTGACAGAGACTCCGCAGGTAAGCAGGATGGGGTAGAGGCAGAGAGCTGGACACACACACACATTATTATATTACACACACATACATGCATACACACATGCACACACATATCTAGGTATAGCAGGACATTCTAGGAGGAGAGAAAATGGGTAAGTCTGTAACTGGTCTGTTCCAGTGGAGCTGTGCACTGTGTGTATATGAGGCAGGCAGGCAGGGTGTGTTGCTGACCTTGTTTCTCTCTCACTCACACATCAATGTATAATACCGCTTTCTCGCTTTCTTTCTCTCCTTCCTTTCCCAGTGTGGCTGACGACTCAGAACCACAGTACTCTGGTGACGGAGCGCAGCGCGGTGCCCTTCCTGCCTGTCAACCCCGAATACTCAGCCACACGCAACCAGGTAACTACTACTATCACTCACACACACACACACACACAAAACAAAGTTTGATGACTGCCAGCAAATGCTAAAATATCTTAGTTTCTAAGCGTATGTATCCTTCTCCAACTGCTGCGTAGGCTTAGTGATGACAGCAGGCTGAAGGTGATGCTAGTCACAGAGACACAGGCAGGCATTAGAAGGGACTATGGAGAAATCCTCCTAGAGCACAACAGATTTTAAAACAGGAACAAAAGAGGAGAACAGAAGGGCAGACGAGGAAAGTCTGGGCTGAAATGGAGAGAGCGAGAGCGAGAGATGAAAGATCACGTTCTATTAATCGTTTTGTGGCTGCACCGGGATGTCTGAGCTTCTGCCCTGGCCAGTGGGAGATGGAGAGAGATTTTCCAGCTGTGGAGGAGAGGGGAAACGAAAGGGTGTGTGTGTGTCCTCCCTCAGTTGGCTAGCTCATTAGTGTAAACATGGGCCTTAACACATCACCACAGTGAGATCCCCAGCTAGGATTGGATTGAATAGTGTTGGAGCCAGCTGACTGGTCAGTAGTAGTGTTTATGTTTCATGCAAGAGAGACTGAGGGAGAAAACACACACACGACAGTGTGCTCACGGTTGGACCGTGTTTAGAATTGAAACCACATGGATACAAAGCCTGCATTTTTGTCCCCTTATGCAAACGCAAACATGCGAATTGCTAGGTGCAATGTTTAGTGTGTGTGTGCCTCTGTTACTATGATCAACTGTAGCGCCTATGACTCTGCTTTTCCACACCACATGACCAGTGACCACAGGACTGCAATACCAGAGACTGTGGCTCCAATCTGTGTTTGCTTGAATAATACACCAACAAATGTCTGAACTCATTTTGCCCCTGTAAACCTACGTCTATGCGTCGGAGGGTTTTTCAGCACTCAATAATTAATGCGTGTCCCCTGTCTCTTTTTCTCTTTCAGGGTAGACAGAAGTTGGCCCGTTTCAACGCTCGTGAGTTCGCAACGCTAATCATCGACATCCTGAGTGACGCCAAGAGGAGGCAACAGGGGAAAGGCCTGAGCAGCCCTACTGGTGAGAGAGGTGTGGAGGAGAGGACCGAGGAAGGGAGAAGAGAGGAGGGGGGAGGGGAGCAGAGGGGAGAGGAGAGGGACTGAGCCAGTTCAAACACGGTCTTTATGAATTACATATGCTCTGGACATTAATCTGTTTTAGCATGCACTTCAGTCAATCCATCCATTTCAATGTATGAGTGAAAAGGGGAAGTTACTGAGATGTATTTTAAATGGCGGGGTTGGGGTTGCCTGGTTGTGTCATGGTTAAGTCATTACTAGTTGAGTTACTTATTACTAGTTTTCTTGATTTTTCTGTGGCTTAATCTCAATACGTCTTTCTGCAATTCCTCACATCCTGTCTCCTCGCCTTCTTCTCAACTGCATACAAGGAAAAGGTACAAGTTCCCTCCACTTGGACTTTGTTCTCAATGCATTTTGAGAAGGAAGCGAGGAATCGAGGAAAGATGAATTGAGATTGAGCCAAGGCCTATGTTGTTGCTCTGCTCTGATCCATCCCTGTAGACTCTAGTCTGGACCTGGGGGCCGATGACGACCAGCATGACTACGACAGCGTAGCGTCAGATGAGGACACGGACAGCGAGCTGACCACTCAAAACAACAACAACACGCAGCGCAACAACCGGGCCAAGGTGAGGACAGAAGGGCACAGAAGGACGGCAGGGTTGTGTTCATTAGACATCAAACGGAAGCAAACGGGCCCAAACGAGGAGGGACCTACCTGAATTTGTCCAATGGGAAGCATTTTGCACCGGTTTGCACTAATGAATACACCCCCAGGGTTGTGTTCACTAGGCACCAAGCAGCCTGAAACATAGTGAAAAGGGGAGGTACTATTCAAACTGGCCTAATAAGAAGTGCTTGTTTTCTTTTCCCATTGCAAACCATTGTGCAATGTTTTTCTTTACAGGCCAACATTAGAGTACCAGAGAACAGCCAAAGTATTCCCCTTAAACCCAGTAAATAAATGGATAAAATGTGTACTGAGAGAAATGGAGGAGAGAAGGGGTTGAGCAAAGTGACCAGGAAGTGGTCCTGTGCTCCCAGCCCTGCTTTGAGTTATTAGAGACCCTTCAGATCAGGGTGTTACGGTTCTCTAAGACCGAACCCAGAAGCAGACCAGGACAAGGTGAGTTGAACGAATGAGAGTGTTTATTTACAGATAAAAGATGCAGAATAGTCCAGGAGACGGAGCGGGTGGCGGAGATGAGTAGGTGGTGGTGAAGTGGCAGATGAACTGATTGGCACGGCAGGGGTTGGGTGAAGGTTCCGGGAGAATGATTGTAGACAGAACAAACGGAGGTAAGTACAAGGCAGGTCAACAAGGTGCAAAAAACAACAAAACTAACGCTAGTACTCAGAGGCTGATACGCTGGCAAAACATACTGTTTATGGCTAACGATCCGGCAGGGAATGGATGTCAGGTCAGAGCTTATGAAGGGGTGATGATCAGGACCAGGTGTGCCGAAGCTGATGAGAAGCAGGTGCGGGTAATCGAGAGATCACCCGCCTAGCAACGTCGCCCGGCAACCGGACAGGGTGCGTTCAAGCACCTTCGGGAAACAGGAGATTCAGAGCAGAAAAACGGCAACACAGGCAGGAACAGACTCAGGACGCAGGGTTCATGACAGTACCCCCCCCTCCGACGAACGCCACCGGGCGGACTACCCGGAGCGCCAGGATGGAGGCGGTAGAAGTCACGAAGGAGGTCAGCATCAAGGATCTGACGCCGAGGAATCCAACTCCTCTCCTCAGGACCATATCCCTCCCAGTCCACGAGATACTGGAAACCCCGGCCCCGCCGTCTGGAATCCATGATGCGGCGCACCGTGTAGACAGGACCTCCTCCGATCATCCGAGGAGGAGGAGGAGGAGGAGGAGGAGGAGGGGGCAACAGCGGGCTGAGGAGAACAGGCTTGAGGCAGGAGACATGGAAGGTGGGATGGACTCTGAGCGTACTAGGCAACTTGAGTCGAACCACAACAGGATTAATCACTCTCTCCACCACAAACGGACCAATGAACCTCGGCGACAGTTTCCTTGACTCAGTCCGCAGAGGAAGGTCCCGTGTAGCCAACCAGACCCTATCTCCGATTGCATAAGCGGGGGCTGGAATACGGCGACGATTCGCCTGGAGCTGATACCGGTCAGAAACTCTGAGGGCCTTTCTGGCCCGATGCCAGGTCCGGTGGCAACGACGAATGTGGGCCTGGACAGAGGGAACCGAGAGATCTTTCTCCTGAGAAGGAAACAAGGGGGGTTGGTAGCCGTATAGGCACTGGAAGGGAGACATCCCAGTGGCAGAAGTAGGGAGAGTATTGTGAGCATACTCAACCCAAGGCAATTGAGAGGCCCAAGAGGTGGGGTTGGAGGAAACAAGGCAGCGCGGCGTGGATTCCATCTTCTGGTTGGCTCTCTCCATTAGATTGGGGGTGAAATCCAGATGTGAGACTGACTGTAGCTCCAATGGCCAAACAGAAGGATTTCCAGACAGCAGAGGTGAACTGAGGGCCACGGTCGGAAACTATGTCACTGGGCAATCCGTGGACCCTGAAAACCTCCCTAACCAGGATCTTGGACGTCTCAGAGGCAGAGGGAAGCTTGGAGATGGGCACAAAGTGGGCGAACTTGCTGAATCGGTCCACAATAGTCAGAATGACCGTGTTCCCCTCAAGAGGGCAACCCAGTGACAAAGTCCAGAGCCAGATGCGACCATGGTCGCCGGGGGATCGGTAGGGGGTGAAGAAGTCCAGAGCTGGGCCGATTGGCACTCTTGTTCTGCGCACAAACTGGACAGGCAGCAACAAACCTCCGAGTATCTTCTCCCATGGCAGGCCACCAAAATCGTCTGCGTAGAAGCGCCATCGTCCGAGCCACGCCAGGGTGACAAGCCATCTTGCTGGCGTGGGACCATTGGAGGACAGCCGAACGAACCGACTCAGGCACAAACAACCGACCGGGTGGACCGTTACCGGGGCCGGGCTGCGTCCGAAGGGCCGCCATAACCTCCTCCTCAATCCTCCACATAACGGCTCCCACGACAAGGTTCCGGGGAAGAATCGTCTCAGTCTTGGCCCCACTCTCCTCCGTCTTGGAGAACATCCGGGACAAGGCGTCCGCCTTGCCGTTCTTAGACCCCGGTCGGAACGTCAAGGAAAAATTAAAGCGTCCAAAAAACAACGACCACCTGGCCTGACGGGAGTTGAGACGTTTAGCCGATTGCACGTAAGCAAGATTCTTGTGGTCAGTCCAGACAACAAACGGTTGCTCCGCCCCCTCCAACCAGTGGCGCCACTCCTCCAAGGCAAGTTTCACCGCGAGAAGCTCCCGGTTACCCACATCGTAGTTCCTCTCCGTAGACGAAAGACGACGAGAGTAGTAGGCGCAGGGATGGAGTTTACCGTCAGTTCAGCATCTCTGGGACAGGATGGCGCCAACCCCCACATCAGACGCATCCACTTCAACGACAAACTGACGGGCAGTGTCAGGTTGAGAGAGAATCGGAGCGTTGGTGAATAGCCTCTTCAAATCCAGAAATTGCTCGGTCCGCCTCAGGATTCCAACTGAAGGTTCTGGGACTAGAAGTCAGGGCAGTTAAAGGAGCGGCCACACGGCTGTAATCACGGATAAATCTCCGATAGAAATTCGCAAACCCCAGAAACCTCTGGAGCTGCAATCTCGTACCGGACTGGGCCCAATCCAGAACCGCCCTAACCTTCTCTTGGTCCATCCTAATCTCTCCCCTGGAGATGATGTACCCGAGGAAGGATGTAGTGTGGGCGTGAAATTCACACTTCTCGGCCTTCACAAACAGGCGATTCTCCAGCAATCGCTGCAGAACCTGCTTGACATGCTGGACGTGGCTGGAAGGCTCCTTCGAGAAGATAAGAATGTCATCCAGGTAAACGAACACAAAAAGACCGATCATATCTCTCAGGACGTCATTCACCATACTCTGGAACACTGCTGGGGCATTGGTCAGTCCAAACGGCATCACCTGATACTCGAAATGACCCATCGGTGTATTGAAACCAGTCAACCACTCGTCCCCCTCTCTGATCCGGACCAGATGATACGCATTGCGTAGGTCCAGCTTGGTGAACACAGTAGCACCCTGTAAGGAGTCGAAAGCAGAGCTCATCAAGGGCAGGGGATACTTGTTCTTGACCGTGATATCATTCAACCCCCGATAATCAATACAAGGTCGAAGAGAGCCATCCTTTTTACTCACAAAGAAGAATCCTGCCCCCAGGGGTGATGACGAGGGACGAATGAGACCAGCAGCTAGGGACTCCTTTATGTAGGTCTCCAAAGCCTCACGTTCAGGTCGGGAGATGCTGTATAACCGTCCCTTGGGATAGGCAGCTCCAGGGAACAGGTTTATGGCACAATCATATGGTCGGTGGGGAGGGAGTGACAGAGCCCTCTGCTTACTGAACACTTCCCCCAAATCGTGATATGTCTCGGGAACCAGGGACAAATCTGGGGGGTTAGCCTCAATCACCTGACTGGGAACAGAATGGGAACAGGCAGTCTTGAGGAAGTTAGCATGACAATCAATGCTCCAACTAGTTACCTTGCCAGTCACCCAATCGAACGTGGGATTGTGTTCTTTCAACCAGGTGTATCCAAGGACCAGAGGAACATGGGAAGAAGGCAGAATGAAGAATGAGAACCTCAGAATGATTCCCTGACAACAGCATCTTAACCGGTTCAGTCCTCATCGTGATACGTGCCAGACTACTGCCGTTCAGAGTGGTAGCTTCAATGGCTTCCGGTAATCGCTCCTTGGAAAGCCCCAGCTGTTCCACCACGTCGGCATCAATAAAGCTTCCATCGGCACCTGAATCGACGAAAGCGTTAATCGCTAAACTCTGATTCCTGTTCATGAGGGTAGCCGGGAAACGGGGTCTGACAGGGGTATTGAGAGGTTGAAACTGGCTCGCTAAAAGTCCTCCCAACTTTAGCGAGCCAAGCAGTTTGACGGCCGCTGGGAACAAGTGGAGATGTAATGTCCCGAACTACCACAGTAGAGGCAGCGGTTGGTCTTACGTCTATGTTGGCGCTCCTCCTTGGTTAACCCGTGCCGCCCCACTTGCATGGGTTCAGAATCTGGAGGCAGGACCTCTCCACTAATCCCGTGTGGTGGACAATGATCGACGCATTCTGGTCCACCTCCTGACCCGACTGGAAACTGAGAAGCTGATTGATTGGACGGGCCCCATTGCTTCTCCCTCCTTCTCTCTCGAACTCTGTTATCCACCCGAATAGACAAAGCTACCAAACTGTCCAGGTCACTAGGCTCCGGATAGGAGATCAACTCATCCTTGAGTTGCTCCGACAGCCCCTGGTAAAAGGCCGCTTGCAGTGACTCCTCATTCCACCCACTCTCCACAGCCAATGTCCTGAATTCGACTACGAAGTCGGCAACGCTGCGAGTTCCTTGGCGAAGAGAAAACAGGCGCTTAGCTGCGTCCTTACCTCAGACTGGATGGTCAAACAGCTTCCTCATCTCTGCCGTGAACTGCTGGTATGACGCCATGCAGGTGTCCTGTCGTTCCCATACGGCTGAAGCCCACTCCAGGGCTCTACCACGCAGCAATTCAATAACAAAGGCTATCCTAGCCTTGTCTGTGGCGTAAGAGTGGGGCTGTAGATCGAACACTAATCCACACTGCATAAGAAAGGAACGGCATCTTCCCAAATCCCCTTCATACTTCTCAGGCGTCGGAACCTTGGGCTCACTGAAGGGCACAGCTCCAGAAGCGGCAGGCGAGAGAGGTGAAACCGGTGGTGGATTCTCCACTGGCAAACTGAGCTGAGCCTGGATCTTCGTCAGACTGGCAGAAAAGTTCCGAACCGATAACGCTATCTCCTGTAGCGCCGTGCTGTGTTGTCCCAACATCATCTCCTGATGGGTAATGGCATGGCGAACAGAGTCCAGGTCCGCTTGGTTCATTTATGGCCGGATCGTTCTGTCACGGTTCTCTAAGACCGAACCCAGAAGCAGACCAGGACAAGGTGAGTTGAATGAATGAGAGTGTTTATTTACAAATAAAAGATGCAGAATAGTCCAGGAGATGGAGCGGGTGGCGGAGATGAGTAGGTGGTGGTGAAGTGGCAGATGAACTGATGGCACGGCAGGGGTTGGGTGAAGGTTCCGGGAGAATGACTGTAGACAGAACAAACGGAGGTAAGTACAAGGCAGGTCAACAAGGTGCAAAAAACAACAAAACTAACGCTAGTACTCAGAGGCTGATACGCTGGCAAAACATACTGTTTATGGCTAACGATCCGGCAGGGAATGGATGTCAGGTCAGAGCTTATGAAGGGGTGATGATCAGGACCAGGTGTGCCGAAGCTGATGAGAAGCAGGTGCGGGTAATCGAGAGATCACCCGCCTAGCAACGTCGCCCGGCAACCGGACAGGGTGCGTTCAGGCACCTTCGGGAAACAGGAGATTCAGAGCAGAAAAACGGCAACACAGGCAGGAACAGACTCAGGACGCAGGGTTCATGACACAGGGTCCATACGTATCAAGCGTCTCAAAATAGGATTGCTGATCTAGGATCAGGTCACCCTGTCCATATAATCATATTCAGTGTGATTTAAAAGGCAAAACTGATCCTAAATCAGCACATTGTTCTTCTTAGCTTCTTCTAGTGATTGCAGTATTATCCCCAGCAGTATCTTCCTCCCCGCCTGTCCCAGCATGCCTTGCGGGAGTGGCAGTGCTGCTGCTGCTGCCACATACTTCCACAGTGACATCACAGCTATTCTGGGTCTTCAATCAGAGGAGCATTGTTCTACGAGCAGGGGAGGGAGAGGAGGGAGAGAGGGTGGTGGAAACTCTGTTAAAGCAGGCTCCCACAGCCACAGGACGTGGTGGAAACCCTGTTAAAGCAGGCTCCCACAGCCACAGGACGTGGTGGAAAAGCTGCTGTAAAATGAGAATGTAAGGTCCACTGTGTGAAGAAGCTCGGTTCTGGTGTGATACAGACAGGAGCTCTGTGCTTCTCAGATATGGCTGAGCTGTGAATGGACGTGGATGCTGTTCATAGTCATTTCCAGTTGAGAAGAGATTTCTCAAATATGGTTTCAGTGTTGAATGTGAAAAGATTGTTATTTTAAGCTGTGCTCAGACTTCTCCATTTACTGCTAAGAGTGAAATCGAGTGCAGCTTATTGCTCAGACAATAGCCCACATGTAAACGACTCCCGAATTCATGTGTGTGTGCGCATTTGTATGTGTGTGTATTTTAGATTATTTTAATTATATTTCTATGTTGTGTGTGTGTGTGTGTGTCCCCTCAGAGCATGGACTCATCTGACCTGTCGGACGGGCCCATCACGCTGCAGGAGTACCTGGAGGTTAAGAAGGCCCTGGCTTCCTCCGAGGCTAAAGTTCAGCAGCTGATGAAGGTCAACAACAACCTGAGTGAAGAGCTGCACCGGCTGCAGAAAGAGGTAGGGAGAGGAGGAGATAGAGGGAGGTATGGACGGGAGGAATGGATAGGGTGATGGAGGGAGAGAGTTAGGTCAAGTAGTAGGGAGGGCAGGATGGAGGGAAGCATGCATGATAGAAAGACAGGAGGAATTTCAATATGTCTACAAGTTGATGTGTTATTATGCACCAAGATGTGTTTTTTAAATTCTATTTTTACACAAGTTAGTAGAAGATGTATCCTTTCTGCCTCAGTATATTAGTGTGTTTTCACTATCAGTGTTGGTCTAGTCTGCCCAGAGCTGTCCTTATACTGTAGTAAGCCAATTGTGCAGCTCAGAACAGTATCTGTTAGTTTTGGTGTAAGCACTGCAGCACTGTTCTTCAGTGTGTCAAATATCAGGTTTCGATCCCATCTGTTGTTATGCCATATTTTGTCACTTTGTTTCGGTTCCGTCTCCATGGCGGTATTGTTGTTTTGTTCTCATGAATGCCTGAGCTATTGTCCCATGTCTATCCCATCACTCATGTCTAACACCAGGAGAAATACCAACCCCTAGACACACACACGTCAGCCCCTGCACACACACTTGAAAAAAACAGTTATCTTCCAGTGTTGATAGTTTGACAGGTACATACAGGTAAAACAATAACACAGTGTCGGTGAGAGCAGCCATGTGTAGTTTCCTTCTTTTCCAAGATACTAAAGATCAACCCCCAGTACTGCCAATATGTATGTTTATTTGGTTAAGATACAGTGCATTCGGAAAGTATTTAGACCCTTGACTTTTTCCACATTTTGTTATGTTACAGGCTTATTCTAAAATTGATTAAATTGTTTTTTCCCTCATCAATCTACACACAATACCCCATAATAAAGCAAAAAAAAATAAAAAAAATAATGAAATATAACATTTACATAAGTATTCAGACCCTTTACTCAGTACTTTGTTGAAGCACCTTTGGCAGCGATTACAGCCTCGATTCTTCTTGGGTATGACGCTACAAGCTTGGCACACCTGTATTTGGAGAGTTTCTCCCATTCTTCTCTGCAGATCCTCTCAATATCTGTCAGGCTGCACAGCTATTTTCAGGTCTCTCCAGATATATTTTATCGGGTTCAAGTCTGGCTGGGCCACTCAAGGACATTCAGAGACTTGTCCTGAAGCCACGCCAGCGTTGTCTTGGCTGTGTGCTTAGGGTCGTTGTCCTGTTGGAAGGTGAACGTTCGCCCCAGTCTGAGGTCCTGAGCGTTCTGGAGCAAGTTTTCAGCAAGGATCATCTCTGTACTTTGCTCCGTTCATCTTTCCCTAGAGCCTGACTAATCTCCCAGTCCCTGCCGCTGAAAAACATCCCCACAGTATGATGCTGCCACCACCATGCTTCACCGTAGGGGTGGTGCCAGGTTTCCACCAGACTTGACACTTGGCATTCAGGCCAAAGAGTTTAATCTTGGTTTCATCAGACCAGAGAATCTTGTTTCTCATGGTCTGAGAGTCCTTTAGGTGCCTTTTGGCAAACTCCAAGCGGGCTGTCTTGTGCCTTTTACTGAGGAGTGGCTTCCGTCTGTCCACACTACCGTAAAGGCCTGATTGGTGGAGTGCTGCAGAGATGGTTATCCTTCTGGAAGGTTCTCCCATCTCCACAGAGGAACTCTGGAGCTCTGTCAGAGTGACCATCAGGTTCTTGGTCACCTCCCTGACCAAGGCCCTCTCCCCCGATTGCTCAGTTTGGCCGGGTGGCCAGCTCTAGGAAGAGTCTTGGTGGTTCCAAACGTCTTCCATTTAAGAATGATGGAGGCCACTGTGTTCTTGAGGGCCTTCAATGCTGCAGAAATGTTTTTGTACCCTTCCCCAGATCTGTGCCTCGACACAATCCTGTCTCTGAGCTCTACGGACAATTCCTTCAACCTCATGGCTTGGTTTTTGCTCTGACATGCACTGTCAACAGTGAGACCTTATATAGACAGTTGTGTGCCTTTCCAAATCATGTCCAATCAATTGAATTTACCACAGGTGGACTCCAATCAAGTTGTAGAAAAATCTCAAGGATGATCAATGGAAACAGGATGCACCAGAGCTCAATTTCGAGTCTCATAGCAAAGTTGTGAATACTTATGTAAATGAGGTATTTCTGTTTTGTATTTGTAATACATTTGCAAAAATTCGAAAAACCTGTTTGTGTGTAGATTGATGGAAAAAATAATTTAATCAATTTTAGAATAAGGCTATAACGTAACAAAGTGTGGAAAAAGAGAAGGGGTCTGAATACATTCCGAATGCACTGTAACCCAGTATGTTGTTACACCCACTAGATCCACAGACTAGCCAGTTTAACCCCTTATATCTATAGACTATAGATGGCCTATAGACTCCCTATAACCCCATTAGTCTTACCTCCATCCATACCTAGTATGTGGCTAGCTAAATGAAGCGCCCTGTACAGTACTTGTGTATGTGGATGCTTGTCCGTGTGACCTTTGACACATTCAGGTGACCCTCCTCCCCTCCCCCGTCCCCACCTCTCCCCGTAGATCTCGCGGATGCAGACGGAGAACAGTGCGTTGCGGGGGGGCCAGGTCGGAGGAGGAGGGGGAGCTGGCGGTTTGGGAGGAGGGGGAGGCGGCAGCCCGGCACATTGGCCAGGGGGGGTGAGAGGCGGAGGAGGGGGAGGTAGGGGAGGGGACCACTCCAGCCTAGCCATGTCCTCAGCGACGCCCGCCCACCGGAGGGACAGACAGGCTTTCTCTATGTACGAGCCAGGGGCCGCCACCCCTAAGCCCCACTCCCACTCCCCGGGCCTGGACTCCCTGACGGACCGCCTGCAGCCTCTGCACCCCAGTGTAAGTGTGAGCAACGCCACGGCCCCCAGATGGCCATGGTGGTGGTGATGTACACCACCCGCCCTCTCTGTCTCTACTGCTGCCTACCTCCTCTACTGCTGTCTGGCATGCACACACCGCTCACCAGTGGAGCGCACCTCTACTTTAACCCCTAACCTTTGATCCCCAGCCTCTACCGCTGGCACAAAGCTTTCTGGGCCAGATGCTGCACGCAGGCACCTGTCCCAAATACATACAAATACAGAGCCTTCGACACTGTAGCAAATCACTCTTCGCCTCCACTCACTTTACATGAGTTTATCCCTTAGATTGAGGCTTCTTTGAGTGTAGAATGTCGTGTTTTTAAGCTAAGATGGCAGGTATCTTTCCCACCATTGATGAGTGAAGATGTACTAACCTTAGACACTCCCCTATGATAGCTTTCCCATTCCCTACCTCTAGTGTGTGCAGCACAAGCATGAGGCGTGTTAGTAGTTTGTCCTGCACTGTTAGCCAATAGCCATACACACTTCTCAATGGATCCTTCAAGGCACTGTGTCAGTCACTGACCCACTCGGTCACAGTGGAACTAAGAGCGCAGGCTGACTTACACGAATGTCAGCCGTGCTAGGATCACCTGTTGGGTGTGTTGACAAACAGTGGCAATTCAACATGTGGAAATGAACAGAAAATGACGGCCGATGTTCTGTGGTCAGAGGCGATAGGACGGCCACCAGCTGCACAGGGCCAGTTTGTGTACATACGGCCAGTTTGTGTACATACGGCCAGTTTGTCGCATTCTGTGTACATCCATCTATCTATCCTGTCTGTCTTTAATTGTGCTCATTGTTGCATTCAACCTTTACATTCCATTATCCATGCGGGTGATGCAAAATCCCAGTGCATATATCAGTTTGGTTTATCCTTGCATTTTTCCATGTTTCTTTTAGTTTGTATTCTGTAGGGCATTACAGCGTAGCAATTAGCAAATGCACAATTTCTTATTGTGTAGTTTGTAAAAAAAGAGAGAGTTAGAGATTTCAATATGCCAGGATGGCGCAGTGGTCTAAGGCACTGCATCGCAGTGCTAGCTGTGCCACTAGAGATCCTGGTTCGAATCCAGGCTCTGCCGTCGCCGGCCGCGACCGGGAGACCCATGGGGCGGCGCACAATTGGCCCAGCGTCGTCCAGGGGAGGGGAGGGAATGGCCGGCAGGGATGTAGCTCAGTTGATAGAGCATGGCATTTGCAACGCCAGGGTTGTGGGTTCGATTCCCACAGGGGGTATGAAAAAAATAAAATAATGTATGCACTAACTAACTGTAAGTCGCTCTGGATAAGAGCGTCTGCTAAATGACTAAAATGTAAATGTAAAAATATATGTAGATTAGGTTGTTTACAATGTGTTTTTCTGTGTATGTCTTGCATTGTTGCTAATAAGGAATTTCTAAGTTATTTTTTAAGATGACATGGCTATACTGTATATTATTAATTTAAAAGTAAAAGAATAGATGAACCAATCCCAGATTGCCCCTTTTATAGTTGTACAGTTTTAACCCCTTCATAGATATTGGGCCACACGGTGGTAAAACCCAGTGCTCTGTTGAAAAGCACAGATGACAATGACTTCATTGTAAGTACATTATTTGTGTATCCTAAAGCATATGCCAGCATACAAATATTCACAGATGTTCAGTCTTTATCTAGTTAGCTCTCCGCTAGGGAACAGTGAGTCCAAGAGTGTCCTACTGGCCATAGTGTCTGGGATAACTCACAGCATAGCCCCTTATGTCAGTGAGCTGCATCTAAAGAAGTGTCTATAATCGTGCTGACTGTCTTTATTATAATTCTAAAAACTGATCCTAGATCAGCACTTCTACTCTGAGACGCTTTATCAATACGGGCCCCGGTGACTGGTAAGGTCATCTATCGTGAATGTGGCTAGAGAGAAGACGTGATGTGAGACAAGCTAATGAAAGTTAACCGGCTCCTCTGTCTTCTCCTGTGTATGTCAGACAGTATGTTTGTGTGTCTGGTAATGTTAATGATGTACTCCTGTGTGGGAGTTGTTCTGGGATAGTGGCTCACTAACTACTTGGCAGGACCTAGCTCAAGACTCACACATTTCCTTTTGAATTCCAGTCAACTTGGGCTGTACTCTCACTGACTACATTTTCAGTATAAATCTGTCCTGGGGAAAGTTGCTGGGCAGTTTGGCTGTTGAGTTTCAGTCAAAGTTATTTGACAATAAAATGTAATTTCACCTCAACATATAGGCTACTATCTCCCCACAGAAAGCTGAGCTGACTCTGCTCAAGCATGGATAGCGCATCCCAGTGTCTGATTGGAATCTTCCTACTAAAACGCTAAAATTCTGTCAGGCAGTGTTCCTTCTGCGGTTCCTCTGTTGCTTCTCGTCCTCCACTGAGTTCCTGTCCCGTTCTGTCTATCCTCCAGGTGAGGAAGGGGGGTCCTGGCGGTCCGACACCCTATGGAGGACAGCACCTCTCTGGCTCCATGGAGATGGGGAGGTACATGGTAAGACTGGCTGGCTGTCGCCCTCCTTTACAGTTGGTCAACTCATCTGTGACTTTGTGTTATTAGGCTACTTCACGACCAACCCCAGACCGTGACGGCTCAAACATTCAGTGGCGTCTTATGAACGCTGATACTGACTGACACTGTTTTATAGACCAATATGAGCTGATACATTGCTGAGGGTTGTATTTTGTGGCTTAGTGTAAATGTTTGTGTGAATGGCTTGCTTCTGGTTGGTTAATAATGGCCTTGCCGTACTCTCACTCTCTACTGCTACCTTTGATGATGATAAGGTGTTCTGTTTGTCCACAGGGCCCTAAAGGAGAGAAGTACGGCAGTGGTACAGATAGTGACTATGACAACACTCAGACGTATGAGCTGTCACTAAGGTAAGGCTGGGGTGGTGGGGGGATATCTAGAGCAGATGGCTGGCCAGTGACCGGGTCATTCTGGAGTCTCCACCGACGTGTAGCAGGGGCAGACAGGCCGGGCTCTGAGTCTACCTAGACATCTAGCAGACTGGCTGACTTAGTCTTTGTCAAGGACATATTTACTGTGGTGATTACTTCAGAGATGCTTACCTCTCTGCTCAATGTGGGAATTGCAGGCTAATGTAGAGATTGTACTGATTGTGTGTCCTACAGTAGGGGGCGCAGCAGTGAAGAGGAGGGCCGGGGGGAGTCGGAGGAGTGGGGTGAGGGGGGTGAGCCGGACCCTACCCTGCCCTGCACCGAAGACGTCATCCTCAAGACGGAGCAGGTGACCAAAAACATCCAGGAGCTTCTGAGGGCCGCACAGGAGTTCAAACACAACAGGTAGCCCCTGACTACGAGACTCACTCTATGACACAGTCAGACTGAGGCTTACGTTGTATCTATGGTGGTAACAAGAGGTTGTCTTATGTTCCCCAGTTTCGTTCCATGCTCTGAGAAGATCCACTCTGCTGTCACTGAAATGGCCTCCCTCTTTCCCAAGGTAAGGTTTTGCTCTCTATCTCTCCCTCTTTCTAGAATTTCCATAAAGATTCCGTATTGTGTGAAACTGCCACCACCAGTTATTATTGTTATTATTATTACAACAACAAAGAAGTTGCTTCAAACAAAGAACACTGTTTATTTTAGTTTTTTTGCATGCGTGATAGAACAGCAGAATATGTACTGCACAATTTTTGGGGACCAAATACAGATTCTAGCTTTAAGCAGTAAGTGTTGTGTCCTCTGTGTCTAACTTTCCCTCTCTCTCCCCCCCACCCCTCTCTCTCCGTCTCCCCTCAGCGGCCTGCTCTAGATGCCGTGCACTGCTCCCTGCGCCTCCTGGCGTCCAGCGCCTCCCGCCTCCAGGTGGAGTGTCGCAAGGCGGCACCCTCGGACCCGTCAGCGCCCGCCGTCGACTACCAGCTGCTCACCCAGCAGGTCATCCAGTGCGCCTATGACATCGCCAAGGCCGCCAAGCAACTGGTCACTATCACCACCCGCGAGAAGAAACAGTGACGGAGTAGAAAGGGGACGGACGGGGGAGGGCGGAGTGGAGCTGCAAGACTGACAGAGGGAGCAGGAGAGGGATGGAGGTAGCCTCAATTTCCAAGCTTCCTAGTCAAGTGATGAACGAGACTTGGAAGGTTGGCATCTCAAGGGAGAGCGAAATGCCAGCCAAGGGGAGAAGCTATATTGGCTGCAGACCGAAAAGAAGATCTCTGAGGATGAATAAAGATGAAATGAGAGGAATTGAAGGTAGGGAATGAAGAGCGGGTGGTAATATTATATAACAATAGAGCGAAGCTGAGAAATGGCTGCGGCTCTCGCTACTATACCCGTGTGGACTGAGAGTGCAGTTCTGCGGGGGAGGGGACGCTAAGGAGGAGGAGTGTGGACCATTGAGACAGTAATTGCATGCGGGGGATGGACACAGCACAGCACCATAGCAGCTCAGCTCTCATCATCTCACTATGATCTCAGTCCATCATTCCTTTGGAGGGGAGATCCCTTTACTACAACACCCCTCTCTGTGCAGCGCCTCAAACCCTCATGTGACCGAGGCAGGCTGGGGCTGGGGCTGGGGCTGGGGCCGGGGCCGGGGCCAGTCGGTGTGGCCTACAAGGGGGCCAGGCCTTGGAAATGATCCACCCTGCTCTACCCCTCTCTCTCTCAGACACCACCTCCACTATAGTCCCAGGCTCTGCTAAGGAGAGGAGGGCCCTTGCTACCCCCTCAGACCCCCTGGTACACTACAGCATGTCTAGGCATCATGGACAAACTACTAGGTGATGTTTATTTTTTTCATGTATTTTTCTTTTTTATGCCAATCCGTTGGCCTGTACCTCTGGGGACAATAATTACTGACTGAAGAAAAAAACACTTACACTGGAATTATTGTGATTATTATTATACTAATTGTTTTGTATTATTTTTACGGTCATGAATTACACTTATCATGAATGTTTATTTTGACGTCGTCTTATGTATGATGGTTCCTGTTTAGAGGACCAGGGAGAGCTGTGAGAATACTCGCTCACCTTCTGTCTGACTGGGTCTTGACATATGCGCACACACACTAACTTGTGAAATGGTCCTCAAACACTCCTGGAGCAGTCCAATTCCTCCCGGGTGACATTTCAGTTCTTATTTCCTATAGATTTTTTGGATTTCTACCTATCATGTTCTAATATGTCAGTAGCCAAGGGGTTGAACAAATGCCAAAGGGGTAGGGAAGGGGTATAATATGCTATCAGTAGAATAATCCCTGGAAGCGGCATTACAAGGAAGTGGGTATATTATACAACCATTGGCTGCTTCAGTCGCTAGACTGGCACTACAGTGGGATCCATACAAAGCTCGCTCTTAAACATATGCCAACTTGAGGCAGACTAGCTAGATTGGGAACAAATGTTTTGTCAAAACGACAAACAGCACTTGTTGTGGGGGCACTGGGGAAGCTGCGCTATACTCTGCTAAACAAATTAACGGTCACACTAAGCTAAGTGACACACGCACTCCACGTATTTAGTTTGATATCTTAGCTTCAAGGACTTTAGTGATTGTGTGTCAGATGGATCTGGGTCATGTTAATTAGGAACTAAACGGTTGAAAACGGACTGAAACAGGGAGAGACTACTTGGACCCACCCCCCACACACACACATAAATTACATACACACGCACGGCTTGTGTGATCCTGGACAACTGAAAGCGCTTCCATGTTAGCTTGACTCATGTTCACTTAGCAACGGGGTCCCGCCGTGTCACTATCCGCCTGACTGTGCTCTCATGTGTTCACGACATTTAATGAACCTGTAGGGGGTGAGATCTTTTATCTGTTCCCCGTCAAATCATGTCCAAAAAAATGTCAAATGTAACGTTCCGATCATGATTGCCTTTGCACATCTCACGCTAGACTGGCTTAATACTCAGTGATGTTGTAGCATTTTGGGTTCCTGCAGTTCATTATCTATTGCCATCTCACACACACACAGACACACTGGGCCAGTATAAAATACTTTCTTCCCCATTACAATGTCCTCTTTTACCTCTCAGACAACCTGTTTTATAGAATACAGGCCTATATGTAAACATATTTTCATGCTATTTTTTTATTAAGCTATATGTTCGTATTGTGTTTGGGAGATCGGATCTATTTATGCTTGCTGTGGTGGGTTCCAGGCCTGAGGGGGGGAAGTGAATAGGGTCTGAAGTCTGCCGCTGGTTAGCACTAAACTCATCTCAAGTCTGAGGGGAAAGGGCTATTGCACAATGCTACGCCTTTCCCCCTTCTTCTTAGTGGACACTTAGAATAGGGTCCCTTTTTAGTGGGAATGTTGGGAATGTTAGACACGTCAGTCTGACTCCATGTTGTGCACATGTTCACACATGCATCCCGAACACACACACACACACACACACACTGGTCATCATGTTGTTCAGACAGTGGCACTGCACTGTGCCCTGTTTTCTTCACCTGGGAGATCAGTGATGGGAGAATATCTTTTAACAGAAGTAAAAACTGTAAAAAGTAGAACATTGAAAAAGGTCAATCGTAATAGAAACTCATAAGCTGTACATTTCTAATAAAAAACTAAAAAACTAGTGAATTGTCTTAAATTTGTATTTTTTGTTTAGTTCGAGATTGAAACCTCCATCAGGAGGTAAGCCAAAGGCTGTATCAAAGCACCGTTCTGGGTAAGCTGTACAAACTACAGTCTCTCACTTTCTCTCTCTGGTTCATGTAGTCACACATGTAACGGTCCTCTTGGTGTGAATGATTTCACAGGTTGTTAGTTTTATGTCTGAAGTCTTTAACATTTAATCACAGCTCATTACATAGTAATGGCATACTGTGTGTCCCAAATGGTACCCTATTCCTTTTATAGTGCACTACTTTGACCAGAGCCCTATGGGCCATAATCTCGGTTAACCCAGAACTAAAGTGTCACGTAATTAGTCAGATGCTCGATTAAATTCTGGGTCCATACGTGTTAAGAGAAGAGATGCTAGAAAGAGCGGATCCCTCTCTTCTCATGTTACGGGCCGAATGTTCCCTCATTCCAAAGTATGAAAGATGCGAACACCTGCGAAATCGGGATTTGTACAAATAACCAGTGATGAGAAACCAAACACCAGAACTACTGCTGCTCGTTGTCCTACACATCCCATTCAGTCCCGACAGATTCTCTCCGTTTACACGCATCATTTTCCACGAGAGATTATATATTAAAAAGTAGCGCACTACTTGATACGCAAACACACTAATGGTCCGAGGACGTGATGTTGGACACGCTGAAGCCGGTTAGGGACAGACATTTACCATTTCAATGCAAGCATCCCAAATGGCACACTATTCCCTATGTACTGCACTACTTTTGACCAGGGCCCAAGGGAGCCCTAAAGTTTCTATTGACAGCCAATCATTGAGAGATACACTGAGTGTACAAAACATTAAGAACACCTGCTCTTTCCATGACAGACTGACCAGGTGAATCCAGGTGAAAGCTATGATCCCTTATTGATGTCACTTGTTAAATCCACTTCAATCAGTGTAGATGAAGGGGAGGAGACAGGTTAAAGAGGGATTTTTTAGGCTTGAGACAATTGAGACATGGATTGTGTATGTGTGCCATTCAGAGGGTGAACGGGCAAGACAAAAGATTTAAGTGCATTTGAACGGGGTATGGTAGTAAGTCCCAGGCGCACCGGTTTGTGTCAAGAACTGCTGGGTTTTTCACACTCAACAGTTTCCTGTGTGTATCAAAAATGGTCCACCACCCAAATGACATCCAGACAACTTGACACAACTGTGGGAAGCGTTGGAGTCAACATGGGCCACCTGAACCCACCTGCCACCCTGTCGTAGTCCTGCTTGGGGTCATGCCAGTACATGCTGGGCGTTGTGCGCCACTGGCGGTAGAGGCGCGTGTGCAACACGGACAGTACCAGCAGCACCAGGAGGAAGCCCAACGCTGCCGCCGCCCATACCGCCTCGTCTGTCCGCGGAGTGGGCGGCATCCTGTCACTGGGTCCAGCCGCAGCGCCCTCTAGCAGAGCTACAGTCTCAGCGCACTCGCAGTGGCCCACCCTACCATCACAGTCTGCTCTCCTGTCTTGGCTGTTAGCCTGAGTGACAGCCAGCCGCTTGAGCTGAGTCTGAGACAGAGGCTTTTTCCTCTTGGTTGGAGACTTACGGTGCTGTGTCTGTCCCTCGTGTCCGCAGCTCTTCACCCCTCTCTCCTGGATGTCTCCAGTTTAACCGCTCTGCCTCTTGTCCTCTGCCTCGTTGTGGTTCACCCAGTCTCTTTCTCTCACTTTGCCTCGGGGCTCTTTTTCATTAGTGTAATTTTCTCTGCGGTGAGGTTGAGTCACTTTGAGTGTTCGGTCCGTGCCTCTCTGTGTAGCCCTCACTGTAGCTGGGCCCTGTGCTTCAGGCTTGAGTGTGGTTCCATGTTTCTGGACTCTGTTCTGCTCGGTTCTGTCCAGGGTAGTCCTGTTGATCTTGGTGACTGCTTCTCCTCATTCCTGAGTGCAGCTCGGCTCTTGTGGACCCTCCCTCTGCCCCAGTCTGTCACCTCCAACCGTCCATCCAGGAGCAGAGAGAGGGTCTCCTCACAGCACTGCCTCAGAGACTGGTGATGACCAACAAAAAGGCACACTCAGTAAATCATACAAACAGTCAAATCATTCTACGACAGCTTCAGGACATCATGTTACTTTACACCAAAGTATTCAAAGTCGGGGTCGCGACCCTGGTTGCGGGGTAATTGTAGTGGGTTCGCCAAACACCTAAAATGTATATATTTTCAGACTACAGATTATTTTATGTATATTGGTTATTTTAATCTGGATAAGAGATGAAAATGTAATGAATTGAAGGTTATTTGTTGATGTGAAAATCTAAATGTACAGATTTGAAGGTTGTTTCATTAGATTTGAATACTTTCAAACGTTCAAACATGCAGTGCCCTCTCCTCTCTCTGTCTTCTGGCTCACCTTTTGCTTTGGTTATGTGTGTTTGTGATCTGCAGGATTGGTCAACAGCAAGTTATACTTCCTGCTTTGACCCACATCGCCACGGTTACCGCGTGCCGCTGTCAACTGCAGCCAATCACAGACCTCCGGCATAGTCACCTGGGACAGCTCCAGCGTGCGACCCCAGGACACCAGCGCTAACGGCTTCAACAGGAGAGAGATTCAGTCACCACAGGGTCATGTTCAGTAGGCACCAGACGGAAGAAAACTGATAAGTGCTATCTGTATTTATCCAATAAGAAATGCTTGTTTTCCCCCTTGTTTTGTAACTGTGTGCCCTAATGAACTTTGTCTATGCATCTGTTGGGGTGTCAATTGAATGCCCTGCTGTCATAGTAGACATGGTTTGTGAGGAGGTGTCTGTTTTCAGTGTAATCTATCATCAGGGTCAACTAAGCCACTACGGAGTGCCATTGTGGGTTTTCTAGAATCCTATTGGTAAGGAGATGGTTCCCTTGGGATTTCAGCACATCTATTGGGATATCAGCCAGTTCACAAGCTAGTACAGAGTAGATGGTAAATTACTTCTACTGATATCTTAGTGTAAGTAAAGGTAATGTTTCCTTTGAGATTGAGTCACCCGGTGTGTGCTGAGGTCAGGGTGTTTCGTTATGATGTGGTCAGACAGACAGCAGCAGGTTGCGCTGACGAACAGGAGCACACGGACGGTACAACAACACTGTTGCTCCATGCTGCAAACACACACACATCATAAGTAGAGACTGATTAGAGTTGGACAATCTGTTATGGCAATACTGGACTAATGAAACATATTAGCTATCTGTGTGTGTGTGTGTGTGTGTGTGTGTGTGTGTGTGTGTGTGTGTGTGTGTGGACGTGTTTAACTATTCTTGTGGGGATCTGACGTAAACTAACAAAAAGTTGACCAACTGGGGACATTTTGTTGGTCCCCACAAGGTCAAATGCTATTTCTAGGGGGTTTAGGATTAAGGTTAGAATTAGGGTTAAAATTACCGTAAGGGTTAGGGTTAGGAGCTAGGGTTGGGTTTAGGGTTAGGGTTAAGGTTAGGTTTTGGGGTTAGGGATAAGGTTAAGGTTAGGGTAAGAGTATGGGTTAGGTTTAGGGGTTAGGGAAAATCGGATTTTGAATGGGACTGAATTGTGTGTCCCCACAAGGTTAGTTGTACAAGACTGTGTGTGTGTGTGTGTGTGTGTGGTGTCATGGTTTTAGTGGTTACCTGCAGGTTGTTGAGCCAGCGTTGAGGGGGGCAGTACAGGTACTCTCCACTCTCTGCCCCTACAGTCCGGTGAGCGCCACTATACAAACCACACACATAATGGCAGTACAGTAAATGGCATGCAACACAGGAATTGACATTAAGCTCTCAGAGGCACTTGCCCATCAGGCAGGTCAGGAGCAGTTTTTATTTATGGTTATGGTCACTTGCCCAGAAAATGTATTTGGCTGTTTACATACAGATTTATTACATTGTCACATTAAAGAGTTATTACAAAGTCATATACATGAAAATATTTTCATGAGAAATGGAGCGCACATTTAACAGCCTGTCATATTTAACTGGCAAAATGGGATTTGACACGTTCCCAGGTGAGTGTGTATTGTGTGTACTTGGTGATGTAACACTTCCTATGTGTGTGTGTGTGTGTGTGTGTGTGTGTGTGTGTGTGTGTGTCCACAGCATCTTACCTCTTGGGGATAGTGTGATTGTAGGTGATGGGTGTCCATGCAGACGTGTTCAATCGGCTGAGGTCAGACAGGAAAAGAGGACAGACTTATGTACCAGCGCCATGAGCAGATCCAAATGTAATGAAGAGACCTGGCGTGATTTCTCATTCTACATGTCAGAGAGGTATGTTTAATACAGTTCTATGTGAACGTTCTGCAACGTTGTGCCCTGCTGAATGGCGCCCAGGACTACGTCAGCATCCTATCCTTCCAGACAGAAACACTGTGGTATTTTGTCTTGTTGTTGTTGGTGCAGACGTGCCCTAAGTAAATGCCTCTCAGGGATAAATCTTTTTATTTTTTATTATTGAATTAAATTTAATTAAACAATCAGGTTATGCGCCCTCTCTAGCAGTAAATGAGCTGGTGGCTCTTTATAGTATATTTGTGTAAAGAATCAGTCGCTTCAAAGACTTATCAGTAATAGCTACACTGGGATCTAAGGGTTTGGAAAGAATGCGTTCATAACGAAAGATCATGCTAGCTCATTGTGTTTTCTGTTTGCCAAGTTGATTGATTTACCTGCGGGGGATACTTTGTGTCAATGCTAGGAATCTTCTGCAAACAGAGGAGAGAGACCTGGTTTACACTGTGTTTCAGCAATGGATTTGCATGGGAAAATGCACACAACAAATGCACAGTATTAAGCCAAGTGAACAAGATAAATAGGCTACATAATCATCAATGCTCAAGTTTGTGTTAAGTGAACATGTAATTCACGCTTACAGTAGTTTACTACCAGTATGTATGTTTGTTATGTGGAACAGTGGTTCAATAGTTCAAGTGGCTTGCTCCATGGTTACCTAGGTAGTGGACTCTGTCCAGGAAATCACAGGACAGCTCCACACAACTGAGGGGGGCAGGTCTCTCCCCAGGAAGAGCTGTCAGTCACAGAAAACACATCATACTGATACAAAACGGTCAGTTTGCTCGCTGTCTAGAGTGGTAACATACAATCGATGGCACATATATTAACCATGTCATTGCATTGATGTGATAGCTATGGTTTTTCTTCATTATCGCTATGCAGATTGTCTAGCTATTATCCTTGAAGCAGGCAATACAAAGTCAAGTGAAGAGACTTTATGGCTGTATAAAATAGTCCATAATGATTCATAGTGTACCTTGCCATTGTCACAGGCTTGCCACATCGACCTGGCAGCACGAGACAGAACCAAGAACAGCCACAGTCCTGACAGCAGAGTCGCAACCGGCGTAGATATTCTGCTCCACACAATGGAGAGTGCGCGAGTCACCGCGCTGTGATGACCTTTAGGGATGTATCATTTGAGGTAATCTCTTAAACTAGATACATTTTTTTTTTAACAACCATTAGTCAACATGTGGATCATCCCATCCCTGTACCTCCCACGGCTAGAACCATCAGCGCGAGCTACAGCAAAAGCCCTCTCTGCAGGCACTGAGCGCAAACATCCAGTGCAAAGCGAGGCATTGATGCTATTACAGCAGAGAGGTATCCGCCAAAATACAGTATTCCAAGCTCTCTTTTTTCTTTACCATACGGTTCACATTACCATCTTGCCATTAGCACTGGCTACGGCAACGCAAAGGGGACAGAAAATTTAGGTTCTTTGTCCATGGTTTCTACTAATTTTTCCACATGGTGGCGCCAAATTATCACGTAACCGTCTGAACGATGTACACTTGCGGGCAGCCCGGCACTGGTCTCATATACATTGGGGAAAAACAAGTATTTAGTCAGCCACCAATTGTGCAAGTTCTCCCACTTAAAAAGATGAGAGAGGCCTGTAATTTTCATCATAGGTACACGTCAACTATGACAGATAAATTGAGAATTTTTTTCCCAGAAAATCACATTGTAGGATTTTTTATGAATTTATTTGCAAATTATGGTGGAAAATAAGTATTTGGTCACCTACAAACAAGCAAGATTTCTGGCTCTCACAGACCTGTAACTTCTTCTTTAAGAGGCTCCTCTGTCCTCCACTCGTTACCTGTATTAATGGCACCTGTTTGAACTTGTTATCAGTATAAAAGACACCTGTCCACAACCTCAAACAGTCACACTCTAAACTCCACTATGGCCAAGACCAAAGAGCTGTCAAAGGACACCAGAAACAAAATTGTAGACCTGCACCAGGCTGGGAAGACTGAATCTGCAATAGGTAAGCAGCTTGGTTTGAAGAAATCAACTGTGGGAGCAATTATTAGGAAATGGAAGACATACAAGACCACTGATAATCTCCCTCGATCTGGGGCTCCACGCAAGATCTCACCCCGTGGGGTCAAAATGATCACAAGAACGGTGAGCAAAAATCCCAGAACCACACGGGGGGACAGGTAGCTTAGTAGTTAAGAGCATTGTGCCAGTAACCGAAAGGTTGCTGGTTCTAATCCCCGAGCCGACTAGGTGAAAAATCTGTCGATGTGCCCTTGAGCAAGGCACTTAACCCTAATTGCTCCTGTAAGTCGCTCTGGATAAGAGTGTCTGCTAAATGACTAAAATGTAAAATGTAAATGTAGTGAATGACCTGCAGAGAGCTGGGACCAAAGTAACAAAGCCTACCATCAGTAACACACTACGCCGCCAGGGACTCAAATCCTGCAGTGCCAGACATGTCCCCCTGCTTAAGCCAGCACATGTCCAGGCCCGTCTGAAGTTTCCTAGAGTGCATTTGGATGATCCAGCAGAGGATTGGGAGAATGTCATATGGTCAGATGAAACCAAAATATAACTTTTTGGTAAAAACTCAACTCGTCGTGTTTGGAGGACATAGAATGCTGAGTTGCATCCAAAGAACACCATACCTACTATGAAGCATGGGGGTGGAAACATCATGCTTTGGGGCTGTTTTTCTGCAAAGGGACCAGGACGACTGATCCGTTTAAAGGAAAGAATGAATGGAGCCATGTATCGTGAGATTTTGAGTGAAAACCTCCTTCCATCAGCAAGGGCATTGAAGATGAAACGTGGCTGGGTCTTTCAGCATGACAATGATCCCAAACACACCGCCCGGGCAACGAAGGAGTGGCTTCGTAAGAAGCATTTCAAGGTCCTGGAGTGGCCAAGCCAGTCTCCAGATCTCAACCCCATAGAAAATCTTTGGAGGGAGTTGAAAGTCTGTGTTGCCCAGCGACAGCCCCAAAACATCACTGCTCTAGAGGAGATCTGCATGGAGGAATGGGCCAAAATACCAGCAACAGTGTGTGAAAACCTTGTGAAGACTTATAGAAAACATTTGACCTGTGTCATTGCCAACAAAGGGTATATAACAAAGTATTGAGAAACTTTTGTTATTGACCAAATACTTATTTTCCACCATAATTTGCAAATAAATTCATTAAAAATCCTACAATGTGATTTTCTGGATTTTTTTTTCTCATTTTGTCTGTCATAGTTGACGTGTACTGATGATGAAAATTACAGGCCTCTCTCATCTTTTTAAGTGGGAGAACTTGCACAATTGGTGGCTGACTAAATACTTTTTTCCCCCACTGTACAAATTTGGAAATCCCTATGGGAAATCCACACCTCAGAATTCATCTTGAAAATGCGATTGATAGGATAAACAAATACTTTGAACTACATAGCTAAAGTTTTCATTTCGGTTTAAGTGTAGTGAGTAGGCGTATATAATGAGGTGTCTCCTCACCATTCTCCAAATGTTTGACCAAAAAGGTTATGCCTAAATGTAGGCAGCCTTGCAACGAAAACGAGAGTTTCTATTGGACAAATTCAGGTAGGTTCCTCCCGTTTTGTTTGCTTCCGTTTGGTTCTGTTTTGTTCCTAGTGAGTACACCCCAGTGTAATATTAAAAGTGTCTAAATTTGACCCCTTCAATACTATTCCATTATGAATTTGATTGATTAGAAATTCTTTACCAACCTTAAAGCGCCAGGCAGCTACTGGTATTATGTGCTTTTACACCACACAGTCCAACTCAATTCCGCATTTTATTTTATTATTTTATTTGGCACCCATCCGACATTTACAATTTTGGTTGGGCCTGGTCCTGAGGCAGCAGTTTGGGAAAAAAAGTTGAGCAAGGGTTGAAAGGTGAACTGAGAAACACGCAATATGTCCTCTCACTCATTCAATTTTGTGTGATCATAACCACAACGAAATATGTTATAATAATAATAAAAATAATAATAATAATAATAATAATAATAATAATTCATTTAATTTGTAAAGCACTTTTCTCACACCCATAGAACACAGACAAGAATCAAAGCTACACTACATGACCAAAAGTATGTGGACACCTGCTTGTCGAACATCTCTTTCCAAAATCATGGGCATTAATATGGAGTTGGTTCCCCCTTTGCTGCTGGAACAGCCTCCACTCTTCTGGGAAGGCTTTCCACTAGATGTTGGAACATTGCTGTGGGGACTTGCTTCCATTCGACCACAAGAGCATTAGTGAGGTCAGGCACTGATATTGGGTGATTAGGCCTGGCTCGCAGTCTGCGTTCCAATTCATCCCAAAGGTGTTCGATGGGGTTGTCAGGGCTCTGTGCAGGCCAGTCAAGTTCTTCCACACCGATCTCGACAAACAATTTCTGTATGGAACTCGCTTTGTGCATGGGGGCATTGTCATGCTGAAACAGAAAAGGGCCTTCCCCAAACTGTTGCCACAAAGTTGGAAGCACACAATCGTCTACAATGTCATTGTATACTGTAGCGTTAAGATTTCCCTTCACTGGAACTAAGGGGCCTAGCCCGAACCATGAAAAACAGCCCCAGACCATTATTACTCCTCCACCAAATTTTACAGTTGGCACTATGCATTCGGGCAGGTAGCGTTCTCCTGGCATCCGCCAAACCCAGATTCGTCCATCGGACTGCCAGATGGTGAAGCATGATTCATCACTCCAGAGAACGCATTTCCACTGCTCCAGAGTCCAATGGTGGCAAGCTTAACACCACTCCAGCCAATGCTTGGAATTGCGCATGGTGATCTTATGCTTGTGTGCAGCTGCTCGGCCAAGGAAACCCATTTCATGAAGCTCCCGACAAACAGTTATTGTGCTGACGTTGCTTCCAGAGGCAGTTTGGAACTCAGTAGTGAGTGTTGCAACCGAGGACAGACGGCTTCAACACTCGGCGGTCCCGTTCTGTGAACTTGTGTGACCTACCACTTCGCAGCTGAGCAGTTGTTGCTCCTAGATGTTTCCACTTCACAATAACAGCACTTACAGTTGACTGGGAGGCTCTAGCAGGGCAGAACTTTGACGAACTGACTTGTTGGAAAGGTGGCATCCTATGACGGTGCCACGTTGAAAGTCACTGAGCTCTTCGGTAAGGGCCATTCTACTGCCCATGTTTGTCTATGGAGATTGCATGGCTGAAATAGCCAAATCCACTAATTTGAAAGGATGTCCACATACTTGGTGTACCATGGTCATCCATGGTCATTCGTAACTTTATTCAATGCATTAATTTGGTCAGGGTGTCCTCGCGCATTTCATTGTTAAATCTTATCATTGCATATTTATGCTCATGCTTCAGACTATTTATTTATAGCCACAATGCTGCATCAGTTGGGCTACAGGTGATAATGATTATTATTAAATAGCACACCTGCCTGATAATATGGACCAATATGATATTGGGCTCATTTCTAGAGGGGAACATTTTATTTCTCATAGATCTGTGCCTCGACGTAGACATCCGAGACAGGATTGCATCGAGGCACAGATCTGGGGAAGGGAACCAAAAAATGTCTGCAGCATTGAAGGTCCCCAAGAACACAGTGGCCTCCATCATTCTTAAATGGAAGAAGTTTGGAACCACCAAGACTCTTCCTAGAGCTGGCCGCCCGGTGGTGAACCCGATGGTCACTCTGACAGAGCTCCAGAGTTCCTCTGTGGAGATAGGAGAACCTTCCAGAAGGACAACCATCTCTGCCGCACTCCACCAATCAGGCCTTTAAGGTAGAGTGGCCAGAGGAAAGCCACTCCTCAGTAAAAGGCACATGACAGCCCGCTTGGAGTTTGCAAAAGACGCACCTAAAGTCTCTCAGATCATGAGAAACAAGATTCTCTGGTGGGCATGGTGGGGGCAGCATCATGCTGTGGGGATGTTTTTCAGTGGCAGGGACTGGGAGACTAATCAGGATTGAGGCAAAGATGAACGGAGCAAAGTACAGAGAGATCCTTGATGAAAACCTTCTCCAGAGCACTCAGGACCTCAGACTGGGGCAAAGGTTCACCTTCCAACAGGACAACGACCCTAAGCACACAGCCAAGACAACGCAGGAGTGGCTTCGGGACAAGTCTCT